TTCTACTTAAGAAAGCAGCAGCTACGGCTCTGTGTTGCAGAGCCCCTGTCACACTTGAGCTGCTGTAAAGTGAGTCTGATCTGCTGCGAGCTGGGTGTGCTGAATAAAAAATAGGCCAGAGTCGTATTTCTGTTTACCTCTTTTTACCTGCAGCATGCACGGGAGAGACTGAGAAAAAAAAAAACGGTTGCAAAAACAGTAAAAGTCCCGTTCGAGCCCGTGAAATCAGTGGTGGAAACTTAGGATCGTGCCTCACTTCTCCAGGCTCCGAATGTGCCCCCATCAGTAAAACCAATTCCCGCTCCGTCATGCTTTAATCACTCTCATAAACAAGTTTTAATCAAATCTACAAAACATCAATGAATTTTTCCCCCATTAGATGCCTCACACGCCCCCATTTTCCATTCTCTGATTTTTCTTCACATGTCAGCTGTTTCCTTTCACTCATCTGTTTGCCATTTCATTCGTCCTCTATTGTTTTAAAAAATAATTCATTGAGTGTATGAAATGAATAAACTTCCTTCTTGAATTTCCTTTTTTTAATTTAAAAAAGGAAGATTTGGATTTGTAATTCTTCTAACTTTTTTTTTTCAGCTAAGCAAATGACAAAAAATGGGTACTGAAGACATTACTAGGAAAATGAAGGGCCAATTTCACAGACACAGATTAAACTAATCCAGGTCTAAAACACCGAAGAACTTTGGCATTCGAACTATCTATGAAACCAATCCTTAATCACCCTAAATTTAAAATGCCATAGACCACATTACACACAGTTGGAGACAACAAAGGATAAACTATTTTGTTGGCAGCAGAGATGCATGTCTCTGATAATTCCTGTTTAACAACTGAGTCTGAGTATCATGGAAACGACTCTGAATTTGCATTGAAACTTTGATAAAACCCAATCAAACAGCACTTTCCTCTATACAGTCCCACACTGCTGAACCACGCCACCTCTTTCGTGGCTTTAATGTGCTTAATATATTAATCTATTCCCTTTTATTCATTTCAGATGACATCAAACATTTTCTGGATCCCTGCAGTGCCACCTATAAACTAAAGTGTTTCCACAGTATGAGTCCTGGGTTAAGACAAACTATTAATCTTTGAAGCATAATGTCCCTGTCTGATAAATTTACTTTTTACATTTAGGCTGTCTCACCAACATCACAGAGGGAGTCACAAAGAAAGTAACAAATAGTCCACAAATTGTGGTGTGCCTCTCTGGCTTTGCCGTCACAAACGCATACACACACAAATGCTTCCAGGCACAATGCTGAATGTTACAACTGCATTAATATTTTATCTTTACATAATCTCAAATGTATCTTGCTCTGTGAACATGGTCAGCTATGTGTATGTGGAAATGCTGCCACTTTTCTGCATCCGGTGTTGTGTGAAATATTAAAGCGTCCGAGCAGCACATGACTGTGTAAGACCTCTGCACAATATACAACCGTCAATATTACAGCAGACACACGATCGTGATTACCACTGTGTTGGATATGAACGAATATTTGCATTGGTTTCATCAGCCCAAGCTAAGCCTCTGATTTTGAGTTCCTCTGTCCTTGACACAACATCTGCCAGAAGGCTGCGTGCTTGGTGTTGTTTGATGTGAGAACATTGCCCCCTGCTGATTTTCTGTTGTACATTATCAGTGGTCTCAATAAATCATGCTGAGTGACAGTGGACATGTGGGCTGGGGTCATGCAAATGCCACAAAACCATCTCTCTCGGCTTTGACAAACATTTTTGTGTGTTTACTTTGTTCTAACGCCACAACTCTGGTGTCATCTCCTTCATCTCCAGCCACATGTTCATTTTGAGAAAGAAAACTTCTGGGGAATGACTGGATTAAATAAACCAAAAAAAAAAAAAAAAAGCTGAAAGAAAACATATTCATGGAAAATCACATATGATATAGTCTGAGTGGTCTAAATAATTCATACATGGTTTGAATGAATATTCATGAGATAAGAAAAGCACACTAATTAAGTCTGTGCATCCTTTCACTGTGGCATTAAAGCTCCTGAAAACCAGGTTTCCAGCTTGACATTAAATATTTATGACACTAAGCACTAACATTTTGTAATAGAAGTCCTAAATTGTCCTAATATCCTATAATATTTTAATTGTGAGAATTAAATAATTTCTCTTCTCTCTCCTGCAGTGGGATATTGTGTCCACTTTGCTTGCTTTCAGTGTTTCTGTGCCCTTTTCAGACTTCTTATTTCGGTATGTTTAGCAGCACATCATTAAAACTTATAGTCATTTATTTTTTTAAGTTTAGTTATTCATGAATTCAGCTGCAGATCTTACCAGCTGAATTCCTCCAAAAAATTGATCAGTTGACTGATTCTACATCAAAGAAGAATGGCAATCGATGAGTACAAGAATAGTCTTTGAATCGCTGACTAAAACAGAGAGTGGAGCTGTGACTGAGATCAATGGGGCCTGAGTACAAGCAGAGATATCATAGAGAAATGAATAACACAGACTGAGGGGAAAAAAGAGCAAATCTTCATTGTAAATTACATGTTTATCTGCTGATAAAGTATCAAACAGAAATTGTTCAGTATTTCAGTTCAGAATACCTTGCAGTTGCTCCATTATCTGTCAGCCAAAAAGGCTTCCCAATTAATTTTTCATGTATACTAGTAGCTGAGTCATCCAACATAATAGGAGAAGATGGAAAATAAATGTTAAAAGAGCCTGTTGAGAGAAATTGGTATTCAAACAGCAGCCTTGTCTCCAGCTGATGGTAATCTGCATTCACACAGCCTGCCATGTCAGATGAAGGTCTTCAATTATCCATCAATTTCATTCAGTATTTTTTTTTATTACTTATTATTATGCCATCAGTATTTACTTTCTCCATAAGCACCCAGGGCTGCTGCCTGCCCACGGCTGCAGGAATCCCTCCTGGTGAGAATAAGGGTGGCCCTGCTGTGAAGAAAGTGCAAAAACAAATGTTTTCAGAGACACGGGCTTGTAAGACCCTACCTTGCGGCGGCGGATGTGTGGAACGAGAGGTTGAAGTGTCATCCTTTCAGTCTTAACCTCCAAAGAGAAACCAAGACTCCCGAGAAGGGATTAAACACCTCTTCTGCTTTGATTTGCAGCCTTATACTGTCATGGTACCACGCAGGCCCCAGCGTGATGCTTGTCCTCTCACCAGGTGCACTAAACAGAGACAAGTCTCTGATTGAATTTTTCTTTGCTCTCTATAAGACACTGTTGGACACACAGCAAATAAACAGAACAATACGGCTCCTCCATTCCAGTTTAATGAACTTAAATAACAGGGTAGGCACATCAGTCTGGCTAAACTGTGATAATATCAGCTTTGTATGCCTGTGGGTGGCATTGTGCTATTATTGTGAACTGACAAGTATTGCCTTGAAGATTTCTTTGTGGAGGATAATAAGGCATCAGCAGTAGGCCTCATCAATAATCAAACTCATACTGAGATGCTGAGGAGCATTTCAGGTCCTTTGTATTTCGGTAAATTCGTCCTGCGATGGGTTTTTATTTGGTGTCATTATTACTAGCGTTGCATTGTGGTTTCATGGGGGGAGGGTGGCATAAAAGAACAACTTTCAAAGCCAAGAGCAGGCCAGTGGGAGTCTGTTTTCAATGAGAAAGCGCGAAAAGCCAGTCTGCAGCAACCCTTCCTCTGTTCTGCCCATGTGTCTTGCTGGGTCAGCCAGCGGCCCTCTATGGCAACAGAATTTATGGCAGGCTTCAAGCTGGCCATGTCACAATGACAAAAACTAACATATCAATTCCTTTTTAGAACGTTTTGAATTCCTTGAAAATGTGTGAAAACACTAAAATCAAACTGACAAAAGTCTGTAGCTTGGCCATTGTGCTGGTTAAAGAACTACATCACTTTGAGGAGTAAAAAATGTGATGAGTTCACTATTCTTTATACTGTATGCAAGTAAACAGTTATACAATTGATCAAATATCAACCAATTAAGTAGAAATTCATTATCAAACAATAAAAAGAATCTAGAGAAACCACTGTCAGGAATGCATAAAGACAAAAAGCATAACTGTGTGGTCTTCAGGTTCTCAGGCAGCAATGCATTTTTAAACAGACTGCATTCTTTAGATGAAGTTACTGTGTGGGCTCAAATCATCAATAAATACTTTAATAAATGGATTCTCCTAAAAAAAGATAAGATTTCCAAAACAAGATCCAGACACATCACTTTCTTCTTTAGGCCGGCTGAGCACATTTAAGTTGCAGCGACACTGAAGTGAGAATTTGTTGTTCAACCTGAGGGATCCCAATCTGAAATTCTCTCTCTTAAATTTCTGAATCCTGCCATCAAAACTGAAGAGAGATAAACAAACAAAGCAAGACAAAGCAAACTGGAATCCTGTCTGCACTGAAAACTAGGAATGTGACAACAGTGGCCCTAAACTGTTGGCAAAAATTTCATGAAGAAACTTTCAGAATACGCATTGGTTTCAAGCCCACATCAGTTTAATCCAAACTTCTTACAATAGCTAAAAGAAGAGATTATACAATATAATGGCAAACATAAATATGTCACTATTAAAATAAAACAAAAAACTGGAAAACAGTCTGAGTTTTAACTGTTTCATTATTTTTCATAAAAAGTACGAATGACTTGTAATCCTTTCTCTTTTTAAATCAATACTGCAGTGCATCCCAACCTTTATATTTAAACTAGCTTAGGTATTGTGATTCTTTTACATTTTTATCAGATAATGTAAAACTACATTATTCGCATTACACCATGCAGCTTATCTAACCAAGACAAAATGTAGTAGAGCAATGCCACATACCATACAAAAACGTCCAAGGGGACACAAATGTAAACGTTTTTGTAAACGTCTAAAATAACTGTGATTTGCTAAACTAATTCATTACATGTAATGACCTGTGGCAATGAGAGGAAGGTTCGTCTTTTTGGTTGACAGCGTACTGCACTGTGTTGTTACCCGACTAAACCGGACACAGGAAGTTGGAGTTCTGTCGTTGAACCAATCAGCTGTGAGGTTATTTGGACGCCCTAGTCCTGCCCAAACAAAACTAAGAGGAAGATAAATCTCTGGTGCCGCATAATTTGATTATATCATTGAAAGATTTCACATTGTTACCTGAAAACGTCTTAAGGAGATTTTTCACAACGAACAACGTTTGTTTAAGGTAATTTTAAAGTAAACGAAGGCGTTAGTAACGACTACAGCCTCAGTTAGCAAACGATAGCAAGGTATCAGATGCTAGAGGAGTTAGCTAAACAGACGTAATACCCTGGCAGCCCGCAGACAGTGTCCAAATGAGCTATTTTAGGACTGTTATAGAATGCCGATCAATTACTGAAGATTGCATGTGTTAGTAGTATAAGATAAATAAACTTTCTGGCAAAGTCCGATGTGTTTATATGTGTGTGGTCCAACGTTGGGCTGAAAATCAAGCTAGCAAGACACATAAGCTTAGCAACAATTTAAACGACAACTTCCACCAAACTGGACAAAACGCTAGATTTAGTCGGTTTTAAATCGGGTTCAGCGGGTTCGCTGACCCCTCAAAAGAAAATGAAGAAGAGGAAAGAGCTGAATGCATTGATCGGGCTCGGGGACAGCAAAAGAAAGAAGACCAAAAAGGGGTCTGGTCATCGACTACTCAGGACCGAACCGCCGGGCTCGGAGTCGGACTCTAGCTCGGAGGATGACGATTTCAACAACCTGAACGGCGCAGCCAACTTTGGAAAGTGAGTGATTTTTGAGAATGTGATAAAGGTATCGCGTGATTATAAATCTGAGCTTGTTTTTCTGACATCTCTGTTTTATCAACTAGCTGTGTTAACAGTGGACTTAATGTCGGGATCTACCATTGGAGTGTCACACATTGCACCCCAGTCACATTCTTAATGTTCTCACAGTGGTGGAACAAACATTTTAACATTTTCCAGATGTGTATTCTATATGTGCATTTTACAAATGTACTTTGAATAATTTATAAGCACAGTTTTGCAGTTTTAGAAAGTTGAAGGTTTCTATTGAGTTTAGAAATGAATTTACATCTTCATTATTAACTTGGTGCCTCAAGAAACCCTCCTAATTTGACTATTAAGTAAACACGTTCAGCAATATTGTCATTTGTTTTCTTTGATAAACTGACCATAAGAACATAAGATGGTCACCTTTTCGCTCACGCAGCTTAGAGAAGATATTGGGGGGAGTTCCCACTCCATACTCACCTTTAAGTGACAGGGAGACAAAATGTTACAAAGTAACCTTTTCGGGATGATTTTCCTTTTAAGTGAGGGAGCAAATAAATCAAAAGTCTGAAGCATAGCAATTTTCTTAGTTTTTTCTTGTGTAATGAGGGACAAAAAATAGCTTGATGATGACAGATGAACAAATGGGTCTGTTAGATGTACACTGCATGACTGCTTACTCTGGCCGGTCCAGGGAATACCCCGCTTCCCGCCCAATAGCAGCTGAGAAATGCTTCAGCCCAACCTGAAACCCCGAGTTGGATTAAGCGGGTTTAGAACGTGGATGGATGTACTGTCTCCTCTGACTTATTAAAAATTAAACTAGTGCACAAGCTGTTTTTTTTCACGCCACGTCTTATTTTTCTCCTGCTAAGTAAGAGAGACTTCATAATAGGGAAAGAAAACACTGCTGCATAAAAGGGCAGACAGCCCATGAAAAAAAAGGATGGCAGAGCCGTCATCAACGTGCAGCATCACATGATGTTTGCTGCATGGGTTAATTATTTATTTAGTTGCATTTTACAGTAGGGAGACTGCTAACTGTACAAGTAAAATGAAAATGACTGAAATAAGCTAAAAAACACATTAGTAAATCTTATTTTACTACTAAGATACGAAGACTGTTATAGTTTAATTATATTATAGTTCCTCATTAAAAATTAAAGAAGCTGATGCACTGTCTAATGTTCTCATGTTCCCTTTTCCTCACAGAAGAAGCTACACGCAGTGCTGCAATGTGTGCTACCCCTTGTTCTTGTTCATTATACTTGCTGCCTGCGTCATGGCTTGTGCTGGACTCATATGGATGCAGATTGCTCTAAAAGAAGATCTGGACTCTCTGAAAGAGAAGTTGCATAGTAGTAAGTCACACCATGCTGATCATGGTCATAAATTACATGGTTAGCTTTCGACACCTGACTCTTTTTATGTGAGCGCTCTCAAGTTTGTTTGTGTTTAACATACCACACTGTTTTGTTTTTTCTTCCCAGTGGAATCCAGCCAAAAGGCCTCAGCAAGCGAAATACCTCAATTAAGCGAGGACCTGAAAAACAAGGACAGAAAAATAGATGACATTGAGAATGGGGACAAGGGGTTGAACAAACTCTGGTCGAACTTAACAGAAATGAACAGAAAGGTCAGTTATCATCTCTGCTTGGAAGTTTGGAAACATCCATCTATCATTTCTGACGCCAGCTGGACGAGAACATTTAGCTTTTCTCTGGTCTTGTCAGACTGATTTGGCCTTGAATGATTAGAGTTTGTGAAACAACACCAATGTGTTGCAAATTGGAGAAAAAACGGTGCCTGTGAGTGCCATCTTTTTAGTCTTGCAGATATACGACATAAAGGTTGTAGTTTTTTTTTTGTTTCTGCTAACCAAAGCTCCCTCCATTCATATGGGTCTTTCCATTTTTCCGATGCGAAATGAAATTTCACTTTCACTTGTATGGTGGTTTTTAACAGGGAAATTTCTGCTGCAGTATCCATTTAGCTCTCACATAAGCTGCTTAAATGAATAATAAATACAATTCACAGATGATAAAGTTAACACTCTTTAGTTTAAGGCTATGCCATTAAACAGCATTACATAATCAGACCAGTTAGAAAAAACGATCAATGATACTTTGTTTTGGACGTCTCTTCAAACAAATTGTACTAGTGATGGATACTGTATGTTTCAGTAACTAAACGTTTTTTCCACCCCCACTCCACATCTCACCAGATCACCTTACTGGACTCTGCTGTGAACAATTTAAAGGTCAGCCTGAAATCAGCTGCTGACTTAATCGGCCTTCCCACAACAGTTGAAGACCTTCAGAAGGTAAAACTACAAGCGATCCCAAGTGACAATTCTGCGTTTAAAAGATTAATTTGTTGATTTTTGCCCCTTATTTTATTTTCTAGAGTGTTGCCACAATTGGCAGTGCGCTGACTAGTGTACAGCACGATGTGAAGACGATGCAGGGGGCCCTGGAGAACCAGAAGAAAGATGAGGGCTTAAAGAAGACAGCGGTAATTTTAAGCCTGAGATATGTGTTCCATTCACCTGGGGATTGTAGATCTAAAGACTTCGAGATGACATCCTTTTTTTTCTGTGGAGTAGTTGTTTTGGAGTAATGTTTTTTTTGGTCTGTTTGTTTTGTTTTGCTCTATTTATTAATTTGCTAATTTTTCTGGGATATTGAGAGTTGTCTTTCACTTTATTTTTTCTCATACCTTTAATCATCTCGGAGTCAATCAGCAGTTGTGACTGTTTCCCCAGTTATGGCATTAATGAATTTCATCTGATGTGAGAGGCAGAAAAGTCGCAGCTTCATCTTTCTGCTGCAATGTGTAATTTACACATTCTGAAGCTGGAGATGTTTTTCCACAAGACAACGATTGGAGTGGCCTTTTGCAGCCAGTCTTTTTTTATTTACATCTCTTCTCATCACACTACGCGTTATGTATGCACGTCAGTAGATTTTGGCTCACATAAAGCCTCTTGAAATCACATTGTTATTATAGATATTTGTTATAAAAATGGATTATGAAAATGGTTATGAAATGGAGTAGCCAGTGCATAATATCAGCAGTTTCTCGAAGATGTGGTTATTTGCACATTTGCCTCACTCTGCGGCTACTTACGTATGACCAGGATGGCTGTGATGATGAAACTGTAGTTGATGAGCCTAATCATGGCATGAATCCAAATGAAACGCTGTGGTGATGGCTGCCATGGAGAGATTAATTAGTGTGTTAACCCACGTGTTGAGGCTTTGCATGCATGCTTTGCAATTCTTGTCAAGCTTATGGGAAGAGTCATCGGGATAAGAACGTCCTGTCATTTCTTGGATGTATGCCTTGGGTTAGCATTCATAATAGATTAAATGAGTGCCAGTCTATTCTGGGAGCTTAGATGTTTTAGTTTACTACTAAAACTGGGTCAAGTATTGGAAAGGATGTTTTCTTAAAGCACAAATAATTCCACAGAGGTATTTGGTTTTTCATACGTCTTGACTTTAGTAATTTAGTAGTTTGTGATACATGTCTAGCTGGTTGAGATCTCAACGCTCTTTTGATCTAAACTGTTCACTTAAACCTAAACTAACTTTGTACACTTTGCTGTCTAATGCCAGAAGAGTTGACACTGTGTTGGTTTGCAGATTTAGAAAACTTAAAATTACAAGTAGATTTACGTCAGCGATTTTCATTTTGAATAGGACATAACAGAACTCAGAAGAGCCATGGGTGAGGTCAACAAAACAGAAGAGCAGCACCACACATGGACTGATGAGCAAATCCACATCCTCCTCTCCACTGTTGCGGATCTTCATCAGAGAGTAGCCTCGTTGGAGAACGGTTCAAAACACAGTGTGAGTAACATGTAGAATCTTGACTTTTACTCCCTGTAGTAACCCCAGTGGATATTCCAAAAGTTTTTTAAAAATGAACATGACGCAAAATTAATTTTATTTGGAAATTGGGAGAGCAATAATAGAAAAGGGAATCTCCTATATCTAACTTGAACAAATATGTGCTGTTGGTGATGGTTGGGAATATTGCACACAGTGAAAGCTTAGAGCACATCCCCATTTTCAGCTTTTTAAGAGCCAAGCAGGGTTTTAATTGAACATTATTGACAGTAGGGGCACTTATGTAGCTTGGTGAGTTACTAGACTCATTCTGTTTCCTATAACCAGTACATAGGCTAGCTAGAGTTGATATCAAGCATAGATGGGAGAGCTGATTGCTTAATTCATGACAGGCCACCTAAAAGCGCCTACTATCTGATCATAATTGATAAAGAGTTAGCGTGGCATCGATGGCTAATATGAAATTGTGCCGTAAAGCACATTATCATTAGTTATTTGCAGCTTATTGATCCTCCTCAAATGTCACTGAGTCAGCAACTTAATTTATCCTTTTAGAAGTACTTTGTTAACCTTTAAATAGCCACAGGCTGTTTTAGCGGGTAAATAGCTTAATGTTGAACTAGATGTGAAAACAGCAGTCCAAAAAGTAACAAATGACATTAGGGTTCATCCCTCAGTTTTATATGTATGTATATATAGCATGTAACTAGCCTAGAGAGCTCAATTACACAGTTATTGTACATATTATGTTTTGCTTTGTGCTTTTTGTAGTTGCAGAATAATGATGCAGACAGCAGTGAACATCCAGAAAATAAGATGGAGGAAGTCACCTCAACCAAAGCAACACCTGGAAATGTTCAGGGTAAAGAATGGGTTAAAGGAGTTTATCACTTTGGCTTTTTTGGTTCTGTGTTGCCTAGTAATTGTTTCTGCATTCCTTTTGGCAGATGTGTCAGCACAATTGTCAGAGCCACAGACAAGCAGACTCCCCCACTTTTTAATTCCAACCCGGGTGAAGAGAGCCGCTGGGTCGAAATGTCTAAAGAGGATGTCACTGCAAGGTGTCAGCTCTCTGAAAGGTACACACAGCTATGTCTCACCATTTACTGCTGATAAAAGTTTGGAATTTGAAAAAATAAACACTTGAGCAGAGTTAAGGGAGTGGATTAAGTAACTGCCTTTTGCCTGTTCAGATTGGTCTGATAAGGAGAGGGAAAGAAGTTATACCTTTCACCCAATTGGCACATTTTAGTCTGATAATTGAGTTTTTTGTTTTTTAGCAGCGCCAAGCCAGTTATGCCATATACATGCCAACAGGCTACAGGTATTTGTTTTCGTTTTGCATGGAAACCAAAGGTTTAGCATGCTACATTTTAGTAACTACAGCGTGAGCATCCACTGCTGAATAACGTTCTGTGCTGTAACTCCAAGTGTCCTGCTCCCTGCCACCATGTTCCAATAGCTCTGTTTTTTAGTGTGTGCGTCTGCGTAAACATCAGTTAGATGATACAGGTCAGGACATCAGATCGACACAAAACTTCAGCGATGCCAACAAAGTGTTTGTGTGACATTCCTAATTGATTTGAGTGTTTAAAAGGTCTAAAGATCCTAAATCACTTTGAAAGTGCCTGCGGTGACATTGTTAACCTCTATTTTTGTCGTAGTGGGAACACCATTGACTTGATTCAGAGCAATAACACAAATATCTGTTTTTAGGATGTTGTTTTTTCCCCTCTTTTCTTGGTAAGCAGTCCTAGTTTTTGGGGGTTTTTTTTAACACAGTTTTTGTTCTTTTCCCAGACTTAGAAGACGTCTTCCAGAAGGCAGGTGTCGGACGCAATTCACTGGGATTGACCTACCAACAGCTGAAGGACGCGTTTGGAGCATCGCTTCCCTCCGAACGCTCTATGCAGTGCTGTGATGAGGACGGGGACCAGAGGTACTCCCTGATGGAGCTGACAGCTGCTGTAGGTTTGTGAGGGCACCACTGCTCACAGTAAGGAACAGTATTGAATACCCAGCAGGGTCTGGGGGTTCCGGGTTCCCCACTCTTTTGCAGAATTTCTGCACTTTTGTGAACTGAATATTTATCGTTCTGATTGTAGAAACAGTGGTGCTGGTGTGCCCTCTACTTCCCTCCCCTCACATCCACTCAAATAGCTATCATTATCCTCATCAATCGTTTTCTTCATTTTAACAGCAATCCATATGTGTATCATCCTGAAGTATTCATCTCCTTAGTTTATATTAATATACCAATGATAAATGGTGTTGTTTTCAAACTCATTCCTCCACCTTAATCTTTGACTTGCTGTGTTAATTTTACTTTTTTTTTTTACCTGTCTCAACAACCTGTTGTAGGTTTTATCTGATCAGTTTTTCTCACAAACACCTGGTACTCATGTAAACCTTATTTATAGGACTTGAGATAGACTTTTATTTATGTTTACCAATGAACACTAGAAACTGTTTTTGCCGAGGATTGGTTGCATTTTTAGACGGTTTTCCTAACTTATCTGAAACAAACACGTGAGTGTAAATGTCGAGACTTTTGTATGTTTTTTTTTTTTCTAAGCAAAAAAAAAGTATAATTTTGCTTTCTTTTGTTTTTCCTGGTTTATCTTTACTAATTTGTAATAGCACCATGTAGTTACTCCACCCGTATTTATCTGTAGTTTCTTTGCTTGTTGTTTTTGCATTTTTTGCTTGACGTTCTGCAGATTTGAAGGGCTACAACAACTTTGAGTCGCAGTTAGCATATGTAGCAATAACATAAAGGTAAAGGAAGTGGCTTGTTTATAATGCAATGGAAAGAAGGAACACCGGTCTCACAATATGTAACAGGTAGCATAAGAGGCACTGACTATCACTCTTTACTTGATTGATTTTATTGTATTTTAAAGGCCTAATAATGGCATATTTACCTAACTAAACTGTCTTTCTGACTTAAGTGTGCTCCATAAACATGTATTATTGTGCAGGGGCTTGGATGTTCAGATTTATTCATGATTTTGTTTATAATTCAGTTGTGCTTTGCATGTTGCTTTTCATGTAACATGAACAAATTATTTAAAAAATTCAACTTTGTTGACTTTTCTTTTTTGCTGGACAATGGTTTCTTGAACTTAAATCTGTAACAGCCGTGGTCACCATGACTAAACTTTGGATCTGCGCTGCGGCAGTACACGAGGGGGTTTTATGAATGTATTTTTGTTTTAGCACCAATAAATAAAGACAGTTAAAACTCTGGTCTGGTTTCTCTTTAAAGACTTACAAGCTTCATTGGCATGTTTTACTAGAATGTCACAATAATGCATAAAACATTCTGAAATAAACAAAAGTACATGGGATGAAAATCTTAAACCTATATACAATTCCTCATCAGCTGACACATTTGCACAGAACAATTCTGTCATAATCTTCAGTATTTTGTACAAAAATTAGGCCGATCACACAACAAATTCAAGGAAAATCTAAGCAAGAGCCCCTTTCGCCCTCCAGTCCTGGGTCAAAAGCCCCAGCAATTCATCTTCATCCTCTCCCTCTGCTTCAGTGCTTTCTTCAGTCTCCATTGGTTCCTGCTTTCTTGTCAGGGGCCTGCTTTTAACCACATCCCGCTTGTCTCTGAGCAGCTCCACCCTCCTGTAACACTCAATTTGCTCGTCAATTTCGTCAATCTGACGCTCAAATCGTCCTTCTTCATCATCCTCTGCCACAATGGCCTCAGATTTTGTGTTCACCTGTCTTATCTCCTTTTGAAACTCTTCCCACTCCTTGTCCATTTGATCCTTGGGTGCCTCAACTTTGCGCACCTTGGCATCCCTGACTGGGTCATCAAAAAAGCCCTCAGGCAAGGCTTCAGCCATTTTGTCTTTCTTTTCAGTGGTCTTTTCTTGCACATCTGCTTTGAGAATGGATCCTGAGTGGGATATGGCAGGTGTGGATGGAATGGAGCTATCAAAGAAGTCAGCTGGCAGTCCTGCACTTTCTGTTTTCTGAGTAGAAGGATTTGCCTCACCAGCCTCTTCTGTCCCGTCATCGTTATCTTCATCATAAACTCCAGCCAACAAACTCAACCCTGCAGACTTTTGGGCAGAGTCGGTTGTTTTATCACCGGGTTTTTGAAAGAAATCCTCTGGTAGTCCCGAACCAGACTGCCCTGCCCCCGAAGCTGGCTTGGCCTTTTTTGTATTGGCAACATCGTTTTCCGGCGCTTTCCTCTTTACCTTTTCACTCGGTGGCAGCATTGGTTGACTCTTTGCTCCCTTCAGCTCAGCAACCTTTTCTTTATGCTGTTTTCCAAGAACATGGGCGGGCCACAATAATTCTGACTTCACCTGCACATTGCACAGGACGCAACTTAGGTGGCCGAGGCTGTTGTACTTAGCGAACGGAGACTCAACACGCTTTTTGTCTGTATTTTGCCTTTGTTTTTCTCTCATCAACCGCCGAAGTTCTTCTTGATTTACAACTTTCTTCCCCTTCTTAGAAGTTGCCATTCTTTTTCGAGTTCAGCTTTTTCGCTAGCTAGCTGTGTGCTTACTACAACCGACTGTGTCTCATAATGATGACACAAGTGTGCTAACTCTCGCTCGAACTGTAGGATGAGCCGATTATTCTCGCGATATTTGCACCCCTCTTGCGGTGCTAGCATGAATGTTACCTCCGGTGGTTTATTGTACCATCCCGTCCGCCCGATTTCTGCTGCAGATTAAATCCATTCTCTTTTAAAAGGTATTTTTGAGAGGCGATAGGAGAGACAACGATGTAGTCGCTTGTTATTCGGTCTATATTCTTAGTTTTATGTTCATTTAGTGCGTGTGTTTCATATTATGTTTCGCATTGATTTGTGTTTTCATCGCCGCACCCATCACATCTTGTTTTATTAGGGGCTAGCAAGCTAAAGCCATTTTGGGGCTAATGGTGAGTCGGGCAGCAGGTGTAACGTTATTTGCGTAACAGATAGCAATCAGCCTAGAGAAACAAAATACATTTGATTCGACTTTAAATTTACGAATTTGCTAATGCTGAAAAGCTCCCAAGTAAAACCACGACCACAACGTCACTAGCTCGTATAATAGTAATTAACAGACAGTAGTCATCATGACAGGTGAAAAGATACGCACCATGCGGAAGAACCACAACAAAACAAACAAAAATGAGGAAATAATGGATACCTACGAGGAAACATCCAATGGGACGATTCCTAACGGCACCACTAACCACTTTAAGTCAAACAAGGCTTTTCAGAAATCAGTGAAAACCTCGGTACTTCAGCAACAACAACAGCTCAACGCAAACAACATCAACGGCAACACATCAGTTGTCAGTGATGACAACAAGAACCCAATAATCTTGACAAGTGAGAACTTGGACTTCCCAGTTCATGAATGCGTGTTTAAAGGAGACGTGCGTCGGCTTTCGTCTCTCATCAGGACCCACAGCATCTCTCAGAAAGATGTCCACGGTAAGCTTCTTGTTACCCAGTTGTATGTGAATTACACACCTTTTGTGTTTGAATGCTGTGTCTGTGTATGTATTTGTTCCACTGACGTGGGCTCATGTGTTTGTCTCTGCAGGGAACACGCCTCTTCACCTGGCTGTGATGCTGGGCCACAAAGGTATAGCTGCATTTAAATCACCACAATCTTTTTTGCCTCTTGGACTTGCAGATGCCATTTAAGTCGTTTTGTTGAACAATGAAAATAATGGACATGAACACTGTACACACTGACTTTTAATACTGAGCTGATCTGTTTGTTTGAATTTTGCTCTTACCTTTAAAAGGACTGTGCTTGTATCACATGGCTATTCATAACAAACCCTATGGCATGTTTGTTTAACAGTTCCCAGAGTAGATATTGCTGTTGTGTGCATTGAATTTGTCTCACATATTGCATGTGTTTCTCTTTCAGAGTGTGCTCTCCTTCTCCTGGCCCATAATGCACCTGTTAAGATAAAGAATGCACAGGGATGGAGTCCTCTAGCAGAAGCCATCAGCTATGGCGACCGGCAGATGAGTGAGTTATGTCAATGCAGCTCCTCTGAGGTTTCTCATGTTTTAATGGTTTTATGGCAGCCTCAGTGACGTGCCTGCCGCCATGTAGTCTATGTTTTCACGTTCAGAATGGAAGCTGCCTGTCTGACGGTGGATGGCTTTTAATGTTTGTGATTTTGTCATTCTGACAACTGGAATGGCTTTCTGTCTGAATGCTCATATTGCAGCTGTGCTGCTAGATGGGTGCTGTGTTCAGGTGGAAATGAATTGGCTTTGCTTTTCGGAGGGTGGGGCTCCCAATGGAATGATTTTCTACAAATTTTTCTATTAATTTGAGATTCTTCCTCACATCAAGTCTTCACTTTGGAAAAAAAAATTGTCATGTCACGTATTACAATGGAAACATAATGTATAACGTATATTGTTAAAAAAAGAAAAATGCAGGTTTTACAGGGACATGGTTTAATTGTGTTGACGTATCTCTTTATGAAACACGGTTGCGATCTGATCAGCTCAGTGCAAAAGCTAAAGGTGGGGATTTTCTCAGAGTATCCAGATGGGCTGGAGAGTTGCCTGTGCCACAGCTTATGATATTTTTAAGCCCCGCGCTTACGGCCCTGTACTATGATGCCATTGCTGTTACATTTGACATGTTGGTGTTGAGTCTTTTCTCATTATATGTTTGGTTATAATTCCATTAATTGTTGGCTTTTGGCTATATAGATGATATAACTGGGGATTATCAGCTTCTTCTACTCTCAGTGTCTGCAGTGGAGGCTATGAGGTCTGGTAGTTTGACGACAGATCCCAGACCTTGTTAGTATGCATCTCAGCTGTGTTTGCCTGTTGTGGCAGGCTTACAGGGGGCTGAGACAGGGACCTGGTGCTTTTCCTTAGAGAAGGTCACATCTTTCATATGGGGCCTCGGGGGGCCGAGGGGGGAATGGGTATGTTCACATCATCAGCAAGGGCATGGAAAGGCATGGTTCAATGACACAGCAGGATATTTAGAAATCTGCCTAAAAGCATGAAGCACACGGTGAGAAAGTCAAAGTGAGAATGAGAAACAGTTAAAGTTTGCTTTATGTGCAAGGCTTTTTTCAGCTCTTTACATGAAGGACCGGTTATGTCAGTGGCTCGCTCTCTTCTGGTCTTAGTGGAAGTGATGTGGAGTGAGCGCCTCTTCAGTGCTGCCTCTTTCAGTCAGACTCCTGTTTCCCCTGTCTGAGCGAACCTGGATGCACCCAGATGTGCTGAATTACTGCCCACCTGGCAGCCTTAATGGGTCACTGGTCACTATCAAAGATACATAAGAGACACAGGTGTCCTTCAATAGCTAATGAGTATAGCTGCTTATTCATTCATAGTGATTGGTTTCCTTGCAGAAATATGTGGCTTTGGATTAATAGATATATGAAAAATGTCACCTTTTTTGCACAGTTTGTGTGGTTAACACTGCCATTTTGTCAGTTTGTTTAGACTCACATTCAGTTACATAAACAAATCATTGAGTGTGTGTATTTTTTGTATTTGCATCTTTTTTTGCAAAAAAAGTAAGTGTAATGTTTATGGCAGAACTTACACTGGTTTATGTTAGATTTTAGGGATTTGCATTTAATCGTCCCGAGCTGCCAGCTGTGTCAGTGTTCTGGCTGTGCTATAATTGGGGACACAAACGTCGAAGAGGCCTGTCGTGAGTGGAAATTGGAGCACGCACCTATATGACAGCGGATGTACCCAGAACCTTCCCCATGCTAATGAATGTCTCTGTACTGATTAATTCTCGTCCTCTTTCCCCAGTCACAGCAATACTGCGGAAGTTAAAGCAGCAGTCAAGGGAGAGTGTGGAGGATAAGAGGCCAAAATTACTTAAGGCCCTCAGGGAGGTGAGGATCACAGCTGGTTCCACTTACACGGAGGTCACTGACATTTTAAACTCATGTGTGCCACCACTATGATTCTGCATCATTTAACTTTTAGCTGAATATATTTGGAAACTCTCCCCAGGCGTCAATTTGCATAACTGACTTCAGCTTGTCCTTGAGGTTCCACAGTAAACACTCAAATACATACCTGTAAATGCCAGCTGGCCTGTTCTGTTTTTTTGGGAATGTATCGGCTGAGGACATTTTTGTGGTTTGAATTATTTATTTGTTTCTTTTCCAGCTCGGTGACTTTTATCTGGAGCTGCATTGGGACTTCCAGAGTTGGGGTGAGATTATTTTTTTCCACAAAGATAAAAGTTTCTTTTTCACCCACTTCTGGCAATAGTTTTGAATTGTGAGAGTTGGTAAGACTGGCCTCATTTAATTTATTTTTCAGAAATTAATTACTTAAAATAGCTTCATCCAGCTCTTATTAGTTACTGTAATCCCTCTCTTTCATAGTGCCTTTGCTGTCCCGGATCCTGCCATCCGACGCCTGTAAAATCTACAAGCAGGGCATCAACATAAGGTCAGGAACTTGTCAAATTTGAGACTTACTTAAATTGAGCAAATAGCTAATATTTAGGTCAAGAACTTCTTTTAGATCGGTAAAGTAGGACATAACAGCCTTCACTCCCCCTCAATCCTCTGTCCTCTATCTTCATTTAGACTTGACACTACCCTCATAGACTTTAACGATATGAAGTGTCAGCGTGGAGACCTGAGCTTTATTTTTAACGGTGACGCTGCACCCTCCCAGTCCTTTGTGGTCTTGGACAACGAGGCAAAAGTTTACCAAAGAATACACCACGAGGTAAGCGAGCGGCGTGGCCTGGGCCGTGCTCACGTGCTCCGATGTGCGAGGTCTAACTCCTTATTTTGCTCCAAGGAGTCGGAGATGGAGACTGAAGAGGAAGTGGACATTCTGATGAGCAGTGACGTGTACTCCGCCACACTGTCAACCAAGTCCATCACTTTCTCTCGCAGTCAGATCGGCTGGCTCTTCAGAGAAGATAAAACAGTAAGGCCTGCTTGAAAGGACCACAAACATCAGATTTGTTATGGAAAAGCATGTTCCTTAAGTTTGAAGAAATGAAAGCTTAGAAAATGAAAGCAGGAAGCAGAAACTATATGACATAGTGACAATCACCATGTAAAGGTCTTCAAAAACGCCATTGCCATAGAGATTGTGTTAGATATTCAGTTCACAGGAGAGTACATACATATGTTTTTACCATTTTTCAGCCATTCTCACTTTTCAATCCTGGCAAATGTCTGGACCATATTCAGGTAGTTTGGTCCTGGTTGCACTTTATTTTCAGACGTTTGCATCAAACTGTTGTTTACTAATATTTTCTTAACTGGAGAAGCTCTGTGTTGCTGTGAATGACAGCGCGAGCAGCGGGAGGTCAGCCCGTTCTGCCGCTCATCAGCTGTGGCTCCACAGTCCACCAGCGGAATGACACACTTCCAACTATGAGACAGAAAATTCAGATGAAAAGCACAAACACTTCCCATCTTTTACACCTTTTGAAAAGCAATGCGAGAGAGAGCTGGCGGACCTGACCGGTCAGCAGCCACAGAATCTTTCCCTGCGTTTATCTATATTCATGTGAAGTGGTTTTATGCTGCCTCTAGGATAAGAACCACTGCACGGTTTATTTATTCATTTAGTTTTTTTTCCCCCTCTTACTTGGTTTTATTTTAATCTTTTAACAATGGTACAGGATAAAAGGATTACAATCCCTAAGTGATCTCCGAGCTGCATCTTTTAGTTTAGCCTGAGGAAATAACCCCAGCATTACCCATGTTTTGAGTTTGTTTTTTAAAGCTTTAGTTATGTTGTAGGATGAGTGAGTACACCCCCACCCAACCTCTGACCTTCCACCATCTCCTTGGCTTCCTTATAGGAGAGGGTCGGAAACTTCCTGGCTGATTTCTATGCAGTGAACGGCTTGGTGCTAGAGTCCAGGAAACGGCGGGAGCACCTAAGTGAAGAGGACATCCTGAGGAACAAAGCCATCATGGAGAGCCTGAGTAAAGGAGGTGGCATCAGTGAGCAGAACTTTGAGGTAAAAAAAGAAGTAAATCAGTGGTGTGGTTTCATTTGCAAGCAGTTGCTATCGGTAGCATCTGACTGTGCTGAAGATGCCTCTGACTGGTGCTTTTCTTTCCCCAGCCTGTGAGGAGGCAGTCTCTCACAGCTCCAACCCCAAACACCATTTCTTGGGAAGAGTATATAACTGCGGAGAACGGAAAGTAAGCATCTCGTTTTCTACAATTTCTCCAGCCTTTGGTGTAACTGTCCACTTTTATTCAACAGAAAAACTGTGGAGCTGCTGAGTGGAATACATATTTCTGCTTTTGTCTGTGTTTCTTTCCTCCTTTAGGCCTCCTCATCTCGGGCGAGAGCTTGTGTGTAAGGAAAGCAAGAAGAACTTCAAAGCAACTGTAGCCATGAGCCAGGATTTCCCCCTGGGTATCGAGTCGTAAGTACATCCCGACCGCCTTAGATCTCCTTTTTTAAAGCTCTCTGCACAGGTTGATCTTGGGTGAATACGCCAGGGGATTTCGCATAAAGGAGTAGAGATTAAATAATTCAGCTGATAAAGCTCGATACACTAAAAGACCTCACTTGTTACATCAGGGATCCGCAGATAACAGCGTTTGCCTTCAAACAGCATTTTGGCTGTGTGGAGTCAGCTGAGTGGCAGCAGCATAGCTGGTGGAGGGAGGTGTTCTCCCTATCCAGATGTTCATTACACAGTTACAGCTGTGGAACCAAAGGCCCGCCCACTGATGCACTTTTTTATTTGGATCTGCTCCATTTGACTGGGAAAAAAAGTATTAACTTAATTGCAAATTACTTTCTTGATTAACTTCCAAGACTTCAAATAGTTTTATATTTCATAAAGCTCTGTATATCATTTTTTAGATCTCAAAGATATCGTATTTACTGTAAGATAAGATCATTTGAACCCCGTTCTTACATCTCGAGGACAAAGGATGGTGAATTGCGATAACTATTGCTTTAAAAAATAACAAAAGTTGTGGGACAATAACTTATTTATTCTTTACTCTGACTGACCAGACTTCTTTTTCATCGTTTAGCTTTTTGTTTTAATTGTGTATATTTTTCTGAGTTAACACACAAAAACTGAAAGTGCATTGTTTTTACGCGGAATTGATTTGATTTTCAACAAGAACAAAAAAATGTATTCAATAGGTTAATAGAGAAAATCAGATAATTCACGCAAATTAGAATAGTTAGAGGATGATGTAAGATTCAGGCAGGGTACGTTACATAACTTAACCGCTTTATCTCCTGAGTGAGTGAATCGTCCTGGAGAGAACATTACAACCCCATTGTTTATCACAGCTAATAGCTTTTTAATGTCATTTTCTCCCCCTCGTATTTTCTGCTTTGTATTGTTTGAAAAATGTTTGCTGCTTTGATAATGTTCCGTTTAATGCCATAATCACAAAAATGAAACAAAAATCTAAATCACTAGTGCTACAGCTGGAGAGAAATTGAGTTTTCTCAACCCAGTCACCGCCCCTTTCATTTTCACTCACTTATGCAAACGTTATTTTTGCATAGAGAGAGTTATCGAGTCATTTTCCAGAGCTTCTGCTGTGTTCGGACACCACTCTTAGCCTGAGCCTTACAGATAAGGAAATGTTTGAGATAGCAATCACTCGTTTTTTTCATGTTGTTTTCAGTTAAGTGATTTATCTGTTACTACAACAACCAGAGCGCTGATTTGATCATATCAGAAGTTGCTACACTGGATTATAAATGCGCATCCTCAATATGAAGTTGTATAAGTGCTCTCAGTGACTTTTAGTATTAAAAAATTGGTCTTTTTTATCTTAACAGCTACTGCTCTTCAGAAAGCAACCCATACATTATAATTTGATATGCTCCTCAAAATGCTTTTACATCACTCCTAGTTTAGACTTTTTCTCTCACACCTCCAACTGGGTAACATTTCAAACAGGACAGCCTGATGCCCGTCACTATCTCTGCCTGAGCAGATTCCGGGCCCTAAACGGGGAGCCTCACCGGGCAGAGCGACTGCCCTGCGTCAGTGGTCAGACCTGTCGTTTGCTTCAGGAAATACAGATAAAAGCAGGTTCTTACGTCCAGATATGTTGGCAAACTAGAGCACGGAGCTCACTGCCGTGTTACTGAGGCCACGCATGAATCGCATGCTTTCACAAAACTTAATCTCAAAACTGTTAACATGCACACTAACATCCGAGCGGCTCGATATTAAGGTTAGAAAGGCTCTTTCTCCTCTTATTGATTTTACTCCTCCAGCACAGCTCAGAAGGCTGAAGAGTCAAGGGAGGCGTCCTCTCTGTGTCTGCCTTTGAAAGGACATTAAAAGAAGGAATGATTGACATTTTTACTGGCTGTAGCTTTTATTTAGCATCTGACTGCTGTCTGAAGGCAAATCCTGAAAAAAAACATCTTTAAGTATCACCCTCATGGATCAATTGAAAACTTTCCCTTTTATTTCATACTGTTTTCATATTTTCAAGTCAAGGGTCTGGAGTTTTTATTCACTGTGTTTCTCATGACACCTTTCGTCTGCTGACCGACTCTGCTCCGCCCTCAGGTTACTAAATGTGTTGGAAGTCGTGGCCCCGTTCAAGCACTTCAACAAACTCCGAGAGTTTGTACAGATGAAACTTCCTCCGGGGTTCCCAGTCAAACTCGGTACGTGTCGGCCGACCAGCACATTCCTGCCGGTGTGTGAACTTCAAGTGGAGGGTGGAAAAGTAATGATTTTTTTTGTTTGTTTGGCTGCTTTGCAGACATCCCTGTCTTCCCCACGATCACAGCCACCGTCACCTTTCAGGAGTTCCACTACGACGAATTTGAAGAGTCTATTTTCTTCATCCCGAATGAATACAAGGAAGATCCCAGTCGCTTCCCAGACCTCTGATCTGAAAACGCATCGTTCTGTGTGTTTATATATATATACATGGCTAGCTATTAAAAAGGGAAAGAAGGGGGAGGGGCCTGGTCTTACTGATCAGTTACTGTTCATTTTCAAAGCTAATCAATGCAAGAAGCTATTAAAGAGCACCATCTGGCATCATTTTGGTGAAAGATGGCTTCCATTGTTCTCACTGTTCACAAACAGAGCAGTTGCAGCTCCTGCTCCATGCTGCTGTCCTCTACTGTGAAAACTGTCAGGTGACACCATTTTAATAGTTCCATTTGTAAATAATGCATTGCTCAACTTCAGGTCAGGACAAAAACAAATTACAGATATAACTATATCATTAAACTGAGCTTACTATCCATTTATATATTATGTACTATATATATATATAAACTCAAAGAGTAACACTGTGTAGCAATACATTTCAAGTACGTCAGAATGTTTTTAACCCACTGGGATAAGGTTTAGCATTTAAAAAAACATTAGCAGTTCAGTATGGAAGCCTCTTTCCTGTGCAGGGCGCCGTCTCCTGTATTTTCAGGTTAGCTCATCTTACCTCTCAGCTGTCTCCATGTTTTGTTGTGATAGTATGGATTTTGTGCTCCGTGCGAGTGAGTAATTGTACTGTATTGAGGATTGTTCTGTGTAGGTCTGTGTGTTGAAGAACCCAGAAGGGATATCAGGTAAACTGCTGTCAGTTTGAACACTGCACTGATGTTTAAGGCATGCTATGGCTGTGTTGGCCTCTGGATCACATGAATCTTTAAGCCGTGTTCTCTGAACATTTTATTACCCGCAGACAAGCCCCTTTTTAGATTTAAGAGGAAAACTGAGGCCGCAACACCAACGTATTGAAACAACTTTTAGTGCTCATGATCTTTGATTGGTAGACAGCGGTTGTTTTTTAATATGCATACATGTGAAACAAATGAGAAAAAAAGCTGTGAAGTTGAAACAGCTGGATATTCAGTGTCAGGACAGGAAATAATCTCATCCATTGCTGGCTTCAGCAAATATGTACCGCAACCATAGCTACTTCACATCCCTTTAAAAAAAGAAAAAAGCACCAGCATCATATTTCAATGACCTTGTGTCTGTATTATTGAGAGTTTTTGCTTGTGGTGAGCTGCTTGTTTCATGTCAAACACTGTTTATCCTTTGAAAACTTCAATAAAATGAAATGTTCTCCCTGTATATTTGCTTCATGTATATATTTTTTACATTACATATTTCTACAGTTCTTCCATCTTTTTCTAGTACGTCACAGCAAATGACTAAATGCCAAGTTTCTATTTATGGTAGTTGTTTGTCAGGCTTGCTGCACCAACTAAAGTTTTCTCCTGAGCTTAATGGACTATTGGTTTATTTTTTTCTTTAAACCCAGCTTGAGCTATATTGGGAAATAAGAAGATCGCATCTCTTCAAACAGATTTTATTATATAAAAGAAATCCTTGATAAAACACTTCCACATGAGAAGCAAGATGTAACTGTTTGTAAATGAGGAGAAAAAGTGTTACACCACAACACTAAACAAATGAAAAGATACAATAAGTGAAGTGACAGAATCTGATATCCATCCAACAGAGGCAAAGTCTACTTCCAGTTTAACCAACTGCATCTGATGACAAACAGCAGCTAAATAATAACCCCCCCCAAAAAAGGAAAAAAAAAAAAAAGCCGTGAGGCTAACAACTCTACACTGTACATTTTCAAAAGAGCAGACTTGTCTTTTGTATGATAAACCGATACATTTGAAACACTTCACATTTTAAATTTACCCCAGTTGGAAAAACTTTGCCGCATGTTTACAACCAAAATGGAGGGATAATATGGGTGAGAGCGGGGCGGAGGACTCAGTCGCTGACATCCATGTCCTCTTCATGATGGTCGTCGGCCCCGTTAACTTTGGCCTGCTTCACGAGCCGCGCCGTGCCGTTACCTTCCAAAGACTGAGGAGACAAAGCAGAGTCGTCTGAATCCTTTCTGCCCCTCTCCTTCTCGCTATCATAGCCTTGTTCTTCTTCATCATAATCTCTGGTGATCTGTGAAAGGAAACCAATGGGTCATGTGACATGAGTTGGGCTAGCGGTAGTCCAGTGACGGCCCTGCTGTGTGAGGATGTCATCTGTGCGGCAAATACAACCAACCAACCTTAACATCTCCTTTCTCTCCGTCTGACTTCCTTTCACGCTCTCGTTCTTTGTCTTTACTCTTCTTCTTCTTGCTGGTGGAGCGCTCTCGCTCCTCCCGGATGCGCTCTTTATCGCTCCTGCGATCTCTCTCCCTTTCTTTATCCCGCTTCTTTTCCTTCTTGTGTCTGTACAGGGTAGATAAGGGATAGAAATTATTTCCTTTTTTGAAGAAGTCCATTTGACAGGAGCTAAGCATAACCCACCGTGTAGGATTAACAGTATGGACGCACAAACCTGCGTGGAGAGGGGGATGGGGAGGGTTTCCTTTTAGGAGACTTCTTGGGGGATCGGCTGGCGGTGCGACTTCTCCTGTGTCGTCTGTGGGGCAGAACGGAAAAAGGGGAGATGTTGCTTGTGTTGAGTGGCTGACTTACAAGGTCCAGGTTTGTTCAAACAGTAACAATCCCAAAAAGAGACCCAATCAGAGGACCTGAGCGGGACTCACCGGGTTGCACTACGTGACCTCCTGGTGGTGCTGTAACTTTTGGGCGGCGTTTTGGATTTTCGTCTCGCTGCTTCTTCCTTCTTCCTCTCCCTGGAAAGAAATAAAAGACGCAGACCATCTCGCAAGTTGTCTAACGGCTCGTCTGAGAAGACGCTGGACGTGAGGCCTCTGAGCGGCTGACCCACCGGGATCTGCTCCGGGTTCGCCTGCCCCTGTCTCTGGAGTGGGTGTGTCTCCTGCGTGGGCTTTTGGAGCGCCGTCGGCTTCTCGAGCGGGATCGGCGCCGTGATCGGCTCCGGGTTCGCCTGCGGCTTATGTGCATTTGTGCAAAATGAGTTACGGTTCGATGCACACAGAATCTGTGCAAGACGGCCGTGTTCTGAGGGCTGCTTTACCTGTGTCTGGACCTGGACCTGGACCGTCGCCTTCTGGACCTGGACCGGGACCGTGAGTGCTTCTTTTTGCCATCCTTATCTGTAAAATACCAAGTACACATTTTAAATTAACCTCAATGGACGTTATTTGTGCTTTGGATCTGTTTGGGTACAAAATGCTTAAAAGACACTGCCGGGTGTCAGGTCATAATGATTTCAGAAGGATCAGATCGAAAAGCAGAGGAGTCGGGTGATTGTTTGTGCACTCACGTCCAGGTTCGATGGCAGCAGAGATGAGGGACTGGGCCTCTCTGACTCTCTTCATGGCCTCCTCAATCTCCTTATTAGAGGCATCAGCCTTCAGGCTGGCACTCAGGTTCAAACCTGCAGCCAAGGGATTCAATCTGCATACAGAAATGGAAATGAGTTACTTCATCGTTACTTTATACTGGGCCTTCACCCTCTACAGCCACAAAATGACTCACTTGGGATCCGTCATCATCTTCAACAGTTGATCAGCAGCCTGTGAGAGGAGAGCAGAGATGCATGAATTGAACCGCACGTTCAGCTGTGCACACCGTTTAAAGGTAGACTGTATTCAGCCAGTAAAAAGCTCTCACCTGGGGGTTCATATTGGGTCCAGGGAAGCCAAACGCTGCCATTGCGTCCATGTTTGGACCACCAAAGGGATTCCCTCCGAGCTGGAATGGCCAGATACATTTTATTTTAGCCACCAACTCATTTTTGACATTCAAGCCAAAAACAATTAATCTGTTTCCAATAAGTTGATTTTTCTCTTTAAAAAAACAACAACACACAAATAGCACAAAAATACCCATTTGAAGTGTAACAACTGATACTATAATCTTCTAACCATGGACTAAAATAACAAACCAAGACATTTGCAATTTATGCTGACAAAAATGATGTATCATCAACTTTGACTCCAAAGCAGTTCTCAGCTGGAATACAACATGATTTACAATTTCAATATATGCTGTGACGTGATATTTGGTTATAACGTCTTACGGCTGGGTTGGGAATGGGATTCGGTGTGGGAAGAAGGCCTCCTCCGGGCAGAATTCCTGCAACAGCATTTGCTGGGGCCAGCAGGGACAAAGCTTTGGCCTCATCTGGAATCGATCCTACAGGAAAATACAAAGCTGGCATTAGGAGGGAACATCTACACAAGTATATAAAATACATACAAGAGGCATTGGAAAAGACTGGAAAATAGTCTTCTTACTGCATTTCTTCAATTAAAAAAAAAACAAAAAGTGTTACCTTACAGTTCAGAGTTCCCATAACTCAAAATAATCATTGCAGTGACATAAAAATTGGTGGAATAAATCACACTACTCCAATTAACACTGCCAAGAATGTATCACCTGAATGTGTTTTTTAAGTCATGAACCAAACGTTAGCAAGCACAGGTGCTTCTCCAGTTGGGTGTGCCCTCAATTTTCATTTAGATGTTTACTGAAACAAGCGACTCACGCTGGCGGCTTCGCTACTAAAAGCACACAGAGAAAAATCGAGATACACACAACAAAGAGAATTTTAGGGGTTTGGCAAGAACACTAAACAAGCTATGAGTGTCTACTTACCAAAAACACATTTCAGAGGATTCAGTGGTTATTTGCTAAATGGTGATAAATTCAGAGTAGGTAGCGTGCCTGCTGTAGAGCATAAGCTTAGTCATTACCTCACACTGAACCAATTACCAAACCTTTAAAGAGGACGGTTGTCCATTTCTAATCACGTTTACGTTAAATATACCAAAAAGTTCTACAATATCCGAAAATTAAGCACGTTCTAATCATCTCATAATGAATCTATTCCCAACTTTACTTGTTAACAAAATGATATGACCTAAATATGGACAAACAACAGTGACAACATTTAAATACAAAAGCACACTGGAGAGAGAAATTGTTGCAGGACACAAAACTGTTGGATGGTATTTTCAGCAGGGCCTGGAATACAGGACTGGCTGAGCCAGGAAAAAGAACTGTAAAACACAACAACAAAAAAGACCACTGTTAAAGAGAATATTGAACCAACATTGTGTCATGTCGGGTGGCTATCTTAGACAATTCATGACAAGATCTGGGTTATGTCTTGCACATCAAAGGTTACAAAAAGCGTTCAGTCCAAGTTTAAATCGGAATTCTGTAGAAGAAGAAAAAAAGATACCTTTGGAGTACCTGAACATTGAGAGTTTTTCTCTGAAGTGCAGTATCACCAGAACCAAGACCTTTTTCAAAGTTACTTCATCCCTCTTTTAAGAAAGTTACACTTGGCAATCTTTGTTTTTTTCACAATTAATAGCCTCAGTAAATTATATAAAACTATTCATCTCATCTTCTGGTTGTGAAAATATACATGTATTTTTGGAAAACCACCCGAGTAACGTAGTTTTTAACAGACTTTATGAAAACAGTAAAAAAAAAACAAAGCATTTAATTTCAGTTGTAGACTCTTACAGCAGGATAGTGAACTAACACAAAGTAAATGACTGTTGTCAGTGCAATGAAATACATGATTGTATTTAGCATTTTTCATTCCTTTTGGCACCTAGGAAGTTGCTGACATTCTAAATGTGAGCAGAAACAGAGTCAAATTTGGCTGGAAAGGAACAGTCCTAAGGCAATAAAATGAAAGGCCAAGCAGCACTCCGGTATTTGGAAACACTGCACTGTAAGCACTTCTCTTTCATGAACGTCTCTCATATCTGACCTTTATAACCTCGACTAAATCTCTTTGGCAAGAAAAAAAAATTAAACAGAGAGAAAGAGAAAGACCAGGCAGAGACAGAATAGAGGACAAAGAGAGGGGTGGGGCTTGAAAGCTTGCTGGCCTTTGCAAATGTCTACAATTCCCTGTTGGCAGGCAGAGGACCACTTTCAGCCATCAACGAAGGGGCTGCTTTTGCCTTCTTCACTACAAAAATCACACACACACACACACATACATACACACACACACACAAATAACAGAGAGAGGTTTAACAGTGGGTAGTCCAATATGGGGAGAAAAAAATATGCATATGGTAAAGTATTGTTCTACTTTACTGTTCAACTTTGAGGGCGCCCACTGTGGGGAGAACGTTCAACTTCTCCTGCGTGATATAAATTTTGGTATACTGCTCTTTCTGCATACGGCTCAATTGTTTTTTATAGCATATTTTTTAAGATAAAGCCTGCTGGGTGCAAAACACAAAAAATATGATTGGTGCATTTTGGTGCATACACATTATGAAACAGTATACCAAAATACCTGTTAAAGGAAGTCTTCTTCTTAAGGTAGCCTAAGACAGCATAATCAGTTCCAAGGCAAAGTAAAGTAAATAAGAAAAAAAGGAAAAACAAACAGATGGATCTTTTACTTGTTTGTTTAGTTAAAATTCACAAATTATGCCATTCTATTAAAAGGAAGGACGCATTTATAAGCATAACGATGAGACAAACCTTCAGCAAAAGGGACAACGATCAGGGCTCTGTCCACAAACACAGTATTGGTCAGATGCTGAGACACTCCCACAGACTCTGGTTCCTGGAACTTCACAAAGCACACCCGCGAAGTCACAGGCATAGGAGAATCGCTGTTTTTAGAAATAAGAATAGAAATATGGCATTACAAGCTAGAAGACTGCTACTCAAGACAGGCAACTTAAAATACGCAAAACCCTGTGCTCTAAGATTCAAATACCGAACTAACAGATCTTTACATATAAACAAAAATAAACAAACATATTGTAACATTTACAGGAGCAAACTAAATTGAAATATTTGGCATTTTATATAAACATATTTGAAAACAGTGACTGATACTGTACTGATTGTACTGTATTAAAGCTATTCTGAGCCATCCATTTTAGTTAATTTCGATTCATACGTACAGTTTAAAATAACATGAATTCCTTCCAATTATTTTAACTGCCCTACACCTTATTCTGTGTATTTTCTATATTTATATAAAAAATGAAAACATTCGCCTATTTGAATAAAGACGCGCTCAAAAATTCACCTAATTATATTACTCTTCTCCCAGATTCCCTTTTCAGCATCCTATCTTTTTCAGAATATACAAAGTAATATTCACGGCCCTATAGTAAACTCATTTTTGACCTGAGAGTAATTTTTTGGCCAAACTAGCGTTTATGACGTAGGATTAGCTAAAGGCTAGCCACAATTATAGTTAGCATGGGCCTACGTTTCAGTTTAACGAATTTGGCTTGTTAGAAAAAATATACCGATCGTCGTGCATATATTTAAGTTCGCTTTTCAAATCTGCATTTATCAATTCAACTCACTCTGGAGGAAATAACTTCAACTCCTCAATAGTTCCCAGAAAACCAAACAATGTCCTCATCTGTTCCGACGTTGTGCTCGGAGACACGTTGGTCACCTGGACCACCTTCGTCGTGTAACTCATTTTCCCGACCAAATTCTAAACAGATCAATGACAAAATCGGTGAACAGATGTTGGAGAATACACGAAACAGTATCCACCGTTCATAAATTAAATTTGTTTACGATATTTATCTAGATGAGCGTTGGCTAACGACTATAACGACAGAGGGCTATCGAGCCTCGCCGCCATATTGATAAAATTTCTGACGTAGTGCGCATGCGTGGACTTGGAAAATCACAAGAAGAATCATAGGAAGATAATGTCACGCCAGATATGACATAGTTCCAAATTTTCATTTTTGTCTTCAAGCGATATTGAGCTATTTATCTGTCATTGAACTTTGACACCAGTTCATGAAATACTACCTAAACTGAAAGTTATTTGCATTAGTATTAGTAACCAACAGAGGTCGCCCTTTTTCGTCACCAAGAACAATGATAATCTAAACTTTCTTCTCAACTCTTTAAAATCCAAAAATAATTTATTGAAGTAAAATATACGTATTTTTATTATGTGTTTTCATTGTATTTCTTTTAATATATGGATTTCATTTTGTGTTATTATTTGTAGAGTTATTTATTAAATGAGTGAATTCACAATGCAGCTGAAAATATTTAAATGAGAAACCTCATCAATGTTTTACACAATCTCAGCTCAGTGAGCTGCAAAACTACTGTAATGTATCAGTTTAATGAATAAGCAAATGCAACATGGACCACAATGTGTAATAAATGCTTATCAGGCTGATTACACTGTAACTTGTTCAGCTCTACGGTATTCAATTCTACCCCAAATTATCCTGTGATTACAACTTCTTCAGTGTGCATCATCTTGGAAGTATATTTCATTCCTTATTTTGCTGTCAAAACTAAAATGCTCATTTAATATGCCCACATGTTTGGTCTTTGCTCATCAACTTCATTTTAGCTTCCATCTAGGCTCAATCACATTTTGTTTGGTAGACAAAAGCTGTCCTATGACTAGATCAAGCAAGTGATATGGAGCTTGACACAAGAGACGATCATAATGTTAACCAAGTGTCATGAGGCAGTCAAATAAACACATTTTCCCAAGTGATACTGAATGGGCAGCAAGCAGTCGCTGCACTTGGAATTGTTGAAACCTGCTTTAGGATTGTTTTTATCCAGAGTTTTTGTATTGTTTTCTTCTTTCATTGCATGTGGGCTCTTACATCTCGACCACGTCACAATACTGCTTGTGGTGAAACACTCTGCTAATGGTCTTTTTTCCCATCAGAAACAATGCAGAGTCTGTCTACAGGCTAATCCTTACACCTGGATTATAGTGGCACAGAGACAAGTGAGTCCAAGCATTTTTGGTTTAGAACAAAGGATAGCAGGTCATGCCTCAGTAGTATATGTAACAGCTATTGTGATGCTATCGTCATAAGATTAAAGCGGTGAAGCTATTTTGTTATATTTTTCTCATGATAGATATCAATCCAATTTAATCTAATAATTAAAAAAGAAATACAATTCCATGTGCAATGAAATGCTATTAAACTCCAAAAGGGAATTTTGGCTAATTTAGTCTCAAATTTTCATTCCTAAAATTCTGTGCTTAAAGTTCCAAGAGTATTACATTTTTTATATTAGTGTAATCAGACAGTAGCATTAAGAGTTCATCACACATATACTAAATTACTCATGTTTACTCATGTCTTAAAACTATTCTCTATAATGTTTGTAAATCCAACATTTTCAAATGCATTGAAACATACTTTTCTGAGTGTGATTCAACTAAATCTTAAAAGAGAAGCCTGAGCAGTTAATAGAATTGGAAAAAAATATATCACATGCACTATTGCAACATTTTTGCCAAGCATTGTTTTCTGCAATACATATTCTTCTAAATAAATCCGGTCTCAGTGGGGCAGCCATTGAGTCATCTACCAGAGGATATTGGCACAATGGAATTCTTGTTCATGCTGTGAAATGATTGGTCAGGAGGAAGATTTACAAAACGGGCTGGTGAGCGTGAGGAGGACCAGGCAAATAAATACCCCAAAATCCATTGGGAGATCAGAGGCTTCCAGTTCAGGAGTGACCACAGGTTTTTCATACGAGTTTGGTTTGTGTTCCCACGACAAGTAGACATGGTCAGCCGGTGAGTTTGAATTTAAGTTTAGCATGTCTTGTCTTGTAAATATAGCTTTCATGCTATGTTTTTTAATCAGAAAATAATCTGTTCCTTACATTTTACGCAATCGTAAGTTCAACGTTATCCTGTGACTTTATTTGATAATCAGTGTGTCTGCTGCAGACTAAGCCCCTCCAAGACTTAAAGCTCCAGCTAAACTCCGCCACCGTAAACTGCCTGACCTTTCAGAAAGACGGCTCTTACTTAGAACAGACGTCTACTTTTAAACCTGTTGAAAATTCACAAGCTCTATTATAGTTTCCTGTTATAGTATTCACATTTGTCTTCTCCAGATTTGAGCACCCAGCTGGTGGATACAGGAAGATTTTTGAGACCTGCGAGGAGCTTGCAGAGCCTCTGCCAGCAACAGTCACTGGTCCGTCAACATTCTTAACATAGTGATGGACATCATTTCTCTATATTCCTAAAATAATTGCTTTACTGAGGATATCTGCTCACAGCAATAGTCTTCAACTCAGCTTTGATCGTGTACTTATGTGATTTTAGTAGCAATACACTAAAGACATTTTCCCCATTCACATTTACTCTACAGGAAGGATCCCTCCATTTCTGAAGGGAAGTCTTCTCCGTTTGGGACCTGGACTTTTTGAGGTTGGAGATGAACCCTTTTATCACCTCTTTGATGGCCAGGCCCTCATGCATAAATTTGACTTCAAGAACGGCCAAGTTACCTACTACAGGAAGTAAGACTTCAGGGACAACTCTGCAACTTTGTCAAGCCTTTGTCAGGTCTTTTTCATGATTTTCGTTCTGATCCAGTAAGGATTCGACCACAGTTACATGTCCGTTCGTAATATTCTTAATCATGAATTTGCAATCACCAAAGAATAGAATCTCCCTGTTAATTCAGTGTCCATTCAAAGATCTTCAGTTATTCATGAAATACTGACTACACACAGACTGTGTTTATGCATCATAGTCATTTTGACTAACCTGCTCAGATTGTAGTTTTTGGGGTTTACACTTGTTTAGATTTTAAAGACCATAAACAATCACATTTTGCGAAACTTACAATTTTGTGATACCATAAGATATTCTATTTTCCGTCCTTTGTAGGTTTGTCAGGACAGATGCATACGTGAGGGCCATTACTGAGAAGCGCGTGGTGATCACTGAGTTTGGCACATTTGCGTATCCCGATCCCTGCAAAAACATTTTCTCCAGGTAGGTTAAAGATGCCAAACTTTGCCTTTGTGGCCTTTGAAAGAGTCACATTCACAGTGCAAAACAGGTGATTCTTCGTATGTGTACAATCCTTTTTTTTGTTTTTGTTTGTACGTAGGTTTTTCACGTATTTCAAGGGTGTTGAGGTCACAGACAACTGCCTGGTGAACGTCTACCCTATTGGAGAGGATTTCTATGCAGTAACAGAAACCAACTTCATCACCAAAGTGAACACTGACACCTTGGAGACACTGAAGAAGGTACATAAATACAAGAGTAGAATTTGAGGAGGGATAAGCTGATCGAAATCCCTCATAGTAAAAAGGTTTGCCATTTGAATTGACAAAAACTCCCTATTTTCTGTGCAGGTTGACATGTGCAACTATATCAACATTAACGGAGTGACAGCACACCCACATATTGAGAGAGATGGCACTGTATACAACATTGGAAACTGCATGGGAAAAGGAGCAACACTGGCCTACAACATCGTCAAGATCCCTCCAACACAGAAAGGTTTGGATCAGACCGTAGAAGTTAGAAGCCTGAAGCCGGTTATTACTGTGGTACACACAAGCTGAGGTTTAAGTATCAAACAAGCCAACATACAGTAGTGGTCCATTTTTGAACAGTGGATTTCCAAAATTGCCAATTTTTCATGATCAGTGCTTTGTTGCAAGATGTTGCAAACTTGAATATCTATGAGAAAGAACAGTCACGTGAAATGTATCCCAGGGTTTAACTGAAAACATAATAAGGCTTTTCCAGAAGAGACGAAGGCTTAGTGTCTGAAAAAAACAGTGCACTGCTCAAGAGCTTTTGTTTGAAAACTTTTCATGGAGTTGTGTTTGTCTTTTTTGGAGTTTAGAAGCTGGTATGGTCAGACAGTAAGGATTTACACCATTTCAACAAAGTTACAGCTACTTTGTAAAACACAGGAGAAGGGGATTGTGAAAGGTTATAAGAGTCACTGTTTTCTCTTTCAAACTTTCTTACCCAGATAAGTCTGACCCCATTGAGAAGTCAAAGGTGGTGGTGCAGTTCCCCAGTGCTGAGAGGTTCAAGCCTTCTTATGTGCACAGGCGAGTGGTTTCCTGATTTATTTATATTTCTCCTCAGGGGTTAAAAAGTTTTCAGTTCTTTTTTTATGTATGAGTTTTTTATTATTCTTCTGTCTTAGTTTTGGCATGTCAGACAACTATTTTGTCTTTGTGGAGACTCCCGTGAAAATTAACCTGCTGAAGTTCCTGAGTGCCTGGAGCATCCGAGGCTCAAACTACATGGACTGCTTTGAATCCAATGAGAAACAAGGAGTAAGGCGTTCAAGTAGATTGCAGCAGATTCATTTTATATGTGGTTTTCTCTGACCTGAAGCCTCATGATGACACATTTCTATGTGAATTTCCTTTTCATAGACCAATTTCCACATCTCCAAGAAAGACCCAGGAGAGTACATCGACATCAAGTTCAAAGGGGCCCCCATTGGCATGTTCCACCACATCAACACTTATGAAGACCAAGGGTTCCTTGTTGTGGACCTGTGTGGATGGAAAGGGTAACAGAAAGGATGCAGTTTTTCATCTTCATCCGCATCACATTTATTTTTGTTTGATACATTAACACAATCCTGTCTTTCTTGCAGTTTTGAGTTTGTTTACAACTACCTCTGGCTGGCAAACCTAAGAGCCAACTGGGAGGAGGTGAAGAAGGCAGCCATGATGGCTCCCCAGCCAGAAGTGCGCAGATACGTCATCCCCCTGGATGTCCACAAGGTACACCACCTGTCTTGCTCATCAAAGAGACACAAACTTTCACTAAACTAGTGTTTTCTGTCTTGTTTTTGACACTAATTTGTTGATTTGATGCAGGAGGAGCAGGGCAAGAATCTTGTGAGCCTGCCATACACCACAGCCACTGCTACCATGCATTCTGATGGCATGGTATTCCTGGAGCCTGAGGTGTTGTTCTCAGGACCCCGACAAGGTGCAAAATAGAGCTGTTTGGAAACCTTTTTTTGATGGTGCATATTAATTGCCAATGTTTGTATTGATCCTTATATGTTTTGTAGCCTTTGAGTTTCCTCAGATTAACTACGAAAGGTACGCAGGGAAGAACTACACCTATGCCTATGCTCTGGGTCTCAACCATTTCATACCAGACAGGGTAAGGGAGTAAAACCAGACATTTTAAAAATCATCAAATAAGGAAAACAGACAGTTTTGATCATTTACAAGTCATTCTACGTCCTGTACAGATCTGCAAGTTGAATGTAAAGACCAAGGAGACCTGGGTATGGCAGGAGCCGGACTCCTACCCCTCAGAGCCGTTGTTTGTCCAGACCCCTGATGGAGTGGATGAGGATGACGGTAAGTACATGGCAGTTCAAGTACAAGGTTCCATGACATTATTTGTTTCAGGTCAATTTTTTTTTTTGGCCATTTCAAAAATTTGTAAAGGAGGTTTGATTTCTGTTTTTACCACAGGAGTGCTCCTGACCATTGTGGCGGCTCCCGGTTCCCAGAGACCAGCATACCTGCTGATCTTGAATGCCAAGGATCTGTCAGAGATCGCCAGGGCTGAAGTGGAATGCAATATCCCCGTCACCTTTCACGGGATGTACAAACCATGATCAGCTGTTCCAGTATTATCAGCTGCCACAGAAATAAAGATTTTCAGAGAGAAAAAGGGTGCAATTAACCCTCTTAAGCCCATATTAAACTAGAAAACAAATCTTGTGGTTGAAAAAATAAATATTTCGGAACAATATTTTGTGTTAAGTATTCTGGCATTTGTTGTGTTAATTTGCATCTTTATTTGCTGCTAGCAATTGGAAAACTAATCAAAATGACAAGGAATTGTAAATGACACATATATTTCATACAATGCAATTACTTTCAGCCACTACACAGATGTCTTTTTGCCATTATAAGGAAAAATCTGCTGCATATATTTGGTTAAAGATGACTCTTTAGCCTAAATTCTTCAAATAATTCCAGAGATTTTGACCCCCCCAAAATCTCATTATGGTTGCAGTGGAACCAATGACATCTTCCTTTAAGTCTTAAGTGTGTAGCTCAAAGTCGTCTGAATCTGATGTAAAAAAAAACAAAAACATGGAAAGGCATGCAGATCCTGAAATAATGCAAAGCTCATTAAGTGTGTTTGTGAGTAATCTGAGAACAGAAGGACACAAACGGCTATGGATGTTTGTTTGACTTCATTGATTCTTCAATAAGCTACATAAGCACTGAAAAGTAACATGATTTTTAGAGTTTTGCCTCTATGTATTGCCACATTGAGCTGAACCTGAACATCGAAGAGGATATCACCATATGGGCTTTGAGGTTTAAGTGATGGGTTTAGGTGTATACAGTTCATTGACAAAATAGGAATCAGACCTTTTAACATACATGTGTATCAAATGTAAGTATTATCTGAAATATTTAATGAGTGAAAAAAATTGTAAATGATAACAATCTCTGATTTTCCCATTGGTTTTTAAAATGTTTTTAATGAGAACTCTCAGGGGTATCAGTAAAAGTCAGTTGATGAAATTAGGAAGCTCCCAAACAAGGATGATTGCGCTGGTGTCTTGCAAAAATAGTAAAAAGTCTAAAAACTAACTTGTTAACTTGGAGAATAAAGTAAAAACCCTCCTATAATCTAGTCAGGTAGAGAACAAATCGAGGAAGTAGCTGGGTTGATGCCTTCAACGGAGAGGTGCCTTTATGTTTGTTAATGCAGAGAACTTACCTCAAGGTGAACCCCCAGTTCCGAGTTAGATTCTTTCAATGAATAAAAACAAGATAAACTTCTACTGGAAGGAAGCAATAAACATTCATAAGCAGTCCACATCATCATTAGTTGCAAAGAAGGCAGCATGATTTAGATTTCAGACTCGGAAGGGACTCGCTGTCAATGAGACCCGTCAACTTGTGTTTGCAGAATGTGCTTCTGAACATAGAAGTAGTGGCCTGAATTACTCCGGCTGTTGAGCAAAATATGCTAAAACATCCCACCACAAAAGGTCAGGCAAACAAGGTAATTTGACCTCACAACAGTGAGGTATACTTTAACTGACAGAAAAACCCAGAAGAAAGCAACTAACTATAGGCAGAAGCAAACACCAGCTCAGTATAACATATGTGATTTTTATGGGTCTCTGTAAGGCTCCATTGAAAAACCAGTAGCAAATAATGCAACTGGATCTTTATTTTCCTGTGTTCTAACTGCAGGATTCCTTAAAAATAAACTTGGTTTGACAGCAAAGAAACCCCATTTTGACAGAGAAAAAAAAAGGCTTTTAGTTTTCTTCAAATGTAATCTTATGTCATGGATCAGAAAAAAATTAAGAATCTGAAAAACATGCAATTTTTTCCACAGCTGATGCAAGCGGAGGAAATAAAGAATTACCACTGTGGTAGACAGTCAGAGGCTGCATCAGAGAAATAGAGAACCCTGATTATGTGGTCACACTTTCCACAACACTGCCAGCTTTAAGGATTGCATTAATGGAAGGCTCAAAGGAATATTTAGTCTTTGTGCTTTCTGTAATCACCTATTTTGATTTTCACAGGGCAACAAATCTGCCTGTTTGCATGAATTAGTCCACTTAACCACACTGACGTGGGTAGATTTATTTCTTGCCCTAGATACAGCATTGGAATGTCTGCCTGTATTTTAAATAGAATCACATTGTTTTTCTCTTTTTTATTGTTTACAAGAGGGCTTTGCCTTGCAAGGAAAAGGAAAAAAAAATTACAGCAAAAATATAAACTTTTAAGACAAACTCAAACTGACAAACACAAAGTGGGAAAGCTCATTGAAAACAATTGCATCTCAGTTTGAACTCACATCACACAAGAAATCTTCAACAGCTGGGACAGAGGTTTGCACAATTCGACACCAGTGTCTTTACCATCTACTTTAAGAACTGAATATGCAGTGGATTTAACACAAATGTAACAAGATACGTTAGAAAACATATGAACAAATAGCACAACACCCAAACAACACAACTCAGGAAAGCAGATTGTAACTACCGCCAAAACGAACAGAAAATAACACGTGAAAACACTGGAATTCGACAACTCAAACCTCTTCTTTAAAATAAAGAACAACTTAGACTCTCTTTTCTTCCCAGAAGTTGCTGAAGGAAGACTGACAGTGGGGCGAGACTGTTGGCTATGTCCAAATTTAAAGAACTTAATGTTTGACAAGGTCTCATCTTATGTTGTATAGCATGAACCAAAAAGGTCAAACAAAACTTACCAAATCATGAAGATCTCGTAGGGTTTTGAGTTATGAATAAAGCCAGCTTGTCTGCTCCTTTTTGTTTAGGTCAGCTGTCTAACGCAGACATAGTAGTACTCCATTTTAGAAACTCTTGAGAAAAAAAAAAAGATTAAGCAATGTGTCGTACTACTTCTACTTTGAGCAAGCCTCTGTCCCTTTACCTGGGAGAAAAAAAAAAAGAGAAAAAAAAAACAAGCAGATCTTCACACTACTGAATCACATATTTCATTGAATGGAATATCTAGGCTTACCTCAGTGTGACGAGAAACCACTGACAGCTTGGAACGTAACTATCAGCTAGATAACGTTTGCATCCAAGGAGATAAAGGAATGAAGTCTTTGATAGTGCATGGTTATATGGTACATATATTAATATATTGTCTTAGATACTGTCCTATAAGTAAAGTGCAAACCTCTGGATTGGATGAAAAGTGTGTGCAAGCGTTTCTAATGTTCGACTAACTGGCCCACCTGCCAATGCCCAAATGAGCCCTTTATACTGGCTGTCAGATCACTTACTCACTGCCTGGTGAAGCATTCATGTAACACACATATTTAGTTTTCCCTTCAATTCAAAAAGGACTGACCAACGATATTTTCTGACATCAGTGATATAGAACACTCTATACTTCTACACTGGGTGATTAAAGTAGCATGTGTGCATACATTTTGAAATCTTGGCTGCCAGCAGAGCAACACAGCTCAGCTTCCTTAACTTCAAACTGTAAATATTAGCCTTGTATTCTAGTGTCCAACAAAGCATAAGTCCTGTTTTAAGATGGAGCATATTTTAAAAGGTCAGTACGTTTACATTGCTGTAATTACTGCGACAAAACACAAACTCAAACCAGCAGATGTGTAAAAACACCTTTCAGCACGTGGGTAAATAATTTGTTAAACTAAATATCCATTTAAATCCTTTTTCATGACCAACTGGAATTATGGTAAACTGGGGTCAGGTGTGGAGAAATGCCACTGAAACCAGCTCATGTGGAACGCTCAATCACCTAACAGCTCTCTCTCACACACACACATGCGCGCACACACACGCAAATCCATTGTGCTCGCCTTTTGTTGTAACACTGTCCACTGCCTCAGCAGTACAGACACACAGAAACACAATCATGCTGGGTTATAGGGGAGCATATTCTTACTGGCTAATGTTAAGTGATGTTTTAAGACCAGCTTAATTTCAATCTGACCGGGGCGAGTCAAAGGCCAACACTGGGTGAGTGAACTTGAACATTTTCAAAGTGCAAAGACGATAACCTACACACTTATCGGCTCCTCTGATTCAACAAGAGGGGAGGCATTGTATTCTGGTGTGGGAGGAGCTATTAAATATATGCATTGGTGGAGTTGGAATGAAAAGTTAGTTGGTCTCATAGGTGGAGAGCAGGGCAGCGTCCACAGGCTCCATGCAGGAGGGGCAGGTAAAGGATCTCATCAGCCAGTCATCTATACAGTCCATGTGGTAGATGTGCATACAGGGCAAGAACCGAATTGGGTCCCCATAAACAAAGTCCAGCATACAGATCACGCATCTAAAGGAGTAATGCAAGGAAAAAGAAAAAACAGAGTGTAAACACAGAACAGGCACCGTAATGCCAACATAAATCATCCTGGAAAGTCCTGGCATGCTACTTTACTGCTTGTTTTTTGTGGTCTTAAAAGAATGCTCATTAATGTGGATCAGTTTAAAATGAAGTGTTGCTCAGAGACCACACCTTCATTCCTATAAGAGACTAAAGGCAAATCAGCAGAAACAATCATCTCATTAAGGCCCAAAAAACTCACTGCGTAAAAAAAAAAGTGCATTCAAAATAGACCATGTCCCCTGCATCCTTGCTTGATGTGAATCTATAAAATGAATTTGAAAAATCCTCACTCTCTTATCTTCTTCTCGGAGCCGTCCTGCCCTCCATCATAAACACCCTTAGGGAGGTGCTGGATGAGGCCAATGCGCTGAGCTATGCGGATCTGCTCCTCCTCTGTCAACTGGGTGGCCAGACGGGCCTGACTGGGTGTAGGGTGGTACATGGGCATGTGAGCCTGTTCCTGGATGCAGAAGTAGAAAACAACTGTTATCCGTCCATATCAAAGACTCTGTCAACACAATGTTGTCTGACTGGTCAGACTGTGGGTGGAGTTAAACAGATGAGCAGATACAGCAGGAATTCCTTGTAACATACAGAATATTACTGATAGCAACAAAAAGACAAAAACACATTTAATCACTCAACAGGAAACGTAATTAAACTGGATTAGGAGGAGGCCAGTGGGCATTAAATTGAGGTTTTATCAAACAAACACGACACTAACAACATGTTTTCTGTAAAACTGCAGAGTACATAACAATTGGGCTCTTGACTTAAGCTGTCACTGGCCAGCCATAAACTTGTTACTGGGATCAATAATTTGGGAGATAAGAGTTAGCAGCCCGTCACCTGGTACGGCGGAGGAGGCTCCAGGTCTGGGTCTGTCCCGTCACCGAAACTCGCCCTGTCTGACTGGGATTCATGAAGAAGAGAGATGTCGTCTGATGTGGGAGATTTAAGACAGTTGCCCATATCTTGGCGTCTCCTGTCCTTTTCTGGTCGACGTTAAAAAAAAACAGCCCCTGTCCTGCTAAAGTTGCTCTCAGTGGCTAATGTCAGTTTGTTATTTCCAATGTCCCAGAACTGATAAATACCCGATTTAAATATGTACCGTCAAATTCATCCCCGACATGATTATTAAACTCCTGTAGAAAGGCTAAAGGCTAACAGCACCGTTTACATTAATTTCGCTTCATGGTTACACGGACGTCGACCTGCAAAAGAAAACAAAGAACTCCCTTTGCTAACATCGGATAGCAACCTAGCTAGCTACTTTTTTTTTAGGTGGCCAGCTGGACGACTTCCTTGATGAGTAACGTTCCTTCCTCTTTAAGACACACGACTCTGTCACAACACATATTTCACCATCATCTTTAAAGTCACTTTGGCAAATGCGAGCCAAAGAATGGACATTCGCATCTGCGTTATAACTTCGTGAGTAACATTAAACAATTTGGTTCATTTGCTATCTATTTTTCTTCTTCCTCCCTTCATTCAGTCTACTTATGTGTAACTTTGACACCAGCTTAGAGGCGCACTACTGCCACCAAATGGACTGGAATGGAACAGAAGATTCTACGGGGAAAAATAGTTATTCCTGTTTTTTTTTTAAAGATCAGGTTCACTGTTGTACTGTCTTAAGTTTTCCAAAAAGTTTAATTGAATTAAAAAAATGTCCTATAATGTGTAGTGAAAATAGAAACATATTCGAATGAGCGTTCAGCAGTCCTTTGGTGCTGAATGTCCATAGGATATTATTTCAATGCAGCCACATTTGAATAATTTTTGTTTTGTTTATTTAGTTTAGCATTCATTATCTTTGACATTTAATATGCTACCTGAGGCCTGCACATAGATGTTCTCTCTGATTTTACCTTCTTGTGTGAACCTTTTGCAACGTTGAAACCTAAGAATATTGGAAGCTTCATTAAAAATGTCCCTATTGGAAATTATCTCTATCATTTTGGAATGGTAAATGCAAAGTTAACAAAATGGCAAAACGTCTGCTTTAATAGAGGTGCTCAAACTTCCTGCTGATATATTCTGCAGCACTGAGCTGAGTTTTAGCACTCATGCAGTTTTTTCCTATGCTATCAGTGAAAGTGCACTTTATTATTTAGACATTGCTTCCATGTTTTTATTTGCATTTTTTTCAGTAAGTAATACAAACATGTGATGTTATATGTGGTTCTAATGTAAATTTAACCATATGATTTTAAGAAATGTAAGAAACAGAAAATTATTTTTTATATGTCCTTGAATGTATAACCTCTTGCTTTAGCTTATTATACAATAGAATCTGCTCTGAATAATCACCTGCCTTGTTTAAAATGCCATGGTGTCAAGTTGAGGTGAAATTTCAAAACTGCAAAAATCTTAAGAATACATGCATATTTGGAAATAGTTCAATGAAATTGTGTGAGCCTGTGCCTCAATAATAGCTTCAGTTTGTTGATCAATGTTCCCAACGTTTCCTTCATTTTGTCAAATTAATCCCCACTTTCCAGTCTCTTAAACGTTTTAGTTTTGGTGAATAACAAACAAAACCAAAAACATCCAACTTAAGGACACCTTTATTAGTATATACAGTTATTGTACACATAAAAACCAACAGATTATTTGCATTCCTTGAATTTATGATACAAATTCCCTTTTTTTTTTGGTTAAGTGAGTTTCACAGATCTGGCCTATTTCAGGCAAGTAAAACAAATACACAAACCCTAATGTGAATATTTCCAAGTGTAATTTACCTTTAATTCTCTTCAGCTGTTCCATTATGTTTTACTCTCTAGATATTACAAACAGCATTTTTTGTACATTATTTGTAAGCAATATATTTATTTTTTTAATTTTATTCAAAATGTGTCATATGTGTTTTTTCAGTGTTTCTATGTACTTCTCTGCAGTGGTTCATATAATGATCACTATATGAACATTAAAAAAACAAGGTGAATATGAATTTTTCAGATCATTTAGCTTTTGGATCAGTTCACAGTTAAACTACTGTCCTATGTATGCTGTGAATCAAATGCTTGATGTACAGTAATTGCAATGAACATTTTCATTTAAAGGGTAAAACTTGTTTAAAAAAAGGACTCTTTAAAAAGTTAATCATGAAATATGAAAGATCTGAGGTTTGGTAGTCATGATTGAACAATAATGTTGGGTGAAATCACAAAAGCATTGATCTATGTTATTCTATAGCTGCATCCATATCTCACGATTTATTATGTTCGATACCAAAAGAAAAATGATCAGGGGATATCAGGCAGTTCATCCCCTGCACATTCATTCACACAGTAAAAAAATCCAGCATTATAGTGTCACTTGTTAGTATCCACGTTGTCTGGTAAAATATCAGATTGCGTCTTCAGATGGCTTGCTGTATTGATATGGTCAGAAAAATGGAAATGATGGGATAACCACAATGTATTTACAAAAAAGATCATCTATAAGAAAATGTAGTTACATATTCACACATCCCACATGAAGATACTGTTTAGAGCAACACTGATTCATTTAAAAACATATTCAGAAAGAAAATCAACTGACACAAATGACATAATCTTATCCATTCAGTTTATCTATTTTCTGTATTCATTACTAGTCTCTATCATCAAGTATTAGGAAATAGACCTTATTGATTGTCAGTGTCCTGTGTGAATTGACAACTACAGTTTCAGGAAGTGTTCGTCTTCAATGTTTTAGGGTTTTATCAAACATTTTTAAGGGGTCACAGCCTTGAAGATTGAAGAGAGTCACATAAACTTCCATTCTTGACACCACCAAGAGTGTCCTCTCACGTTTCAGGCATTTTCCCCCCTGCGCCTTGCTGTGTCCTGACCCTAGCACCTGTCGTCCTCCTCTGTGTCGCTGAGAGGGTCGTGGCCTGCGGCTGAAGCTGTTTGCACCAGACGCTTTCGAAAGTGTCCGTTGGGGACCTGCCAGCCGGTCCGCAAGCGAGGACGGGCTGCTGAACTGACGGTGTTTGAGCGTCCCAGGCTGCAGGCCACAGCCGCCTCAAAGGTCAACGTTTCCATGGGGCCAGACGGGTCCGGGCTGTGGTCGTCCTCCAGCGACGTCAGGAAAGGCTCGGAGGGATAGCGACGAGGTGGGGAGGCATGTCTGTCTGGCTCACTCTGCTTCTCTGCCGATACACCCTCCTGGGTGTCCCATGTGGGTTTTTTCCGCCTTATGGTGTCTGGGCTGCCCTGTTCATCCTCGTCCTCGCCCGCAGAGGCTTGCGTGCGACACACAAGCGGGGAGTAGGAGATGTGAGGACGGGTCGGGGTCTGTGATAGGGCTCGTCTGCCACTGGGCGTGCTGGACTCTGAGGTGGAGGGCACCGGGCTGTCTGAACTGTTCCCCTTGACGTAAGAAAATGATGGAGAGCAGCATCATAATCCATTTAATGGAGTGGAGCTGGCACTTTTGGACAACGTTTTTCCACATAACCTACTTCTGCTCCACAGTTTTCGAAATATGCGGGTTAGATTAAGAGTGTGGATTGGCCTACCTGTTTATCCGGAGGGTGTTCTCTCTCTACGCTGGAGCATCGTGAGGGCTGCAAGCTTCTTTCCTCTGAGTTACAACGAGATGCATTTGGTGACAGGAGGTGGCAGCGCTCCTTAGACCGGCCGCGCTCACGGTGCTCAGAGCGAGAAACTAGAGTAAATTCAGTAAAGAGAACAAAGCAAAATAAAAACAGACAGAAGGGATAGTTGAGTAAAGATTTACATGGTTGATATCTAATCAGACGTTCCCGCAAGCTATTATGAATTATCATGAATAAAACAGCAAAATTACTATTTTAAAATCTTTGCTTGTTTTTTTGTTAATTTTTTGTTCAAGAAAACCAGATGCATTTTCTAGGTTGGGATGTGTAAAGAAGTAAGACATATCAGAAATGCAAACAACTCTAACCAGCAGCCTTGTAACTTTTATGACGAGGTCGATAGATACGCTCGGGACTTTTCTCCTCCTGCCAGAGTCCATTTACACGGTGATCTGCAATTGTGGAGACCGAGCGCTTCATGGAACTGGTTGGAACTTCAGCCTGCTTGTGTGTGAAAATATACACAAGAAAAGAAGAACAAGTATATGCAGAACATACCAAGTTAGACTCAGATTACACCAATAAGAGCCATTTTGCATGCTTTTTGAAGGATTCGTACGGTTTAGTTCAGTTTTTTCTCTTTTTTGGAGGTAAAATAAATGGACAAAACAACATGAAGTATCAGAATTCAGCATCACACCCAGTTATAACAAGTCACTGAACCTTGGCTTTATGGCAAATGTCAGAGCAAAACTCTACTGATTTGAACCTCTAACGAATTCTACGCATTCAGAAGAGGACACTTTGGCCTAAGAGCCCATGCAGCCACGGAAGTCCGCAAGATCAATCCCAGAAGCTGTGTCATGGAATATGTGTGTACCTGCGACTCTACAGCCAGACGTGGCATGGAAGAGGCCCGCACACACAGGCCCCTCCCAAGTGGAAGCTCCAGTGGGGCTTCAATCCCCCAACTGCGCTCGCCCACCTATGTGAGTACAGAAACAAGAAAAGGGGGCAAGGAGAGACAGAGCACCAATCAGGCTCATCCCCTTCAGGAGCCATTCTGTACGGAGGTACAGCTCAGATGGGAGGAGGACAGATCGACCCTTTCTTCGAAGAGTACTATCTATCAGTGCCATCTCAATCAGAAGCCATTCCATTCAAAAACAGACGGGTAATAACTAGCAACAGGAAAACTGTCTTTGACATGAGAAAACAGAGAGAAATTGGGAAAGTGGTGCACAGGGCGAGGAAGAACGAGATCAGACAGCAAGCACAACAATTGACGGCAATTGTGGTCTCAGTGTTTCAGCTCCGAGGTGCATTTAGTCATGCATGATCAGGTCTTAGCAGCTACACAGACAGAGTCAGACAGTATCTGTCCTGAGCCGAACGCATTCCTCTGCACGCTAACATTACTCCAGAATAATTTGCCATCATTCAACCGGCAGGCAGTGCGGACCATAACAACCAGACAGTAAAGACAGCAACACACCAACAATTTGACAATCCATCCCTGCTCTCCTAGCCTCTACAGTGCTTTAGGACGGGAGCACAGACAGCAGCAGTGCGGTGCTCTGCAAGGCACTGAAAGCAGCCCCGGTCTAACCACATTTATAGATGTCTGTGCCGGTAAAAAGACGACAATATCTGAATAAAAATCTTTGTTTTAAGACAAGAATCCTCCATCAGATGACCGAGACACCGTGAGTGTACTATTTTCAGGAGGTCTTTGCTCAGACCCATAGGCAGGGATGTGGTATTGATGTGCAACCGTCGTGGTCCTCTGGCTCACCGGATTCTGTTGCTGACTGGCGTCAGCGTCTGAGCTGATGGGCTGCAAAAATAGTTCTTGTGGGGAGATGGGGCTCAAGGCCACAAAGCCTCCCCTGGTCCTGTGAGAGGGACAGAAATAAACAGTGAGCACACAGAAACAGAGATGCACATTTATACACACAGACTTTTTTTTTTTTTTTACACATTTACAGACTCACAGGGCTGAACCAGCACTATGGGCCATCATCGGCAGGGGCTGGGTGTTGGACAGAATGTCCTCAGGGAGGGTAGAGGCGTCCAAACGTTTAAACATCAAATTACTCTTCTAAAACATGACACAAACACAAGATCAAACACAGGTCACACAGTTTGTTGGCCCGTATGCCGTGCTATATGGGCTATCGGTACTCGAGCATCTTCGACGGCACTATGGGGACTCAAAAAGAATGCACAAATACGTTACACACCCACATAAATATTTAGCTGAGGGTGCAGAAAAGTTTGTTTCAATGTGCTGACCTGAGCTTCCAGCTGTTGTCTGAGTTTCTTGGCTTTGTTCTGTTTGAAGTAGTCCATTATCATCATTGAAGCGTAGATCTTCCCCACCGTCATGTCAGTATCTGCCAGGGCAGACACACTACATTAAGTCTCTGCTTGCTTCTTATCATTACACTTAACATTTTCCATCACAGTGAGAGCCAGACCTTTGTTGATGGGTACCAAGAGGTCCAAAGTCTTCTGGGGCAGATAAGGCCATATAATGCTGATCTCTTTCTGCAGCTCGGTGTCCAGAGCGATGCGGTCCTCGCCACCTGGGATCAACCGTAAAATGGCTCTCAGTTTTTTTTGTCTATCAACAGTTTTCAGAAAACAACTTAAAATGGCAAAACCTATTTGTGAGAAGTGATATTTCTTATGATTTGAAAAAAATGACCCTGACCTCGAGCTATTTTAATTTCCAAAGCTGTGCGGATGAGTGACATAAGAGTAGAGGTGAAGTGGACAGTCATATCCTCATCCACAGGCATGTTCATCAACACCAATCTCTGAGAGGGGTGAAAGTGGGAAGAGTTACTACCAGATATCAGTTCTATAATATTTTTTCTACGTCCATTCAAAGATTATTCATGCAAAAATCATGCTAAATTCATAGGATGCAATTATTTGGCTTCAGTGCTTTCTGCATAAAAATACAGGACCAAAAAGAGTTTGAATTGCTCCCTTGTATCTCTTTTGTTGTTCAAACATTTAGTTTCAACAAGTAGTTATGTATTCTCATTACCTTGTAAGCGATCTTAGCAGGACATTTTTTACCCAGGCCGAGGGGTGGTGACATGTGTGTCAACATCTCATACATGGCTGTGTAGTGTATACGTCCACTTCAGAGAAAAACAAAACAAAATAAGGGGGTGAGTGAGAAGATGTACAGGCAGAGAGGCGCGATCACTTACTTTTAATAGTATTTAGTTTTCGCGTGGTGAATCCTTATAAACAGCATTTTAAAGCCCTAACATTTTACATTCTTTGGCTGCCCTCTGCTGGATAAAGATAGAACATAAATGTTGTTGTGGTGCACAAACTAAAAGGCAAATGACAACATTTGCCGGGTTAAAAGCTCACCATGCCAGTCTATCGTACTCCCCCCAGATTCGGACAAACTCGTCCAGGTGATGTGGACCCAAGATTGAAGAGTCTCGTGTCAAATACTCAAAGTTATCCATAATCACAGCCACAAAAAGATTCAGCATCTAAGAAAGGTACATGAAGCATTTGAGAAGAGAAGCAGCACAAAGACAGTCTGCATTGAATCTTATTATTGCTCTGACCAGAAATGAGCTGAAGAAGATGAAGGAGACAAAGTAGCAGTAAGCAAAGTCTGTGCCACAGCCGCCCTCGTGGTCTGGGGACATGGTGAGGGGAGCGATGGAGGGGTCTGGTTCACACTCCTGTCCTGCCAGACAGGAGAGCATAATCTCTTGCCATGACTCCCCTGTGGCACTCCTGATGGTTTGAAGACAAGCAAACACCAAGACGACATGAGAAAATGTAACCCCCTTCCTACAAATCTAATGTTTAAAATGCTTTTTGTTTTTCAAATGAAGAATGGCTCATGTGCATTGGGCCGAGCTCACCTAAACAGCAGCATCAGAGCACTGAAAAACGTCTTGAAATTGTTGTGCTGATTGATGTGGCTCTCATCATTCAGCTTGATGTTTCCAAACACCTGCAAAAAACAGAATGCTTCAATAAATGATTTAGCTAATTCATCATTTTTGGACAGCTGCTGTTTAAATCAAATCAGCTTCTTATACATCAGCTTCCACACCATATGATATTGATACCAAACACAAATGTTTGTACTTGAAACATTCACATAAACGTATACAGTTAATTAATGGGTTAAATCATGTAATTTCATCCCAATTTTAACTACCATTAATAGCATAGAAAAGATTGTTTTTGTATCTTAACCTATGCTATTTGTAACAAAGACAATCACTATTTTGGTCAACCATTAATTTAGGATTCATTTCTCTGTCTGGCTTTATTTGCCCTGTGTGGATGACCATATGTCTGAATTTGGGCAGGTGTGCAGCTGATAAGTGATGTGTCGACTCTGTGGACACCTGGATGAGGAATGGTTTCATTATGGGGCTCTCTGTGTGAATCACGCTCTCTTCCCTTGGATCTGGGTTAAAATGAAGGTAGAACCTAAATCCTTTATTTTGCACACAAAGAGCAGCAAATCTGCCACCATAAAACCTTTACAAATTTTTCAAATGATATGTGATTTTATTAATCTCTTTTCAACCTGGGATTCATAGATCCTCAGCCTCAGGTCTCTTGTTCATATCGGGCTTTTTCTCGTACAAAATGTGCTAATTAAGATTTTAACGGTTATATACATTTTTTTTAATAGGTTTACGGTTGTTGAGTGCTAACATTGGAAAAACTATACCTGCATTCCAATTATGGCGTATATGAAGAAAAGCATGGCAATCAGAAGGCAGACGTAAGGAAGAGCCTGTCAGAGAAGACCAGGGAAAGATGTTAAAACTTCCCACAATTATCTCTCAAAGGGCTTGGAAAAGTGTGAATCAAAGAACAATCAGAGAAAAATTCTTGTTTTAAAATGACCTTGAATGACTGCACAAAGGTCCAGAGCAGAATGCGGATGGTGTAGCCCTGTCTGAGCAGCTTGATCAACCTGGCTGCTCGGAAAAGCTTCAGGAAACTCATGTTGATGGTGTTCACCGACTGAGACAGACGGGCAAGTGGTCAGAGAGGGTGACACAGTCAGAGAGTGAAGAGGCAGGAGTGGAAGCCAGACGAGAGAGACAGGATGTAAATCACAGATGGCAAAATTCAACACAACATGACTTAAGGAGGCAGGAATTGTAAGACACAAGTAAACTCGCAAACAAAGGATGCCAAATTTAAACCTACTGGCTCTTGTCTTTATTTTGGAACACATTTTGAGAGCAAACAATGTCTGGGCTGTGTCTTACCTGCAGATCCACGATTATTTCTGAGATACTGCCAAGAACAGTTATGAAGTCAAAAATATTCCAAGTGTCTCGAAAATAGTTCTGCAGAAAATGGAGGTAAAATTGGTAAATTCCTCATGAGTAGTGCTAAAAAAGAACAGTGCCCTACATTTGTTTGAAATCTATTCATTTTCTGCTCATGTTGCTTTATAAAAACAAACAAGATAATGGTTCTAAATTAGTTTATTTCGACTTAAATAACAGCTTTAATAATTGACACTTACCACTAGACCAAATGCCATGATTTTGAGTATACACTCCAAGGAGAAGAGGACTGTGAAAGCTGTGTTTAGGTGTTTTAGGACAGCATCGTAAGCTGTTGGAGCTGAGTGATACTGAGGAAACAAAGTCAAAACATTGCAAATTTTATTCTTTAATTAATACCACATGTCTGATACTCTAAGAGTCATTTCTGCAAAGTATGAAGCAATAGAAAAAGACTGAAAATCCCTATTCTAATTTATTTTACTGTTGAACCCACTGGAGCATGTGCATAAAATAAGATACACTTCTAACATGAGGGAAATCAAAGAGGTGGATCCATTACTGATATTTGGCATCTGCAGTTGAGCAGGCAATGTGAATAAGTCTGAGGTCCTGACATAGACAGGACCTTCATGATAAATCTAAAACTATCTTTTGCAGAGGAAAAGCTGTTTGTGGAAAAATAAAAGCAAAGTCATTTATTTGACTAACTTTTTCCGTTATGATTGGCAGAATCCTTTACCTTCATCATGAGAACGACAGTGTTGAGTGCAATCATGATGAGCACCGTGTACTCAAAAGAAGGTGATGCCACAAAGTGCCACAGTCTGTACTGAAACGTTTGTCTGTTCTGAGGCATGTAGCGAGTCATTGGCTTGGCGCTGATGGCGAAGTCAATGCAGGCCCTCTAATGGAGAAAAAATAGTCAACATAAACAAACAAAGCGAAAGACAACCAACCAAATATGTGTGAGTTTTTAGCATTTTTACTATTTCACACCTCATTCTTCTCCAGGCTGCATTCCTGAATCATCTTGTCACCCTGCTCCTGGAAGGTGATGATGATGAGAGCCACAAAGATGTTGACGAAGAAAAAAGGGAACACCACAAAGTACACCACGTAGAAAACGGACATCTCCATCCGATTCCCCCGACTTGGCCCCATATTCTCCTCCGTAACATCAGTAGAGTGCTGGAGGACCCTGAGTAAGAAAAGGCACTTTAGATAAATAATTTGGAATTGTTTGTATTCCCTTTCACAGAAGATGGAAAAACAGACCCATGGGGACACTTGGGTTTAGCCTTCCCACAAAGCAGCTGAAAAAGCAGCTTTCCTGCTTAAATCTTGGCTAGGGATCCTTCTATGTAAAGTTACCTTAAAATAGAGTTTGCTTCTATTTGCTGTGGTTTAACAGCTCTGTTACAGTACAAACAGGAAATCAAAGGTTTTCATTTGCAATTATACTTACTGAGGCCATCCCTCCCCAGTTGACACAGTGAAAAGTGTGAGCAAGGCCCAGCAGACATTGTCGTAATGAAACTCGTGCCTCCTCCACTCTCTCCTCTTGACCTCCTTCTTGTCTCTGCTGTAGTCAATGTAGAAGCCTCTGAAGGGAATCAAACAGAGCAGGGGTCAAGGTTTGACTTTATTCAACACTTATATACATTACTGCAGATTTCAGTAGAAAAGTGCTGAGCACCACCTCTAAACGTCTTGAACCAGAAATCATCAAACCTTCAGTTTTGAAAAATTACACTGGGCTGCAACATCAAAAACAATCTTCTTCTCTTACAAGAAAGCCTTCTTGCTTACTTCCTTCTCTCTCATATATATAAAGGAGCTTAACAGTTTAACTAATATAACTTTTTTTCAAAAGGTCCCACACATTAAGCCTTCACAAAAACTAATATAAGATCATTTCCCACTATGACACTGGACAAATAAGACAAAAAAGACTCAACATGTTAACATACCCATTTCGACAGAGCTGACAGATTGATCAAAACTGAAAAAAGTTTTCCTGTCTTTCCAGCTATGACTTGAGCTATAATTTAGCTGCACTCAGAAGTACAGTTATCAGTGGTCATTAGAGACTATCATAGCCATCAGCAAGAAGGTGAAAAAGCATAGTTAAAATGTAGGAAACATTCTGTCCTGTCACTGTCCATTTTGACAGGACAAAAATGGAAACAAAAGTTCTGCTTCATTTGTGCTTTGAATGACAACATTTAAGTGGGTTTTCAGATACATATGGTGCATTCAAAACGCAGGCATGAGACAGTAATAGTGCTCTGTACATTTACTTACCGACACTCCTTCTCCGTATTCATGGAGCTGTCAGTGCAATAGAAGAACTTCCCTTTAAAGAGCTGCACTGCGATGACAGCGAAGATGAACATGAAGAGCTGGTAGACAATGAGGATGTTGAAGACGTTCTTCAGGGATGTGACCACACAGTCAAAAACTGCCTGTGTATGAGAAAGATGAGAGGCAGGCAAAGCAAAGAAAACATCTCAGACCTCTTCGGAGAAACACTCCAAACATTAAATTAATGGAGAGTTTTCACTTCTTAACATCGGACCTTGAGCTTAGGAAGCCTCTTGATGGTTTTAAGAGGCCGCAGAACTCTCAGAACGCGAAGGGACTTTATTGTCTTGATGTCTCTGCCTTTGGTGTTTCTGTGGAAGTTGAAAGACTTTACTAAGAAGCACATGGAAGCCCACTCAAACTCGTGTCCAAAGACATGTGGTTAACAGAAACACAAAATGAGAGCAAAATGTCATCAAAAATGAACATGGAGATACACAATGAATCGTTGATATTTATGTTGATAGTGACAGCTCAGAACCTGGCAGACATCTGGTGTAAAATCTTTTGATAATTCAAGTCATTTGTATCCATATCACTACCATATCACAACTCTAAGTTATGACGTTTTATCTAGAATTAAATATAGCAGAAATCAAATTTTTGACTGTAAACCCAAACAAAACAATATATAATCATAACCTTTTAAACTTTACTTACATAAAATGAATTAAGGCACCAAATAAAGCACTAAATAAGGAGTTGGTTTTTTTTGGGGGGGGGGCAAACAGTCAGTGATTTTACTCCTAAAAACCTGCAAGACTCTTTAGTTCTGTGAGCTGTAAGAGAATGTTTTTAAAAAAAACATGTTAAAATAAGAATGAGTAAATTAAAGAACAGAAAAAATGATAATCAAAGAAAAAGACAATCAATTAAAGACACATGAGAATAACAGAAATAGATCAGGTAGTCAATGAGACAAGTGTACATTTAATTTGACTGAATTTTTTACCCCATCACATTCCTGGTAGCCCCAACAGTGAAAAAATCCACAGGAACAACATAGAAAAAAATTAGGCATAGAGAGAGTTACACTCTGAGCAACACTGAAAGCATCACAGCAATACTCACAACAGAGAAATCAACATACAGTACAGCAAAATGCGCAAGAGGGTTAGTTTGTTAGTTATCTGTCACACACGCCAGAAAAACAACAGAAAAATTTCCTATTCTTTTTTGTTCATGACAGACTCCACCCATGTGTAAACTCCAATATTGCACAGAAATCCATCTTTTCCTTTCGCCGGGGCCCCGTGAAAGTCGAAACCAAGTGACATATTTCACAGGGCCGTGTCTGCATCCATATCTGCAGCTTCTCTTTGAGGAAGGGTCACCATGTAAGCTCAAACAGTCACTTACTGCATTGAGTCAGCCATTAATCATAGGCAGGCTGCGGAGTGTGGTGACTCACGTCAGAGCAAAGGCTATCAGAGCTCCCACAACAACAATGAAGTCCAGGATGTTCCACATGTCTCGGAAATAGGATCCATCATGCAGAATCAGACCCTGGTCTATCATCTGGAGTGCAAAAAAAAACACAAAAAACATGAGTATGAGCAGAAATGGACTAAAACCACTCTGGATATATTCTTAAAAGTGTAGAAATGATATCCTTCTGACACTTACCTTTATGATCATTTCGAAGGTAAACACTCCGGTGAAGACATAATCGAAATATCGCAGCACCTGAACGACAGAAAATATTTGGAGAAAAACTTTCTTATAATATCTGTTCTGAATCTATTATTTAACATCACTGTCATAGACTCCACACCTCCACAGAAGGACATAACATTTATATTAGACCTGCACAGCCACTGGCAATGAACTTGTTACTTGCTAGTTTGCATAGTTTCAAGAGCTTATTGCTTCAATACAAGCTTTTACACGATTGAAAGGCAAGGCAAGTATATTTGTGTGGGATGACAAAACATCCTCTACAAAACGTCCACAGCTTCATTCATTTAATATGTAGAAACAAATAGGAAATTCTGCCTCTGTCAGACTTTTGAATCATTTTACACACGTTATTTGGTGCTGTATCAAGCACTAAACGACTCCTTAAAGGGGTGCACGTGTACCACTGTGCCACACTTCCATTAAGCCGGCTGACTCATGAGACCAATTATACAGAAGAGAAGTCTGCATCAAGGAAGCAAAGTAGTGATCTAATGCATAACTCAGTTTGCAAGGCTTACAAACTGAGCTACACTGTGACATCATCATGAATATTGTCTCATCCAAAGCAACAGACAACAGTTTTCACCGGCTGGCCAGCTGCTGTTCCGATGTAATAATAGTGTAATGTCCATTTAACCCCCATTGTTTTCCTTAAAGAGTAAAGAGTTTAGTTGGGAGATATCGATGAATATTTATTTCACATAAGAGGAAATATCTTGTAGCAGCTGTAGGTGATTTATGTGGAATATCTTGAATCTGACCTTTTGTGGTCAGTGTGTTTGATCTCTGTCTTCTGTTTTAATCTCACTCTCAAATGATTCCCTGTGTACTACTGTGTTCTTTCTGCTTACTCTTGACACGCTCCGTGACACTGCCAAAAGGGAAAAGTTGTGAAAAACAAACTGCACAGCTATTTGCCAAGCAGAGCTGCCGATTCTCACCTTGCATGTGCGTGTAACTAAATGTGTCGTGACACATTGTTGCTGACACAGTGTTATGTCAACTAGAGATCAAACCTGACGATCATTCTGAGCTAAAACTTCATCTGTTGGGAGTTTTATATTTTTCCCACTATTTAAAGTGTTTTTTTCTAGTGTGTGTCTATAGGAGGGAGAACCCCATTGTCATTCAGATCACCTTTATGCCCCAACGCTGTGAGTAGCCACCCCTACTTTTGCATCCACGTTCTGGACCATAGAATTCATCAAATATTCATTCCTTACGTATTGGAGCATGTTTAAACACAGGAATTGTTGACTTAATGCAATCAAAGTGGGTTTTTTTCTGTGCAAGTCTAAACAGCATTTAGTGTCATCAGTGTACTTCAATGTTTGCCTCAACTGCCAGTAATTAGTGTAACACCACTGGATCACTGTGCAGACTCTCTGCATTGATTTTGTTTAAAATTAAGTTTAGTGTATGATTTAATCAATAATGAACTCCAGCAGCTCTGGATCCAGGCTTTTCTGTAAGTTTGTTCAGGTATTTGATTCTGGCTCTGATTCTGCTGAGCGAACAGATGGCTGCAATTCTGATTATACTCTACCATAGGCCCCAAAAGAGATATGAAACATCTTGCTACTAAGACTGAAGGATTGAAACCTCCTTTTCTGTTCAGATTTCTGTCAAGGTAAACTCCCAGCTGTCTGAAGTCATCCACCACCTTTACATCTTTGTGTGGGGTTTAATAAAACAGTTCTCAGCTTGTTCCAAATCCTCTCAAACTCCACAATATTGTACTCTGACTTGTTTACATTCAAAATGAGGATACTGTTCTCAAACCATGCCATAAAGTGCTGTGCCAGTTCCCTGTACTCTGCCGCATGTCCATCACCATACATCAAATGAGTCCTCTGAGGACTTCTAGAGATGACTGGAGTCTGAGATGTACAGCTTGAAGAGAAGCAGTCCCTGTGGTGCTTTTGTGCTGCTGATTACCTGCTAAGGTAGACACCCTCTCAGTCTCCCAAACTGTGGTGTGTCTGGCAGCTAGTCAATAATCTAAGACTCAATTTTCTTGAGATTCTCCCCTAACAGGCCTGGTATATTAAAAGCACAGAAGAATTGATGAAGTGGGATGTTAGAGTATTTGGTCATGGATAACAGGTGGATTAGATTTTTTAAGGTACCATAAACAGAAAGGATGCTTTCCACTGTATCAAGACTTCACCCACATTCATTCTTAAAACTAATATGATTATCAATGTATTGGTATTTTAACTTTAAAATCTAAGTTAAGCAGTTTAAAAGAGTTGGAAGTTAGTTTTATTTGAGCCTTGGCCTATCCATATTTTAGAATCTTACTCCAACTGTGAAATATCTTTGCACTTAAAAACATTATTTTTCAGTGAGAAGATTTTTATGATTTACATTTAATGCCCAACAGGGAATGTGTGTTTTGAACTTGCCTTGTTTCTGTCTGAATTTGTGCAAACTGGGTCCTCAGCTGCCAATGCAATGCTGCTGGCCACGATCACAAGAAGAATGGTCATCTCAAAATAGCGCAAAGTGACCACGTAGTGACAAATCCTCCTGATACTGCAGTGCAACAAAGAGGAAGAAATACATCATAGGTTCATGAATATGCCGGTCCTTCCCAGTGTGATCATCGGTGGTTTTGTGTCTTTTTTGTTGCATCTTACGGGTTGGAGGCCTTGAAGATGAACATGCTGTCTGGAGCTGCAGGTTTAGGAGGCCTCGGAGGTTCCTCTTCCTCTGTGTCATCCTCTCTCTCTTGCTCATCGGACTGGTATGCCTCCAACTCTTTATTGTTCACTAAAGCCCAGGCAGAAGTCCAGGGGGACAGACAGATAAAAGAACATGTTTTGTCTGCCCTTGGACAGCTATGACAATGACAGAACATCATGAGTCACTGGCACAGTGCTTTAAGCAAAGAAAAGAAATGGTCGCTACTGATATTAGAAGTCAGAAGCACCATCCTGAGGTGATACCGTAAAATGGAGACTACATTTCACTTCATGATACAGTTCCACCACACAGTGACAAATCCTGTTTCAAACAGTGAGAGCAGTAAGAAGCGACCCCAGTGCTACCTGTCATAGGTGTGAGCTCCAGAAGTGGTTGTGCAGACATCTCAATGGCTATGCTGCCCTCCTGGTTGGACTTGTCACGTTTGATGGAGAACTGGCGTTTCTCAGATTCAATGGCACTTACAGTGAACTCTGTGGCCTCCAAAGCAGGCTCCACAGGGATGTTTTGGCCCAGGGAATCGTGGTTATTTGTGTTGCTAGCCTCACCCTGCTCTGACCAGGCACGGTCCTGCAGCTGCTCGCCCTCAGCAGCTCTGTAAGAGGGAAGAAGATGAAAAACTGGGCTTAAACAAATGCAGTTCAGGAAGAGTGTCCTTGTGGGGGTGTTCATATTGCAATATTCAGTCTACACGTGCACCAAAGGAACACAGCACACTGAAAATTGTGGGAAAAAAACACAAAATTTCCTCTTTGGTAAATACACAAAACCTACCTTCTGCCCTCTTCTCCAATATCTGCATATGGGTTGACAATGCCACCGTCATCTTCAGCTCCTCCTTCTCCCGCTATTCCCTCCTTCTCCTCTCTTTCTTCCTTCTCCTCCCGTTCATCTATAATCTTCCTCTCTTGGCTGAGCGACCGTCTGACATGTAGCACTTCTCGTGGTGTCTGGGTAAAGTCCAGACTCTTCACTTCAGTGCGGGCATCGCGGTGACGATGGCGTCTGTGCCGGGCCCCTTCTTCCGGCCCCTGACTGGACCTAAATTTCCTGGCCATTCTGTGTCTTCCTCCCCCCGCGCTCTTGTAATTGGCTCCTGCTGGTTTATCCTCACCCAGGTTCACAAGAGGCTCAGCCACCGGAGGCTCTGGCATGGGAATGGAGATGGACATCGGGGGCTCGGGCAGGGGCATCCCCACCGACATGGGTGACTCGGGCAGGTGAGCTGGGCTGACCTCCGAGGAAAGGGCCGGCGCGTGGTGGGGGGCAGTGGGAGTTTCCGCAGTGTCCTCCGTTGGGCTGCTAAACAGTTCCTCTCTGCTCGCGTCCTGGCGGCGCTTTCGGAGCTGGTTGGCTCTCTGCTCCCACACCGACATGTTAACTTTTCTCCTCCTCTCGCGGCGGTTGGCAAAGGGCCGGGAGCCATTGAGGGGCTGCTCATCTGCAGCACTTGCTGCACCATCAGCTTCCTCTGGGAAGTTCGGTCGCCCTCTGTGGATTGCACGCTTCCTATAGAGGTAGGGTCTTCTTCTGCCACTAAAGACCATGAAATAATATGCGTATCAGTATGGAGCAGAAACAAACTCAAAGTTAAGGACCTAGTGAGACAAAGCACGAAGAGATGTGTCTCTTTGGCATACCAGTTATAAACATATACTTAGAAAAAAATCAAATTATAAAATGAAAATTGCAAGAAAAGGACAGACCTTTTCTATGAATTTTTAATGTTAGTTGATTAGTAACACAAAATATTCCTATGAAAAAAGTGCAAAAGGGCATCCAAAACTAAGAGAAAAAAACCTGAAAAGAAAGAACAGATCAAAAGTAAAGGAGTAGAAAACAAAACTCACAAAAAATGAATGTAAAGGTGTAGGATTGAAGTGCAAACACTGCATAGCATCTACAAAATGATCTCAAGAATCAAGTAGGGAAACTAAAGAGAAAAAATTAGAGTTACAGAGATGCATACAGATATACTTACTTGCATTCTTTTTGTTGTCCATGTAATCAATGAGTGGTTATTTGGAAACAAGACATTAGTGTTTTACAACATACACATAACTTAATTATGGCACAGAGCAAAACATGGCCAGGAAAACTAAATAGGCTTAAGTCAGCACTTATAAGTCGAAATATAAAGATTCCATGAAAGGAAGAGCTAAATTTGAATGCTGTTAGCTGTAAAACTTGTCAAATTTCAAGGAGGTGGGTTTAAAACCAATTCCAAATCTGGACATCTCATTTTGCTCAGTGACACGTAACAAGCATATAACAAGACAAGATGATGGAGCCATCAAAAACTGTAAAGCACATTGAATCAGCATATCGCCTGCTGCCACAAAGACTTACATTCATATATGTGACAGACAAATGAGACATTAAGAGTCACAACTAAACTCATGACAGTAGTTATAATATATGAGTGTTTTTTATGTTTATCCAATCAAGAACAAGAAAACGCCTCATGTTTCCTTTGTGCTTGCATATCTTCTCGTAAGCTTTATGGTGGCTGCCGACCATTTAAAATGCAAGCGTAAATGCCAGCAAAGTATTAAGATATGCTGCATAAGAATTTCATCATCCTGATAATGTGTTTGTTCAAAGAAATCACAAAATCTAAACAAATGTGCAACAATACGGTGAAACATTAAGATATCCCTCTGTTCTCTTTGAAAAAACACCTCCAGCTCTCCTCCTCTCATCTTACTTGGATCATTAGTTATATAGGAAGACTGCCAGGTTATTGGGAGGAACAGGAATTCATCCTCCTCTCATTAATGAAAGAGGTTACTCATCATGATTCACAGGCCGGGACAGTCAGAGAGGCAGTTTCAGCTTCTCAGCTGAAACAACCTTAAATGGCCAATGCTGCTGATTAATTCACAATTTTTTCAGCAGTACGTTGAGCATGTCTTCAACAAAGATGCATTTGAAAGAGGTGAAAAACATCTTGAATTAAATGCAAGCAGACGTGCTTGTACCTCTTCTCAAAGTTTACAGAATTAATATATATCTTTTTAGGAATAATAATATAATCACTTTTTCCTCTTCCCAAGTATTCAAAGACCACCTTCATTATTCATATACATATCACCCACTTTATTCATATCTTAAAAAGATTTCCCTCTTGCTTCTGTAAAGACATCAGAGCAAATGCTTCGCCTGGTTAGTCATTTACTTACTCAGATATCAAGCCGTCCCTTCCTCTGGCATATCTCTGATTGAAGAATTCCTCTTCCTCCTCTTCATCCTGATTAAGCAAAACAAGCAGGATTAACGTACATGTTAAAGACGGAAACGTGTTACACGGGTTTTAAACTAAATTTTGCTTTTTTATGTGTGAGCTTACAGGACACGCAGAAAAACTATTCAAACCTTTGTTAGTTCCTGTGCGTTGGCCAGATTATCCACTGCGATGGCCAAGAAAACGTTCAGCAGGGTGTCTGTCATGAAGGTAGTTAAGGACAAACATGGCAAAACACTGCAACTAAACCCAATTCCCTCTCCACTCTCTTTTTCTAGGTTACGAATGGATAAGTCTTATTATGATAGAAGAAGTAGAATCAGTTGTTTTTAAGGGCAATATGCTTTGTGATGCTAAGAAAGAAAGGAAACACCTTGTGGAACATGTGATGACAAATTAGGTTAATAAAGACATCCAGAATTTCGCTAGTAATTAGGTTTTAATAGCGATACCTTTTATCTGAATACCTCCAACACTGATGCCCGAACAAGCATAACTGTTATATCACAGCTCTTTGTCCATCTCTGAGGTCAACAGGGATACAATTACCAAACAGCGTGAGGACTATGAAGTAGATGGATGACCACATGCCATACTGAACGCCTCCCTGAGAGCGAATTCCATTATACATCACCTCGTTCCAGTCCTCACCAGTTAAAATCTGGAAGCAATTAAAGAGACAGTATGTTTCACATTTGATTTGAGAGAACATTGTCCTAAAAATACACCAAACCAGAGACGTGCCCCTTGTCTGACAACAATACAGTGTTGAATAGCCTGGCAAGATAGTAATTACTACGTGTGCTGATCAAAACATTCTTTCTCAGTGCACTTGGTTTGAAGCAAATCTGATGTGGACTTGTTCACGTTCTGATATTCATGTGCGCATATGTGTGCTTGGATGTGTGGGATGATAGCGGAGGCAGGGGGCGGAGAGCGATTGAGCAGAGTTGTTTAATCTGCGCCCAGGGTGAGAAATATCCCAGGGTGTAATGTGTCATGGAGAGCAGGCAGTATGAGGGGTTCTGTGGGAGCCAAACCTGAAACACTGTCATGATGGCAGCTGGAAACGTGTCAAAGTTGGTGGGAGTGTAATCTTCAAAAATGAACCTAAAGGGAAGGCAGATAGAGAGCGGGGTCAGATATGACCAAAGAAAGAAAAGGAGGAGGAAAGGGAGTGGGAGGCAGAGGGCTATTTTCAGCTGGACATATAGTTTCCTCATCTCTTTCTCAAACATGCCATTGAAAAAGCTGCTGTTCAGTTCTCAGAGAGTGGATACCATTTCAGAAAGGTATGATCAGATGTGTATGTTAGATAACACAGAAAAGAGCAAATTACATACCTCCCTCCAAAAAGCTGCATCCCGAGCAGCGCAAACACCACAGTGAAGAGGAAGAGGAGGAAAAGCAAGCTTATGATGGACTTCATGGAGCTCATAAGGGACACAACCAGGTTCCTGAGAGAGGCCCAGTATCTGACAAGAAATCATCTGCACTGAGGATCTTTTTTTTCCGATGGGACTTTTAAAAATTAAACATTAAGCACCCGTTGTGCTTCCCTCTGACTGATCTGACAGCGTCACTCACTTACTTGGTGATCTTAAATATCCTCAGAAGTCTCAGTGCTCGAAGTACACTGATGCCAAATGATATTCCAGGCCTAAAGAAGCCCCAAACCACCTCAAAGATACTGCCAACAATGACCTGCAAAACATAGCAAACGAGCAAAACTAGTCAAATAAGGCATTTCCAATATGACACTGACAATCTTGCTTAATAAAAAAAGAACCTCACCCCACAGTCAAAGCAGTTGAAAGAGGAATGGAAGTAGAGCCGGAAACCCAAACCATATATTTTCAAAAACATTTCAGCCAGAAACAGCCCCAGGAAAACAAACTCTGCATAGTCTGGAAATTAGCAGAAAAATAACATTAATCATGTCAAAAAGCAGAACAGGGCAGAATACTGTCAAAAATAGTGCCCTTATCAGAGATGACCTAAATATTTTTTTGTCAAAGGAATCAAGGAGTACATTTGAAGAAAAAAAAAAGCCAGTCATGAGTAAAACTCACAGAGGAAAATGGTGAGCCAGTCAGGCTGGTCATGGTGCACAATGGCCACACAGACGGTATTGAGAGCGACCAGACTGAGCACCATCAAATAGAAGGTGTCCGTTTTCACCATTCGCCGGATTGAGATGCGCAACATGCGCTCTTTACGCCGCAGGTAGGCTGCAGGACCACGGCGGCCACTGCGCAAGTATACTCTTGATCGTGACATACCTGCAAGAGCATCAAGTGGTCAAATGTAAAGATACTTAGAAAGGAAGGAAGTTTAAAATAGGAGGTATTCATTTAGATGAATAACAGCAAAGTTTAAGAAACTAAATGTAACTGTTGAAGGATGTGTAGTGGATCAATGAAGGATGTTATACTTGCATACCAAACTGCATTGTTTAATAATTTTGTAAATCCACAGCTGGGTTTGTACATGCTAACAGGCATCAACCTATGTAAAGCCACCGGTTTCAAACGGCATCTCATAGGAAGTACACTCTGTCAACAAACTAAGACCTGTGTGCAAAAGCTGAAAATTACAGAGGACAGCTCTAGAAGTTTTTGTTCATATAGGAAGGAAAAATATCCACAGTGAGGAGAACACACAAAAGGGTAAAACACAATTGAACTTACAGTCCGCCTTCACAAAACCTGTGACTCCATCACATGTTAAACTGATCAAAAGTAATAACAGCTTTAGGAGCCATTGCTTTAAAGACAGGATAACATATTGAAACTCTCTTTACTCACTGGCAGTGGACATGTCTGTGTATTTGTCGTCCCCTGGTGCTCCTCTTCGTGCACCGGTTTTCTTACTCGCCCTCTTTAGAACTATAACATGTTGGACAACATGTCAGCGTTAGAAAATTTTGGAATACTAATTATTAAGGTTAAACAACTACTTAAAGGAGTCCTTTTAACTAATGACTTCTTATAGCTGGTCTTCATATTTCTATCCCAAAGCCCACTGACAAAATCGAATAATATATAAAACATGGTAACACAAACACAAACACAAAAATATGAGGAAAATACACAAAACAAATCTGTCCTAATTATGATTTTCCACATCAAGCGACATGAAAGTGTTTAATTTGCCATTTTGAGAACAACTGACCAATTTAAAGTGTTTTTCTCCTCAGACAGCAATCGGCTGGCAGTAATATTTCATCAATCTAAATACGCTTGATGTAGTTACATCCATTTTAAATAATCCTCAAAGAAAAATGTAATGAAATCCCGTTGATTGAGATACAAGCAGATGGAGCAACTTACCATCTAACGGGGATCTTCCCGAACTTTTATTCTCCTCAGCAAGCATCACTTCCTCTGTAATACAGTAAAACTGGTGGTTACACAAAAAGCACGGTTCAAATAATCAGACACGGAAACATAAAGTTGTTGGGGTTGAAATGTTCAATGTGTCTGCAAACATTTGCACAGACTGATGTAAGCGCCTCTTTGAGAGATCAGGGTGACCTTCTCAGAAGGCAGACCTCTTATTCTCTCTTCCATTCTCGCAGCATCTGTCTACTCTCCCCATCCCCTCTTCATCCCACACACACACACACACAAAAAGTATGCGCAGCCCACTTTTAGCACACACTTGTGTAAATACAAAACTGTGTGTGCACATATATACATGCGCACAAATTTAAGTCCATGAGTCAGTATCACCTTTTCTCACCCTCTGCTTGCGTGGGAGCCTGCCAGTGTAGATTGCCATTACAGCACTGCGTATTTGTGCTTCTCAACTCAGCTACTCTACTGAAGATAACAAACTTTGACAGTGTCTGCAGCAGAGCAATCACTTTTCAATATGGAAACGCCCCTCCATATGTAATTGTGCTGGTTTTTAGAGTAGAGCTGCAATGTGTTGGGTAGGTCAAATGAATCATGGAGATAAGATGAAAGTTAAAAACCTTGACAAAGTGTACCATTCTTTACCATTCTCCCTCCTGCATTACAGCAACACACTGTCCTGTTAAGTTTGAACATCAACGATGTAAGCCCCATCCAGCTGAATCTAATTCACCATTGCAAATTCCCCTTTTCCCTGTGATCTGACCCTGAACTATCAGAAATCAAGAGTGTCATACGTCATAATGAGCAATGCCAGAGACTGGATCATGATTTTTGTGTGTGTTTCCATCCTTAAGCTTTCATTTGGTCTTAGTTTCCAATGTAAAAATATTCTTATATGCACTTAGAAAATATTTAGCAGCATAAAGACATCTTATTTCTCTAGTGGTCATAGCTCATGCTGTGGAATATCTAAGAGGTGTAAATTATTTATCTTTCCTTCGATTTGAATATGAATAACATGAAAAATTCTAATGTAAAATGAAGGTATTTCCAGCCAACAAATGGAACATCTATATATTTCCTGCAATAAATCATCTGAATGTCATGAAATAATTTATTTTTCTTCCTCATTCACAGCTGATTGTCTTCAGTCATACAGGCGGCATTCTGGACCAAGAATGACCACGGGGACCTTGGGCTGAGCGAAATTCCAATAATGATAGGAGAGTGTCTGTTCACCAACTAAAGTAAAGGATATGAAATTGTGCTTTTGCCCAGTACCTGCCCTGTCTATCCAGGCCCGGTAACCATTCAGTTCTCTTTCCACTTGTTGCTGACGACGAAGTTTCATGAATGCTCTGCGGTTCTCCACCCTCTCCCTCTCCTTTGCAAATTCTCTGAAGAACGAGACGTGAAAACAACTGTAATACCCAATATTGCAGCCACATGCAAGGACCTCTTTGTATACACATAAGAAGAGACATTCTCACCCGGAAAGGACTCCCAACACTAGATTCAAGACAAAAAACGAGCCAATAATTATAAGAGGAATGAAGTACATCCAGTTCCATGTAAGACCCAAGGCATCATTGGTCTGCAATACATTATATAAAAAGGATTAAACATTTAGCTGCAGCCAGAGAGCCGCACAGGGGTTTTTAAACAACTTTAGCTCACATTGTAGAGCACAGCTGTCCATCCCTCCATGGTGATACACTGGAAGACAGTGAGAACAGCAAACAGGATGTTGTCGAACTGCGTGATGCCATCGTTGGGCCCAATCCAGGTGTCGTTGCAGTCATACATTTCTGGACACTTCCTCACACCGCATGCAAATGCCAGCTCTGATGAGTCAACCGTCTCATTATCTACAAAAATAAAGCATGGCTCTTATATATGTGGCTTGAGATGGATGCACAATGTCCACACAACATGACCTAACTACTAACTTTTTTACATCTCCAAATTTTCGAAAATGTACAGTATGTTGAGTAGATTAGATCTATTGAAATTAAATGAACCGACGTGAACTTGCAGTCCAAAATGTTTTTTACTTTACGTAATTTCATCCCGGTGGGTTAAAATGAGTAGAACAAAGGACAGATTAACTCCAGCCCCAATGTAAATGTTTAGTATTAAATTAAGGGAGAACATTAACTTGGGAAATTGAGCTCATATTAATGACTGAGAGTAAAAGAGAAAAGTTTGCTAGTTTTCTTTACAGCGCAACTGTTTTTTCTAAATGAACATGTTATGAATCCAGTTGAGCTGTAACAAATCACAACCATAATGACAAAAATCTAATTGGCTCTAATTGAACTTAATTTGTATAGAACTTGTTTACTTTCCTTGTAACGAGCTGATTTTTCTACTAACTGGTGATATTTACAGTAAACAAACTGAACATTGCTGAATATTTAGAAGCAGAAGGTACTTCCATTTATCTACTAAAAAGGGAGGTTTGCCCATGCTAATTATAAATCTAAGCTCAGTACACATGCACACCAGTGGGAATTTATGAAAACACAAACCAATGATAATCCAACATTAATCCAATACAGAACATTTAAAGAAGCACTGGAGTCATTCAGTAAAATGTATGAGACTAATGTCTGAATGAACAGCTTCAATTGAGAAATGAAAAGGTAGAAATTCAGCCTTTTATGTAATCAAGTGTTTCAAGTTTTTTCTTAGTAGGAAAAAACTGAGACTGAAGGGAGAGGTGGATATATTTTCCTGTTCTGAACAACATGAATTTATTTAGGGGTTTGTCTCAATCTGTCTCAGCGTTGTGCCAGGAAATGACAGTAAATGCTATGGTGTGGTGTGTGATTACAGAGCGGTTGTTGACTAATTAAACAGGAGCTAAATAACCAAGCAACAACTCTAATAATACCTCTGAGCTCAATGTTACTGTAATCGATGAAACCCTCAAACAAGGATATTCACACCCTCTCTTTGAGAAAATTGAGTAAACAGCATGTTTAGTGTACCTGCATTTGATCTAATGAGTCAATTATCCAAAAACAAAACTTGAATGATTGTTTTCACATATCTAATGCTAGTTTAATAGAAGGAGGTCCACTTAAGAACAGCATTCCATTTGCACAAAGTACAAATCTCACCAAGTATGTCGTCTGAAGGCAAGCAGGTGTGGTGAAGCTTCCCACTGTAGAACTCCAGACCGATGATTGCAAACATGAGGATAGCGAAAAACAAGAGAAGGCCAATCTGGAGCAGTGGGATCATGGCTTTCATGATGGACTTCAGCACAATTTGAAGGCCTAAAAAACAGAGTAAAAAAAAAACATTAGAACAAAGTTTCTCTCTTTAGTCAAATACATTTTTATTTCTGCATATATAGGCTTTCTGCTGCCTGTAAAGACAAGCAAAGTTTTAGGAAAAAAACTAAAAACATTAACATGGTCATGTTATGTTATGGTCATTTATAATCAGGCATATGACAAAACTTTGATAGTTAAGCCATTATATTTATTCAGATGTTCAAACCTCCCCCTAGCTCACAAAACTGAAAATGACAGATGACTCACTTGGGATCCCAGAGACGAGTTTCAGTGGTCTCAGCACTCGAACAGCCCTCAAGGTCCGAAGGTCAACTGGGATGTTCATGTGGGCACCAGCTGTGGCCAGAATCCTTATGAACATACATTATTCACATTATATAGTTGAAAACTTATTCTCACAGGACATTACATACCACTGCTGTTCTTTTTAGACATTGTTTTCTGTCCATGTAAATGTAATTTCTTTGTTATCTTGTACAAATGGGAAAAAATGGGTCTAAAATACAGTAAAAGGAACATCCATTAACCATAATTCTCTTTCCTATCCTGAGATTGATGATTTCTTCGTGTGATGTCTAAAAAATCGCATTCAAAAATAGACAAAATGGCAACAAAAGGATGTTACTGCAGGACAGTTTTTGAAACGAGTGGTTCATTTTAAATGGGGAGAAAAAAGCAGATAATGAACTGATTGAATATGACGCAGACAACTGTAAAGCCATAGAGTGCTACAGTGTATCCATCTGAGGCAGCAGACTTGCATGGTGAGAGACAAAAATGCACGGCCACATACACCTGCCAGGCATCTCTACTCACATCTACCCACGCACACATTGATGTGCCTCCACCTACACACAAACACTGAAAAACAGTATCATGAGCAACCAACAGGCAGAATCTTACATCAAACATAACATCTGGATGTTTCCTATAAGATAGGTGCTATTTTCAATCGAGATGGATGACTCATGCTTGAACCCCATTACATATCAACTCCATCGCTTGAAATAATGAAACCATATACAATAAGAAATTCTCATCTAGGCTGCTTGTTTAAAAAAAAAAGTTTAAAAAAATGCATTTTTTCCAACCAAATTTCAAATATCAGTACCTTAACTGGTGACTATCAACCATAAATAAGCAAAATCCTATTTACAGAAACTTAAAAACTAAATTAAAAATGAAAATTAAAAATGAAATACTATGGAGCAAGGGATCAGGTTTATTTCTCAGATTTACCAATTTCTTTTTTTTAAGCACACAAAGACATTTGTACAATAATACAAATATACATACTTATAAAATCTTTGGACAGTGTTAGGAAGTGTGGGGGAGGGTAAATGTGTGTGCATGCTTGCGTGTATATAGGTGTGCGTGTGTGCGCGTGAGTGTGTGTGTGAGAGAGAGCAGGGGGTAGAAAGCACATGGCAGAAACTCAAGTGTAAACCCACGCAGAATCTCTCCTGAAAGCAGTGGGAGGGAGAGAGGCCAAGTGAGTGAGTGAATGAGCGAGGCCATGTTCACAGTAATGCAGATAAATCTGAAAACGCTTTCTAAATGTTCAGAACCTTTTCTTAAAGTTCAGTGCAGGTACTGAACGCTGTGCAGGCTGACTTCTGCTGTTACAATCGATTTTCAGCCTCAAACACGTATTGCGTTACCCGTGATGACTGTGATCAATGTGAACTTGGTTTTTATGCTGTAGACAGAAAGGCGAATGTGAGAATTGTGGCAAAATTAAACGTTTGGAATTAAATTGCAAAGAATTTTGCGACATTTAAATAGGCCTGAGCATACAAATATATAGAACAGATATCATAAGAGGTAAAATTTTGAATTTTAGAAAGTATAGAAAACATATCTGACAAAAGAGGACATTCTTTCAAAATACAAAAACAATAAATTAATAATTACTTTAATATGAATAGAGGCCAATGTGTGGCCAATAGGTCTATTAATTTCCTCTGAGCGTATCTCTCTCTCTCTTTCTCTCACTATATATATGTATATATATTTATATTTTTTTTTTTCTTCATCTTTTTTTTTCATTTACTATCCGAGTGTCAATCTCAAGTTCAACCAGCTCATCCAAAAAAATACAAAAAACAACAACTTCTGGCTCAAATATGTCAAGATGTTGATGGCCAATAGTGGAAATTAAAGCCTCAAAAGGCAGATCACTGGGGGACGCCCATCGTTAATTTACAGTTCTCATCCCTGAAGTCCCATACATAGCTCAGTATCAGACTTTCTCTCAAAGTATGTCAATGTTCCATCCCCTTGAAATCCTGGTACTGTTTTATGTTGCCATGGCTATGAACTTCAAATGCTTTTAGATTCCTAAGTATTTCTCGGTAAACTGGTTCGGATCAAGTGTCAGTAGGCTATGTGGCAAGTGTAGATTGACAGCAGAAGTTTGAAAATAAAATGCAAGTCTATCAGATATCATTGGGCTGTGATAGGTTACAGACGTACTGATAAAAAAGTATTTAAATAAAATAGTGAGTCAATAAGTTTTAATGCTGAAAAGTGCATCCGAGATGTCTATCTGTGCTATTTCATCAAATGTTATAACGGAGCCCAATTTTAAGAATAACTCCCTTAACCTTCCTTTTCCCAAATCTACAAACACAACATCAATCTGACTTCATGCCATTCCACAGGATAAAAAATTTACAAAGGGCAGCTTTTCCCATCAGCGTGTTAGCCTTGACTCACATACTGGGCTTTGGCAGGAGTTTTCATGCCCTTCCTGCTTTACCCACACATTCACCCGGACTTGGGACAAGCACAAAAAGGACACAGACAACTGGAGTAAAATTGTCATGTCTGAACACAAAACACAAGAAAAATTTCTTCAAAATGTTGGGCCCATTTTGTACATGCGTCAAGTCTTTCTGTAGAAATTAGAAGCCACAGCTGTGCTGCTGCTGCCAGAGCCGGACAGCAAGCAGTGCTGAATATTATTGAACCAACATAACAAATAAACCCAGACTTTCAGTTTCAGTTTGGTTCTCCTATACTGCGGCAATAAGAATGATCCACAAGATCCCTGCAAACAACTGCAGCTAACTTTTAGCTTGCATATGTAGTGCGTCAGACAGGAAGATGTCACAGCGAAAACACTGAGACTGGGAAGGAACACTGATGTTGGAATCTGAGGAAAAAGCCTTCAAACCAAACACCCCAAACAAAAGCAGCTGCAGTTGTTCCTCCAAGGCTGCACTTTGAGAACAAGCAATTCACAGGAGGCCCCTCAAAATGAGAGCAAATGATCTATCTGTTTGTGGTAAATCGTGAATCATCATGACATTCTGACACACACACACAATAACGAAGGTCAGTTTCTTTAGTTGAGTTGAGAATTATTTTCCAGCAGAGACAGATTTGAGTGACACAGTATTCAGCATCAGCTCTGATCAATTTGCACAGTATAAACAAAATGATGAACTGACCAACTTCTGTCTTTTGGATCAGCGAAAAACTGTTTTAAATATGATTTAAAAGGTCACGGGGCTGTAATGAGTAGTTTGCTTTAATTACAACATATGAGATTCCATATGCAGTCAGTCCAGGGGCATCTTCCTTTAGTTTACAATATTTTATCATTTTCCTAAACGACTTTCATCTTTTCATTCTATTGGCAGATTTAAGCTCCATTACTATCAATAACTTTCCAGAGAAAAGAGAAAAACTGCTTTTGGAAGCATAATGTGAAAGCAAAAAGTCACAGCTTTGTGTCTGAAAAATAACTTCCATTCTGAGCGTTACGGTATGACTCTCTCTGCCAGTAATTTAATCATACTTCTCATTACATGTCATACTTGACTCTTTTTGGAAACCAGACATATTATGGGTATAAGGGAAGTGATTTAAGTTTATGATTGTTAAAGTTTATAATAATTAGAAATTGTTGTGACAATTTAATGATTATAATTAATTCATTATTCAGACACCCAAAACTTTTGACATTCTATTTGTGTTACAACTGTCCAAACAGATACATAAATGATTATACTTATTCATTACAAGTCCTATATTAGCTCATATAAACCACATTGATACATATACAGTGATGGATTTTTGACTCAGTCTCTTAAAATCCATACTTTAAATATATTTCTGGCTAAGGGCATTCTTAAGAGATAGAAAAGAAAAACCATTTGGTATTGTCTACTGTTAAACTTGTTATAAACTAAACATCTGCCAATAACATTTTTTCCACCAGTGTCTGAATAGCTCCACAGTACATCTATACTTACAAATTTTTCACTTTTTTCATCTTCATAAAAAAAAGCCGAAAGTTTATACATCAACCATGTGATATTCACTGAATTAAAAACAGGGCTCTTTAGAAGGCCTTAAAATGTCAGGTGGGAATTATATACACTTTATCTGTAAAGAGTTGAGAAATAAAATTGTTACATATACTTATACATAGGCAAGTTGTTGTTTTTTTTCCTCACTGGCTCTTAGAGGGAGGTACTGTAGCAGTCTATTGTGCTAAACTGGCTCTAGAGAATGAATTTATTACATGCACAGAATGCAGCCTCTCCTACATATTTCCACCTACACGAAGAACGCCACTGAAAACAACTACAGTAATCAGCAGCATCACAATGCATCACCATTTCAGCACATCTTTGCAGATGGTAATGCACAGCTGAATCAACATTAACATAATGCATCACAAATTAATGCCTTCAAATCAAGTCTATGAAACATAAGTCATGCTTTTAATATGAGCAACCTTAATACTCTTTTTAAAATTAGATCATAAAATAGAAGGTATTTATTCACTGTTAGTCATAGAATTATTGGCAGAGTACATTTGTTTCACAAAAAAAGGGGGAAGAAAAACTTGGAAAGCCGCATGTCACAAAATTCCTGAATTAGCTGAATTGGTATCAGAAAATACTGGCCTGTCCACTCACTGGCCATTAGATTTTCCTCTTCATAGGTGGGTGCAAGACTCGTCGTGTCATTATCCAAAAGCCGCATAAAAAGTACCCCAGCATGCTTATGGACTTTTTCCAGTGGTCTTTAGTAAAAACTATTTTCTTTGGCTTGATAATTTGCATGTGTTCATGTCCATGCCAAACCAGCCTGAAACTGATCAGTGGAAACTGATCATTTTAACAGTGAAAGTGGGGGAGAAGTGGAAAAAAACGAGGTCAAATTACCACGAAAGGCCATAATCGACACACTTACACGTCAAAAAATAATTTTTAAAAGTGGGACAAATAGATCAACAATGCAAAATAATCTGTGTGTAATTTTGTGCCCTGTGCTTTTAATGTAATGCTATGGGCTAAATGCAGAAAAGAAGGTTGATGGGGTGGGGATGCAAAATTTTTGTTGTCTAATTGGTTAATCCAGCGATGCATGTATGAGTTGTCTCACTCCTGTGCGTCTGTCGTTGTGCCAGATGGCTAATGAATCACTCCCAACTCCCACCCAGTTTTATTATTCATCCTGTCTAAAGAGCAACAATTTTAGCAGATTGTCACACTCTGCAACAAGAACAGCAGGGAAACCTGATATCCTTCATGCAACATGATGGGAGGTTGACACACACACACATAAACACACACACACATGCTCTTCCAGAGAATGTGTGTCGGCACAGCTGGGTTCAATATCATTAGGCCTGATGAAAGAATTGTCAGAACAAATCTACAAACAGAAGGGCCGCAGGTTCAGTGCCAACAATCTGTACCTGCGACCTCAAAAACGGAGTAACAAGTGTGAACACACAAGAACACACGCACGCACAAACACACAAGTCATTAGGGAGACGTTTCACTGCTAATCAAAGCATCATGTCCACCTGTACCCGTCTCTTTGCCGCAGGACATCATCGACCATTTTAGGAATCCCATTGATTTAAATTAGATTTTTGGGTAACTTGTTTTAGCTGGGGTCCATTTTGCTACACAATGCTCCCTCAGATTAAGGGTTTTAATTGAGCTCGGTGTCCCAGCAGATTTGCTTCTAGCAATTCATTAATATGAAATGGATTGAATGCCGCCAGCACTGGCCCAGTGGCCTCGATTTAATTCCCAGCTGGCCTGCACGACACATGTGTTTTCTTTTAAGTCTGACTTACTTGTACTGTGCCACTAGAGTGATAGTGTGTGTGTTGTGTGTGTGTATTTGAGACAGTGAGTGAAGAGGGGGAAGCAGCATATGTTTTACCAGAAAATATGTCAGAAAGGTGTCAGGAAATCAGGGCATCTGTTACCAATTCCAGCCACAGCTGGAAGTATAAGATCTGTGAGCAGCAGAAAGTACACTGACGACTTTGTACATTTTAATGTATGTGACGTGATTTCAGATTAAACTTTCACATCAACAGTCTTTGAAATAAATGCTTCATTCCTACAAGTTACTCAGCATGTCAATTTTTTTTCATTTTAATAACCTCCCCACACTGTTTTTCCACCTTGTTCAGTGAAGTACAAGAGGCCAAAAGAGTGTGCCAACACAAAATGACAACACTACAGGACATGTTTGCAGATGAAACAATAACTCTGATCAGTGATGTGGGCTGCACACGCAGGTGGGATTGAAATTAAACTATCGATGCGTGACTGCTGACAGTCTGGGGTCTCAAAAGCACATGGAGATTGATCACACAAGCGACACATAATTCTGCCACCTTATTGGGGACACACTTTTCTAATACATGAGGCTTTTGCATACTCTGAGAGGACAGATTCTTTTTTATTTTTCTCAAGGCGACGAGTATAAGAACAAAATTCATCCGGCTTGGATGTTTCATGCTTTAGAAGAAACTTCCCAGGAGCTCTGAATCCCTCATAGGTCCCACAAACTCACTCACTCAAGATAATGGGAATTTGAAAGTAACAACTTAGCAGCAACAGGTGACAATAGCAGTTTTTTCGTTAATGAAGGGGAAGAAGAGAAAGAACCTTTGTTTTTATTCACGACTACAGAGGAAATAGGAAATTAAATTAAATTAGGTGGCCTTAGGTGAACCAGAGCTGGGTAGGGCGAGTAAAGTGTCTTGGTTCAACAGATGCATGAGAATGACGAGGGACCATTCCTATTTCAGGGTGTCAGACAGTTGTTTTGTCGACCTGGTACATGGGATCACACCATTTATCCAGCATGGAGCCCCGCAAAGGGGAGATTAGCGGTCACTCAGCGTGTCACAGCTTCTGAGAGTTCACAGAACGGTTAGTCTGTAAGACCCACACACTCACAAATCTGACCAATCACACAATAGTCGTCAGACATCGTTGGTGAAAAGAATTCTGCCAAGATGTCATGGTGAGAGCAAGCAACCAGAACTCCCAAACCAGGGCCAGCAGAAAAAAAATGAGGTCATTCCGCCTTCAAAAGCTGTTGGAGGGAGAACTCATTTCTCTGTTTTGACAAGAGTACAGGCCTATAATCTAACTGAGCGTAAGTAAATGGGAAGCATAAAAGTTAAACAAATGCTTAAAATATTGCAAAATATGACGCAATTCATGTGACATCCTCAATTAAGGGAAAATTTAGTTACGTTTGTCCAGTCATGAATGTCCATACTGTCCATACTGTCCATACAACAGCCCTTACTGCTCTGCAAACATGATGCTGTTGTCCATTTTTTATATAAGAAGTTGAGAGCAAAAGAGAAATAGAGAGAAATAAGAAATACTGAGCAAAAGAAGATGTGGGTGTCCATTGAAATGAGATGTCAACATGCCAATAGCAATCTTTCCTGCATGCTGAATACAGCATCATGCACAGCATACCGGCGGTAACAATGGATAACTCCTGCATGATTAATTCACTAAAGCCAGTCCTACAGGGAGCAAATTAAGACTCCCATCATGTTTGTCTTGGGTTTGTATTCTATTTTCTTTTTCTTTTCCGACCCCTTCTTTTCCCTGTCCTTTCTTGTGCTTTCTATGCTTTTGCATAACATCTCCAGCGATGCATTCACATTTAATTCACAGAGGTCCTGGGGGCGAACCAAAGCAGGTTTTAGACACAACTGCCAATCCACTTATCCACCCACCTTTTTCTGACTGCCGAGCCTGACTGTGCCACGCAAACACACTTCTTCCCCCAGCTATGTATGGCGTTGTGTTGTGGATGTATGCGAGGTGTGAATGTTTGGTGGAAAAAGACATCCACAACAAGGAAGGCAAGACAACGGGGTCTAAAATGGAAATGTGTATCTAACATGAAGATCGGATTGTCAGCATTAGAAGTTGTTCAAGTGAAGCACAAGCGTACATATGAAAACTATTGATAAATGATGACACACGCAATGGCACATGCACGAGTGCATCGACATAACCTGACAAGCAGTGTTTGAAATTAATCTTTGGTTCACCAGCCACAGCCCGGTAAAGTAAAAATGACTTGTGTCACAATTAATTGGAAGATCAGCGGCTGCGTATTAAATTAAAAGCTTTCCAGCCCTCTCACTTCATTTAAGTTTGTAATTCAATATAAACTCTGACATACACGGAAACACCTACACAAATCAAAACATACACAAATTCACTTTGATCATTTCATTTGCGGCCAGTTGTTGTTTTTCCAATTTATACGCTGAAAATCGGGAGTCAAAACCATGGCCTCATGTCTTAAAAATAGATTTGTTATTTCTAATAAAAGCCCAAATCAGCCCAGATTTGTACCAATTAACTGTGACTATTAATGTTATCAGTGTACCCAAAGCGGTTATTGTTGTTGTAGGAACCGTGGCAAATGTTGTTTATGACAAGAGCTGCAGTTTAAAAATTTTTTTTTTTTTACACAGTTAAAAACTGAAAATGATTTTTCATTCAGACCATATATCGCGTTTTTCATTATTACACAGAAATCAACGTTGAAAGTCAGGTTGCTGCTCTTCTTGGAGGAATCTTTGATGCTATTGTGGAGGCTTAAATGCAAAGGCTGTGTAAGTATTCACAGGTAACATTGATATCTGAACTCTGGGTTCTGTTTCTTTGTATGCCAGGTCATGTGAAAAGCCACGTTTAAAAGAATAGAACTATTTTTTTCAAGGTTATCCGTTAAGTAGGTCCTTTTACTGCTTTAGCTAAATGCAGTAACATAAAAAGGCATAAACAGGAGGAAAGGTAGCACTAGGAAAGCTTTGCACGGTTAGATACGCAATACACACAAATTCAGAGTTAGATCTGTTCATGAACAAAACTGTTCATGTATAAGTATAACACATGCATGTCACCTAATTATCTTTCTTTTCCTTTAAATAACAATGTCGAAAAACATAATAAAATAATGTTACAATGCTTGATCATGTTTAATCCCTCTGGTTTGATTAAGTTTCGCTTTTCATTCAAGTACAAAAAGGTTTTTCTTGTTTCGTCCTCTGACTCCATTATTTCAATCAATGAATATAAAGATCTGCTGTCGGTTGGCCTGTTGGAGGGAGGACGCTTCTCAGCATATCTGTGCTTCTTGCAGCCTGACAGCTGCACGCGACACCGCAGTCAGAAGAAATGTGACCGCAAAGCATGAGCACCTCAGGAGCGTTTGGTCGCCTCTCATTTTACTTTAAACATGCTTTCCCAGGTGAGAAAGGAGTTATCATTCCAGGGGCCTGTGTCTCCAGAAGGAACTCGTGTTCACTTCTCTGTTGACAGTTTCAGTGACTCACAGCTGAAGCACCTCAACCGAAATTGTCTTGGTTATATCATTTATGAGGGAAACGGAAAACTTCACATATCAGGCTCATACAAAGGCAAGACAAAGAAGTGTCTTCCTATGTTATATCTTCGAGGGAAACATTAAAAAAACCCAGAGTAGCCTTCTGTCAAGAATTCTTGGTATCAAACTAATCTGTACGTGCGCCACAAACAACAGGCCAAAGCTAAAGGTGATTTCATTTGAGTACTAAACAATTTTGGGTTTGAGCAAACTGTCAAGCTTGGTAGAGACAACCAAAATTTAGAGAGAGGTTGTAATGAAGCTTTCAATAGCAGATAGTGTCATTTTATTAGAACACAACAAAGCATTGTTCGCAACAAAAATGTGTCAGGTTTCTCAGAACTTCAAGAGACCATTTGATGGCACTCACCCACTGAGGACGACTATGAAGTCCATGACGTTCCATCCATTCCTCAGGTAGGAGCCTTTATGGAAAACAAAACCAAGGGCCACCAGCTTGATCCCCGCCTCAAAGCAGAATATCCCAATAAAGTATGGCTCTGTCTTCTCCTGTGAGGAGAAACAACATCACAGAATTGAACAGGGTTTTGGGGAAAGTTAAATGCACAGGGCGGTATTTCTGCCACTAGGTTACTGTCACTCACAACATTCATGACTCAAATTATTTGATTTGCTACTATAGATTCATGATGGTTTTCCTCACCATCATTGTGTTTTCTTATTATTATCTTTAGTCACAAATAGTAATATGGAATTTCTAATTTTCAGTTACCAAGCAGAGAAATGTGTCAGTTCCACTCACTTGGGGGATCACTTCTGTTTTTAACTTTAAAACTCATCCCCACTGTATATTTTTGGCTTACAACACAGTGTCTGTATGTTCCTGAAAAAGCATTGGAGGGTGAGCTAGCAATGACACAGAGGTACTTTGGTTCTGATGAAATTAGATGATCTGCAACAGTGGACTGAGAAAATGCTAAAAAGTTTCTCTTTTTTAAAAAGGGGTTATTGATTCGAGGCTGAACCATCAGTTATTTCTCATCCATTCTGGCCCTGGCAACTAAATAGAGCAAAGCCACCGCTGATCCACACAGAAAACTGTACCCCACTGGGGGTTCAACATCTTTGCCCAAAGACACCTCAATCTGTAGCCTGGCATCGAACAACCGACCCGCCCACTGTCCGGCAACCGCTCTGACTACTGAGTCATCTCAATATGAACATGAAAAATATGCAGTCTTGTGGTAGGAAGCATTTTCTCTTAAAGGATCAAGCTTTTTTAATGCAAATTCCTTTATTTCTCCATCCACCCCCGATCAGATAACGGGCACTATAGGTATTGCAAGCTTCACCTTCTTCTTGGAGATCCAATGATGTCTAAAGGATTTTATTTAAATGTAACTAAACCCACAGATTTGACGTCAGTCAGATACCTCGGATTACAAATATTTCATCAAATCCCTCCTTGAATCACTCCTCGCTTATAAAGCTGAAAGAAAACACATTTCACATTGTGGCACAAAAACAACCTCCACACTCCCACACAATCAGAAGACAAAGTTTGTCCTCACCAGTCTCTTTGCCATCGGGGTCTTGTCCTCTCCAGGGAGGTGCTGCTCCAGAGCCAGGACGACACAGTTAGCGGTGATGGTGGCCAGGATCATGTACTCAAACGGTGTAAAGGCCATCAGGTTAAGGAAAGTTCTTACAGCATGAAGGCATAAAAACAAACAAACAAACAATGTCTAGAAAAAAAAGAAAAGGCACCAACATCTGGAAAAGGATTCATGATGGAAATATTCAGTGAAAGTTTGCTAACCCTGTATCTTTTCACTGTAAGGAAAACAGCAATAATTCAAAATGTGGACCACAATGACAGCAGTAACCTTTTTCCATATAGCCAAATCTTTGGAAAAGTAAAAAAAAAAAAAAAATCCATGGATTGATGGATTGGTGACTGGATCGATGAACAACAGACTAATTATGGCTCAATTCTCTGGTATTGAAAGCGATCAGTTAGAGAGATTGCAGTATCCATGGCAACGTGCTTTTAAAAAGTGCTTTTCATGAGGAGAAAGAGAGCAGGTTAGGCAGGAAATGAGTGCGCTGGGAAGTCACCTTGGCCTGATGGGTAGCTGCACAAAGTACAGCAAACACTTTTCATGGCTCCTTTACCTACCAAAAGCTCAGAAAAATGGAGCTTAGACCATTGGAACATGCTACAAGCCATTTGAATATCTCTCAGTCTCAAGTCTTTCAACATCTAGTCTTGTCTTCTGTGGAGAAGCAGATTTTTTTACTTAAGCTGTTATATTAGTTTTTTTTTTCCTGAATGAATAAAGACAATTTAAGCAAATGTGCATACTTAGGTAAGATTGTGGCTGTTGGCAAATGAAAACAGTTCATTCTGAGATGTCACCTTCAACACTTGATAAGCTTTCACTGGAATTTTCTCAAATGTCTAATTTAAAAAATATTGAAAACATAGATTGATTACTAAGTAGACCGAGATTTACTAGTTAAGTGAAAATAAAGCAAAAAACTGCATGTTCTCAGCAGTGACGAACTGAAGACTGTCTTTGTCTTATGTGATAATAAATGTCAAAGAGTTTTGATGTGAAAAAACTACAGATAGCAGGTCTAATTTATTTCAAATTTGACAAGTTCTTCTTCTGAGATTCCTTTTTAAGGTCCATAAGTTTTCTGTGAGAGGAAACCTGCGTAAACCTTTACAGCACTGTACACACGAATAAAGCGTGTGTGCAAGCTGGATCCACAATGAGCCGCAACACTTGTGACTTTCAGTCTGACTGAGTTCCCAAGAGGAATGCTCTCGCCTGTATTAATTTTCCCGTCTTGAGTGAAACAGGGTCACTGACTCACAGAGGAGTGCTGAGATGTGGCCCTCTGGGACACACTCTGGCTGACATTCACCACAATGTTGCTACCAACTGTGGCTGAATATAACTTAAGTGGAAATACTTAATACATTTTGCCCACTCTATTACTAACTGTTACCAGCAATCATATATGGTTCTCATGCAGGTTTTAGCCCATTTACCCCCAACCACTTCCCCGCTGACAGTTTACACATGCTGTTTTTTACTTTTTATACTTTTACTAACCTTTGGGGAAAGCACTGTCTTGCATTTGCTATATTAGATTAAATTAATGAACTCTACCAATTTGCCTGAGCTCCACTTTACATTTTCTCCGTATTCTGTGACATTTCTCTTCTTGTTTTATTGAAAGTCGGTGGTTCTCTTGATGCATTTATTGAGAAACAACAAATCAGTCTCTTTATCTGCCTCATTTATATGGAATGTTGATTTTTATCTTAATCTTTTATCATTTTCTTAACTATCTTTATACAAAATGTGTAAAGCACAGGATCCAACACATCGAGCTACCTGGAGAATTGCTTTTAATATTTATTTAAGAAATAACTCCAGAGGACTCCATTGTGGGATGGTGCACCTACAGTTTTGGTTGGCGTACTTTGGCAAATAAATGTCCCAGTTAACTACAAAGACTGTTCAAATATTCAACTCTATAAGTCTGAAGCAATCACTGCTTGGGATTCCTGAGGATTCACACGTGCCTGTATGTTCCTACAGTCCCCGAATTAGGACATTTTGGGCCTTACCGGGTCAGCACTCTGACACGTGCTTTCATGACAGCCCACGATCCCCCACAGTACTACCGGCCAGCCTCCTCCCACATACCTCATCCTCTGTGTTACCCACAGTCCCATTACAGTGCTGCCAGTGGCCAGCAATTGTTGACCACTAGCCCTACTCCCACTCTTCAACAGAGAGCCTGTGCTTAGGTAACAGTAGGAGACTAGCATAGTGCATTGGAGGGGGAGTATAGCAGGAGGAGCAGTGGGAAGATATGGCAGCAAAGTGATGTTGCTAAGCCGATTGTGCTTGAAAACAGCTAAAATATCAGAGAACTCAGCAGGACAACACCTTAAACTTTGAATGATTAATAGATTAAATTAGGGGATAATCAATAGGCATCTTGTGTCAACGTGAGCAAACCAAACTGTGTAAATGTATGCCAACAAACATCTTTGCATTTTTGAAAATCAGAAAAGAAAACAGACGTGTTTGTCAGAGCTACAGTAGGCACCCAGAGAAATACTGCCGAGTGGATTTGAACTGACACCTACTCATGGCCAGGTTCACATTCCAATGAGCAGCAAGGCAACGTAGATGTGCCTACATGCCACCCCCACAGTGAGCAGAACTGCTTCTAATGATTACCACATGCTTACTCCCTGTCATCTGCCAGCACCAAAGCAAGTGGCGCCCAGAGAATAAATAAGTTACTCGGCCAAAATGTGAGGAAGAATCTCTGCTCTGGAGTGCACGTGATGTACCATTTTGAATAAAATGTTAAAAGTAGCATCTAGAAACCCTAATTATGGGAAAATAAAGGCAATAAAGATGTGGGGAATCATAAACTGACCAATTACAATCTTTCTGAGTAAAGGGGAGCTTCAAAATGCAGCTTCTCACATGCCGGCTGACGCTGTCCATGGTGCTGAACTCAATCGCTGCTAAGAATTGCAACAGACATCTTGAAACAGAACTACTACTTTTAATGTAAGGATATGGCCATTCAATGATTCGCCTGGCGTATTTTCTAATGATGTTGTCCTCTGCAAATATGAAGAGAGACCTGTTGACGGTGAGGCAGTTCTGCCGGTGGGGGACCGGGTTGTACAGAGCCATGGTCCGGGCTCGCTGCGCCTTGGCTTGTTTCATGGAAGCCGTGAGTCCCGCCGCCGCGTCCTGCCCGTCTCCGCCGCGCTCCAAGTCCCCATCTCCAGAGTCCACTGTGGCGGGAGCCGACTCATCTCCGAACCGAGCCATTCTATGAGGAGATGACGAAACGACCCACTTAGTGTTTTACTACAAAAAAAAACTACTTCAAATAGTAAAATTATGCAATAAAGCTAAGCGAAAAAAAATCATCCACCTTCAATCCACTGAAAGCTTTTTCACAGCCAAGATTCCCCAAAAAGTTACAGAATCTTCTTACTCCATATCCACATGGGCACAGAATATTGTATCATTCAGATGGTTTATGTTTCGGGAAAATCATCCATGCACCTAATGGCGGTTTAGTTGCAAAACAATCCCATTTGTTTAACAGCGCGTAAACAACTTTTCATCAACGCGCGTCTCTAAACTCGGACAACGAAAGAGGACCAACAAAAAAAATCCACCGAGCTTATTCCTTGTATATTTTTACCAACATCCAAGCATCTGACAAACCGAAGTGATCAAAAACCGGTGCGCGCTCATCAGATGGGCAGATCCGAGGGAGGTCTTCCAAAACTTTACGCATCTTTTCTGACATGGGAAACTTGTCAAAAGAAGAAGCCCGTTTAACGCCCCTAAACCACAGCAGTCCTTATGCGTTGGTTGGAATAGCTAGATCATTCTTTTTCACCTACTAGAAACATAATCAGACAGGAGCGCATAGGCACCGACAGCCCCCTCCCACAGAATTACTTCATGGCGATTTCTAAATTCATCTGAATGAAAGCTGCTAGAGAGGAGGGACATATATTTTGTTACCATAGCAATTAGTTTGTTGAGGATGAACAAAAACACATCCTCCCCCAAAACGACAACTATATACAGTAGGCTGTGTGTGGGTATGTGCTTTAAAAAAAACAATTATGTAAAGATGCTTGTGGGTGCTGTGGGATCAGAAGAATAGGTGAGAAATATAAAATATAAAAAATGTAGAGAAATAAAATTCTTGACAATCCAAAGAGACACTTATTAAGAAAGTAAATTAACAACAAAAAATCTGACTCTATTTTCTAAGATCTTTACATATTAGTTTTGACCTCTTCTCCCCTTTTCTAACAGGTTTATCATTTATTAGACAGACAGCATAGTCATATTTTCATTAATGGAGTCATACTTGTACTATTAAACATATATTTTTTCTAAAGTAGGCCATTGTGCTAATATTGGAGTAAAATTCAGGAGTAAAAATAGAGCATGAAATAGATCTTAGGGCTGCTCCCTTTTTGATGGAAAGCAGAAGAAAGCTGGGTCCTTTTCACGCTCATTGCCACAAGTGAGACCTCACTGGGCAACTGGGCACTCTCACTCCATCTGCTACTCTCCTCCCCTCCCCACCGTTTCCTGAAGATGACCACTTAAGCCCCCACAGACGTGAGATTATTCAACCGAAGCTTGTTTCATGCCCGAGGCTGTCGCAATTAAAACCAACAGGAGAATTAGTCCCCATTGATATCCCGGCGGAGTGTATCAGTCTTTGCTGCTGACTGTTCAGGCGCACAAGGTAGGGGCCGCACAGTATACAGACGGGCAGCCAGCGAAGGCTTAGATGGGAAATTGTGAAAACAAGCCCACAGGGGGCGAGTGACAAAATCATACTTGGCAAAATGAGTTGAGATCTGGAGGAGAAGGGAAAAACTCATTTAACAGGATGAATAAGTTTCTTACAGAGCTTACAAAGACTCAGCCATGACTCTTGTTGCCTCCTCTTCCTAATCTGCATGAAGCAGGCAGGCGTGCCACTTCATGCAAAGCAGGACAGCAACAAAAGGCTGTACTGATCAAGAGCAGAATGTACAAGCAGCGAGATGATAAATCTGATGTAATATGGAGAGTTTGCTGATTCATAACACACAGTATCTGCACGCCACCTCATCCCTACTTTCTACCAAAAAACATGGATTCATTACAGAAGAAAATCTCCATGTGTGTTGCCCAACAAAAACATTTGCCAGTCTCTGCAAACAGAACATATATCTCTCAGTGCTTCAGTCTCCAGCTCTCTCTTTGCTGTTGTTTCCATAGCGACATAGCTCTCTTGAATTCCTGCTCCGTTCTTTTCATTTTTGCCAACAAAAGCCATGTTGCACAATAGAGCAACTTCTTCCTACAGAAATCTGTTTCTCGCAACACAAACACCTCCCCGTCAGGGTCGCCGGACATCTTGAGGGAGGAAACCGACAGACTGGAGTTCAGCACCGTCACCACACTGGTGCTCCCAAACGCAGCGCAGATGACCAGGTGCAGGCCGCTTTAAGACTGTTTGTGTTTTGTTCGGCTCTTGCTCGCAGCCTACTCAAAGGGGTCCAAAAATAGCGGCGTTAAAGAGCAGAAGAGCTTTTTCGAAATTTGCCAGGGCCTTACCAAACTTTGAGAAGAGGAAGTTTACTGTTTTGGCAAATCACATAAAAATGATTAAAAAAACAAAAAAACAGTCAGGATAGAAGTAAGAAAATGGTTTTCAGTGCAAGAAACATCTAAATCTTTAGCAACGGGAGGAAAGAGGCCTGTGACATGCACTGAGAGTTAAAACGTTAATGGCACTTGGTGCCAGAGCTCTGAAGGGCATTTATATAATTGCAGACAAGCTTTCATCCAACATTGACTGGAGTGGTTTTAGCATTTTATTTTTCTCTCTGTTCCCTAGCAACAGACATCCTCTGTACTGAGTTATGTCAGTTTGATTCGACCAATAATGGTGTCTTATATCGGCACAGATTGGTGCAACACTGTGCCAGTTCATGTTGAAACATATTTATATCACTGTCATAGTCTCAAAGCGATCATCCAAAATTTGTACAGTAGCACCAAAATAGCTAAAAAATGTCCGTGAACTTAACAAGAATATCAAAGAAATTTTAATAGATAAAAAACAAGTTTATCACACAGTCAGAAATCAGTTCCATAGACAGGAAATTAGTCATTGGTAAAAAAAAATTAAATATTTTATCATTTTAAAAGCAAGCTCAAGAGTGTCCAAATCCTATGGTTTAATTCTAAAGCCATCATGCTGCTTCCCAGCTGGTTCTCTACTTTGATTCCCTAGCATCCCCTAATGGTCAACCAACCACAATACATTTAAAGTTGTAAACCAAAAACAATACATCTTATCTATTCATCAGTGCCTTTAAAAGAATATTCTCAGTTAGTTTTATAGTTGCTCTAGCAGAGAGTCACATGGTTTTATTCCTGATGGAAGGGGACATGGTGTGGAAGTACAGCAGAGTGAGCAGAAAGCTGAAGGATAAAGTAGGAAGGCTGTTGGGTTTGCGGGTTGGAGGTTACGCTGGTGGAGAACCACTCCACCTTCAAGTGGTGAGAAGCAGACAATCAAACTAATGTAGCAGCAGAGTGCAGAAGTTCACGAGCTAGCAGCCTGAACTCCAACATTAATTACACCATAAAGCCTGTGACGGCAGCGAAATGTAAGAAAATCAGCTGAAGAAAGTGGTGGGGACTTATTTAGAAAAACTGTAGCTAAAACACAGACTCTGCATATTGAACTACTGCAGACCCTTAAAATGCATCTGTATTTCTGCAAAAATGTGAACTAAATTATCATACTACGTCCTAAACTACATAAAGATACCCACTGCAACTAGACAGACTAAATGCCATACTTTTTCACATATCTGCGGACCTTTAAAATTTGCAGTTAATTTGAAAGTCAGGTGTTCGTGAGTGTCTTGCATTAATAGAATAAAATAAAATAAAAAGTTTTACTCAAACTCTGTTTTCCTAAAGGATTGTGAAAGTGTATGTGGGTTCAACCAAAAACTATTTCTGTGGACCTCAGAAAATGTCATGCTCTCCAGGAAGGCAGCGGTTATGTAACTACTTATAAAGAGTTTGCACTCCAGAAATCTACTAAAGAAGACATTTGTTACCATCCACAAAAGCTGTCAACTGGCAGAGACCACCCCAAAAAGCAACATGTGCTACTGCGTGTTCGTTTTCATGAGCCCACTATCAGAACAACACTGAATGGCAGTAGTGAGTGTAGCAATGGAGCAAAAAACGCTGCTGCTTGTCTACAGGTTGTTTTTTTAAGCACCATGTGGACGAGCCACAGGACAAAAACGGAGCTCCACAGTTTCAGTGAGAGGTGGGAATTTTGGGGAAACAAAATGATTGCCTTTCAGTATAAGAACCTCATCACATCATTTAAAGGTGTAATTATTATTGTTTGGGACTGTTAAGTACAATCTAAGCCAGGATGGTTTCCCATTTCAAAAGAGGAATGGATTCTAAATTATATTAAAAACATTTTGTTTTAATTCTTAAAAAACAAACAACAACAGAACATCTACCACATGCACTCAGTCAGAGGTGTCAGCATGAACACACTTATTCTGATTAAATGGATCTATTTAAATCATTGTTCAACTCTGCAAAAGCCTGTTCAAAGTGCTGGCTCCATAACATCTCGTTCTTTAAAAGACTCCCATTTCCATTACCCCTGCAAATGGCTATGGTGTTGTTAGCTTGGCCACATGATGAAGGACAGATCTGCCGTTTTCTTTTTAATGACCAAACCAAAGTCTGGACCTTAATTCATCAGAAACATTACGGACAGACATAAAAGGAGAAGTGCTTTTTTTTTTAATCTAACAAAATCCTGGTTTTTGTGTATAGTGAACAATGGAGTGACATCTCTCTAAGCGGATGACCAGGACTTCTCAACAGTTACTAAAAATGTTCACAGTCGTTGCAGATATTTCAGTATGTGTTGTGTCATCACAACACATACTGAGAGCAGAGGTTCACAGACTTTTCTCAGTCGCAGATACAATAACAACAGAGCAATGACACTTATTTTTCTTTCTTTTATGCCTATGTTTTTTGTTGGAACTTTCAAACTCATTTGAGTTTTTAATATTTGCCATTTGGATTTTTTGAGCCTCTATTTAGTGACTGAAAGAAACCTTGTGATGTGCCTACAAGGAATTTATATGTTAAAGTATATGAAAACCTGGGTGGGAAACCACTGGAGAGTAAATTACATTTACATAACTGTCCAGTCATTACCATCAAGACCACTATAAGGTTCTCCCAGTAAAATAACATAATCATAATACATTTTGCATTCATGCTTCCACGGACATGTTAAATAAAGAATAAGATCCCTCTACTATCAACTCTACTATTATACAGGCACAAAGAAATTGAGCATTTCTTTATTGTTATCATGTATTTTATTTAACAAACTATTTTAACTATCTTTTCCTTTTTTCTTTTTGTGTCAAATGTGCTTTTTTCAATTTTGGTATTTTTCATCAAAATGTTGTGATTGGGACTGCTGATACTTCCATCAGTTTTTCTCTCTATGTCTCTGCGTGCTGTTTTGATATTCACCACTTTCTAAAATGAGGGAACCAACATAAATTTAGAAATGAGCAGGTTGACTGAAGAGCGACATGGCTGGCTTGTGTCAAGCCATGTTGTTGTGTTGTTTACGAACGGCAGGCGCGCATAACCACCCTTTGGCTGCAATACAATCATATAATCATGACCATGAGTTAAGAGGCTTTAAAATGTTCTGCAGAGGCCATTAGGCCAATAGAATCAGCTTTGCTTCGAGGGAAACATAAAAGTCTTGGGTACTGAGTATTTGCTAATCACTCTGCTGTAGCTGTGTGCCACACGTCTGTAAGTGATTCTGACCATGGACAGATTGACACATTGTAACTAGAAGCGCTGGTCTAATTATTAGCACAAGCTATGAAAGTAGAGCATTTCCACTTGAACAGAACAATTATCATTTATACTTGCACACTTGGATGACCTGTTAGGACCCTTGAATAGAATGAATTATACCTGTGCTTTTCCAGGTATCTTTTTTCTTCTTTTAAAAAAAAAGGATTTTCACATAAATCTCTCAAACAAACCAGCATCTACCGTCCTTTACAGTACCACGACGCCTGAGGCCTTTAATGACTTACAGGCTGACAAGTACAACTGCACACCCCGTATATCCTTTTACATTTCATCCTCCCCCGTGGAGATTTACCATCTTTACACGCGCAGTCAAAGAAATCCTTTGACTCTGAATTTTCTTTTATACTCACTCCCACTCCTTCCTGCGGGCTTGTGGCGTGCTCTGTATTTTGTGAGCCTGGTGGGCCATTATGATGTCCTTCTGCTCCACGAGTCCCCCTCGCCGTCGCAGCATAAAGTGGGGACTCAGGGAGCCTGATCCCTGGTCGGAAGAGCTCTCTTCCCGACCGCATGGCACGTCGAAGCTGGCCGCTCGGGGGGGCAGGTCCAGGTACTCGGGCACGGCGTGAGGAACCTGCAGGGAGCAGGAGCGGGTTCCCTGGGTCAGGCCGGGACGGGCCGCAGGGCTGCTCCTCCTCCACTCCTCGGGCTCAGGCAGAGAGAGGGAGGAATGGACATGAGCCTTTCCACTCCAACCACAGCTTGGTGAAGAGTAGAGTTTGGGAGCGAGGGACTGGTCTGAACTGGTATGCATATCTACAGAAGCCGGAAGCTGCGGTCCTCACCATAATTCTGCAAACGAGAGAAAAGAGAAGATAAAGAGGCTGAAGACAATGGGTGAGAGACAGCAGGATCAGTTAATGAGACATTACAAAGATAAACATGCCACATCAAAAAGGATCCCTCTTTGTTTGTCTGTTTCAATGAGCCACAATAATGGGACTCTGGAGCTGTCTTTCAGCCACTTTGGTTTAGTCTGAAAAATTCCAGAAGCTAACAGGCATACTGTTATGATACAGTTTTTGCTTTACATATTATACCAGCTTTATATTATATTATCAGATCAAAAATAATCACGCTTCTACTGAACCATGTCTCATCTCATCATTTCTCATATTGTCTAATGTCAAATAGTCACCACTAGTTCTAAATAAGATGGCATAAAAAGTTTCAAAAAGATGTATGGTTCACAAACAATGGCTTCGTGTGCACGCACAGTTATAGTAACACTACTGATCTTGCCTAAATATGAATAAATTCTAACTACGATCTGTACTGCAGCTAAAGATTGAACATTCCATTTCCATTTTAATCTACATTCCATGAAGCATACTCAAATCAGTGACTCATTCCCTCAACATGCTCTCTTGGATATCTGCATTTTTTCTACCTTTCTGAGGGCTTCGTTATATTCATGTCTCTGAGTGTAGAGAACATGAACCTATTGTTTTTTTTTTATTATTTCTTATCCAAAAAATGTTTTACTGTCAGTGCAGCCTTGCTTTTCTGAATAAAAAAAAATACTATTGGTGTTTCCACGTCTTACCCACAAAAACAAGCATCCTGATCTATGAAAAGAAGTCCTGAGATGCACTGAAAATACAAGCCTGAACTCTCGGTAAAGCATACAGGGAGCTGGCACCTCTGGGACACAGACATTAGTGGTAAAAGAGTTTTGAGCAAGAAAATGTAAATATCTGATGAGATGGAAAATTGGGGTTAATATGTACAAGTTCAGAAAGACACCAGAAATTCCACAGAGCTCAGTTTGATTTTTTTTTATTTAAATTGAATAAATCCATATTCTGATTACAGTAACCAGAAAAATCTCTCATCTGACATGACAGCTTCTTATTCAAAGTAGTCTTCAATGAGAAAATGTCAGAATTTTGCCATTCATAGATGCAGTAATTGTTACTTGGAGAGCAAGATTCCTTCCGTTTGTGTTTCCTACCATTGTCTAGATAAAAATGTGAAAAATGTTTGTCTGACAGTGATCAAACACCTGAAAAGCACTGACATTCCCATCAGATTCAGCTGTATTGCATGTAGCTCCAATAGGCTCATGTCAAAAGGGCTCAATTTTTAAGAATAAACTTACGTTTTTTTATTTTTTTCTCTTACTGCACGGTGCAGCACAGGCTTTGTTTAAGATCTTCTCTTTTTAGAAGCTTATTCACCACTTGCTCACCCCATTTCAAATACCACACCATAAAGATTTTCTGATTGGCCATCTGGTTAAAATTGGAGTGTGAGATGGATGCTCGTTCTTTAGTTTGAGGTGTTCCACTATGCGGGGAATCTTGGAAATATCTAACAAGAACAAGGTGTTTCTTCACAAACGGAGTACTAAACTGACCAGAAAACCAAAACCCAAAAACCAAAAACCCATGTGTCCCTTTTAACACTCCTAATTCTTGTGCATTTAAAGAAAATCTCTTCAAGTGTTCTGAAAAAAACAGAGGGACATGAAGGGGTCACATTTGTGTCTGTTGGGTCAAGCTGAGAAGGTCTGCTCATGTAATGGGTAGAGCTGAAAGGAATCTACCTTTTTGAAAAGATGTTTGCATTCTTTCAGCCTTGGTTCGGATAAAAGGAAACGAAAATAAACTTCGCTCTCGTTGCTTTCATTGTCCAGTTTAGTGTGAGTGTCACTGAACTCAGAAATATGGTGGGAGAAGAGGTGTCGAGGCTGGAAAACAGCAAGTTTTCAGCGAGCCGGTTAGGAGACAGACCAAACAAGGCTGTTTCCATTGAGCCGGAGCTGAAAGGAAGATGACTGAGTGTGGAGGAGCTGAAGCAAAGGCTGGGTGACTCACTCATCAGCAGCAGGGGCTCCTTAGACATGAACTGGACACAGTCTGCGCTGAGCTCTGCCCTCACACGCGGCACGGCGCCCAGCTCAGAGCTGGCAGGGGCCTCGAGGTCAACGCACACATTTACACGGGTGACTTGACGGCAGCTTTATGCTGCTCAGCGGCAGGCTCTCCGGGTTTTGGTTGCGGCCGTGCAAGTTCAGATACGTGATAGAGGCTATTATCAGCCAGTTCTTCAGCCAGAGCGGCAGGAAATGAAATGTCAAGGCATTTACATCAACATTTAACACTCACCTTGGGAAAAAAAAAAAAATACATGAGGCAACAAACTAGGGATGACAGACAGGGTGGATCCCTGACATGTAAATGACTAATTCCAACACATATGCAATTTATCACGAAGGCAGCTTTGGTGGGTCTGCTCTGCTGCAGGCGTCCAGCTCATCTGTATAATCTATTAAAGTTAAAACACTTCTGAGGAGATCCTCCTCTGTTTTAAATGTGGATTTCAGCTCCTGGCTGTGATCTCCTACGCTTTAATTAGTGCAGCCACTGAAGAGCCTGCTGGAACAACAAGGAGCCCCATCGTCTAATTTGTTCACGTCAGCTGCAGGTCGGCAAACCGCCTTGGAAATGCATTAACCAGCCTGTTAAACAGGTAGTGCTAATTAGGCTGCTGTTTCCCTCTATTCTTCGGGAGTTTTAAGTGTCTGGCGCTCAGGAACGAGAAGAAAAACGGAAAGAAAGCAGCGGTCATAAGTAGAGACGCACGAACGGGAAGGCTAAAAATGCACACAGGGGAGAGAGGATCGATGCAGCGCCCAGGAGGAGTGCAGAAAAGACGCCGCTCAATCCACCTATTGATCAAACAATCGCATTTATTTACCTTCAGGTGCTGTGCGCTCCTTCATCGCCACAGAGCCCAGATCAGGTGGGTCCCCCAAAATCAGCCCTCAGTCACTGTCACTCAGTCTAAGTTTCAGCGGTAAGGGGATGGTTTCGCGACGATTTCTTGAGTGCCGATTACCACTGTATGGCTATAAATACTGCTGGGTGGCTGGGAGCCAGAGGAGTGTGGCACAGATGAGCGTAAACACGCACGGGGACAGGAGCGAGACATGGAAATAATCCCAGCCATCTTCACTCGCTGGCTGCAGCGATATGAGTCACTTTGTGCGCTTTCCAGAGCATCCAAACTTCTCTCACGGACTTTTCGCTGAATTGTCTCAGGTCATCGGTGGCGGGGGGCCTCTTCACCTGTCCAGAAATCGGACAAGGAGGGAGTCTAAACGCAACAGGTCTTGGTTTGAATCGGTGCTCTGGCGCACAGAAACCCAAACGCACGAACCACTAGATGGTGGACTAAAGCCACGTACATGAGGCACATCTTTAGTGTATCATCAAGATGATAAAAGCAGCAAAAGGAAAAACATCAAGGGGGTGGGGCAGTAGGTGTGTTTGACGATTGACAATAAAACGCTCAATTATGACAAGTTTCTTTGTCATAATTGAGCTGATGTGTGTTGAGCGAAAGCTATGGGGAACGGGTCCACTCATTTCGGTGGGAAACCAGTCTAATTCGGTCTGATGGTAGTTTGTTGTTTTCATGATTTATAAAGAATAATATGATAATTGAATAGAAGCTTGACTAGAAGCTTTTCTGATCATTTCAAGAGGGCTTGCTTATCATCCACGTTGTAGGTGATTACTACAGCCCAAGGGTCCTTTATCCATAACTAAATGATAAAGCTATTAATGACTCACTGCTAAATCTGCCCTCTCCTCACATCATGATGTGTATTGATGTCATTACTGGCACAGAATGCTTAGTACTTAAAAATTCCTTTATCAGTTTGTCATTTTATCCCTTTCCCTTTATACATTGGTTCAACAGGTGATGCAGACACATCTGAAATAAAAGCAATGCACTTAGATGGTTCACATTTATATTAGAATAAAAAATCAATCAATCATAAAAAGATTAGACATTAATCAAGCTCTTCAAATCAAAGGGTCTTGTTTCTCCTTCCTTTCTCTGATGCTGTTGAGGTTTAAACTGTTGACTTGTATGAGAAAACCACTTTGATTTCTCTGCAACTGGGATGTTCACTTCTGTGAACTTAGATAACAAGTAATATAACCAGAATGTCACAGTCAGATATGAAGTTGTTCATCCACCTGCAAAGAAAATGAGAAAAAGCATAGCAAACAGAGACAGGTGGATATTATTTCTCTATTTGTCGAGAGAGGAGTGAAAGCCATCTATGAGCGTCACTGCTTAGTTAAATTATTAACAATGTCTAACACATGAAAAACAAGGCTTCTTGAGCAAACATTTATATGCATCTCCCAATTGAATTTCTACAGTTTGTGCTGTTCCACCTGCAGAACAGAAGCTTTATCAGATTTAAAAGAAAATAAACCCCCGTTTTTAGAGAGGTTTTCTCAATGATTTCTGTACATTTGCCGGTCACAGCTGAGAGGCATTCACATGTGATGGAACTATGTGAGCATGGGAGATTCAACACAATAAGCAGGATGTCAGACAGTGAGCTTAAAGTTGTGGCAAATAGTTCATATTGACTTATCGATCAGAGAATTGTGAATGAGGACACATGGGCAAAAGGATGATAACTTGAATAAAGGAGTCTGAACTGAATCCTGAATAGATTGGAGGCTGTTCACTCCATCACTGATGAGCATGTTAAAAGATATTTCTTATCAGCAGTATTTGCATTGTAAAACTGTCATTTTGGGTCCATGACAGATTTCTCCTTATCCGGTATAAATATTAAATTAGATCTAATTACAGATCATACTGTGATTAAATAAGAGCTGCTTTGGTCTGTGTAGTTAATTAAAAGGTCACCTGTGTTCATTTTTTACTAATCTTGTTATTCCCCAGACTGAGGAAGAGTGGGACTTAGAGGAGTGTAGAAACCATCTGCTACCACCAACACTGAAGGGTAAATGAAGACTTCAAATCCACACATGCTACACGCTTAAATTCAAGTCATATTTTTTCTGTCTAAACCTCTTAATTTATCTCAGTGGACAGCATTTCATATCTTTGTCTTAATCACGATGGTTTGATTCTTCTTCTTCTGTTGCCCACAACCTTCTTTGGTTATAATGGTATGTTGTCACGGCTGACCAGAGGTAAGATTCAGATATCTTTAAGTTTTACCTTCTGTCAGATATTTTTTCTCATGTTTTTGCAATATTAGGAATAGTGAGTATTTCCAAAAACTCATATTGAGAGAATTAGACATGGATTTATGTAATCTGGCAGAATCATCTCTGTGAGAAAATAATTGCCATCTTATCCTCCGGGCACCTGGCCAAGTGGATGCATGAAATGGAGACGCCAAGCAGACAAAGTGCTTCCACTGAGAGGAGAAACATCAGGTGCATGTGCAGACAGACATGCACATTGTTCGCTGCATGTGACAGTTGCTAGTAGATGGCTGGAAAATTAGATCTGGTCCGGCATGAGAGGCTGCCCTGAGGGTAAACATCAGGTTTGATTTGTCTGTTTGTTCCTTCACATTTTACTAACTGCTGCACAGTTTGATTTTTTGTGTCTATCTTAAATCATTTCGGGTTTACTACCTATTGATAGGTAATCTTTCTACCTAGGGGTGGTGTTGATAGCTCACACAGAGTGACAGAAAGTTTTTTTTTTTGGTGTCAGATGTCAGCCGTGGCCTCTGCATGGAGTTTTCACATTCTTAACTTGCACATGCATGGGTTCTCCAAAGCAGTCATTAAAATGCCCCTCCCGTTGTAAGGCAGTGCACATCTAATGCTATTGAAAGTTACAATAAGTAATGCAGAACTTTCACTTTCAGTTGCCCTTTCCTGACGCGGTCATCTGTGCATCCACACATTTTCATTCACTGCTAGAAGGGAGGTGAGGGAGCTGGAGCCTAACCCAGTTAGGGAGAGGTGAGGTACACCCTGGACAGGTCCACAGTCCATTACAGGCCCACACAGAGGAAAAACCACACACACTCACATTCACTCCTACGGCCAATTTAGCATCAGAAGTTGACCTATGCATGTTCTTCGACAGTGGGAGAAAACTGGACCACCCGGATTACCCACACATTAAAGTATAACATACCATCTCCCAATTTAAAGGCAGGTGTACAGGTCAGTTTCTCCAAAATGTGCACTATGTACCATTTTGAGGAACACCAGAGGGTTTTATATCAAAGCCACAACCTAAACTTATGTGTCACATATTAAGATTTGATCTTTCCATAAATTCTGAGTCACAGACAGTAGTTTACTTTAATCATCAAGAGTAATTTTATTTTCTTTTTCTAAAATGCAAATGACATAACAGGATTTGAGAATAAATCCAAGGTTGAGTGCACAAAAATGTTTCACTGCAGGCGATTATGTACAAGAATGAAATCAACAACTTTGTACAGAATTCAACAGCATCGATATTTAGAGTCAAGTTATTGAACCTAATAACGTAGACAAGACTGGATTCATTTGCACTGGAGATATCATTTTAACACAGCACATTAATTAGATTTACATTTCAGTGAACCTTTCTGAATGAAAAGTTCACAAATAGTGCATTAAAGACAACTGTATGCTCGTTTGTTTTTCATACATTAAAGATTAAAATCATGTGGCCTCATAAACAGGCCTATTCACATGAACTTCGTACAGGAAAACAAACTACACAAATGTCCTTCACATAAAAATAAAAAAAACATGCCAACCTAAAATACATTGGCAAGCAGTTACAATTTGATTGTACCTTCATATTAGTGCCTCATATAAATATCAAGAAGCAATGGTCATTTTTTTAAATGATCTTGCTTGTGTCTTAGATTATTTGCCTCACAGATTTGGAAATATTCATGTCCGAAACAGATAACTGGTAAAAATCAGTCTGAATTTCCACTATTAAGATAATAAGTTTGAATTTGGGCTCGCTGATTGCTGTGCAGTCTTGCCATCTTTGTAGTGTTTGCTTGCTGAAACCTCAACTCCTTGGATAACTGCTTCAAAGTTTAGATAAAGAATATCTTATCCATTCTATTTCAGCTTCCCAGTTTTAGATGCCCGAATATGCTATTTTCATAAATGGACAACAAAATCATTGCGTAATTAAACAATCCAGTCAGAGAACAATGAGTATTAGCTGATGAATATTTATACATTCCGATCATCACACTTTATGCAAATCACCATTCCCATTCTTCATAAAACTCAATTGGTCAATGTCAGGTGGTGAAACAACACTGTATTTTGCTGAAATTATGCAGCTACTGAATACAAGTTACAATGGATCTGAAAGCTATAATTCAGCAAACACTATGCGTGCTATAGAAGAGAAGCCAAAAACACCCACTATCTGTTCAAATCAAATATGGAAGCAACCATTTCTCAGAACACAGATGAGTTTAAATACATAAGTTACATAATGTTTTTTTTTTTCCCCAATCCTTCAGTAGAGAATAACGAAAGTGCTCTGGTCAAACCTGTAAAAAAATAATTTATACACAACCCCCACATACGACTAGAGGGTTTGCCACAAAAATTGTTGCCAAGTCTTTTTTTCATTGATGCTCCTCCCCCCAGTCACTCTGCTGCTCATCAGCCTCACCCCCCATCGGTTGGATTAGTTGTCATTTGTTAAAAGGAAGACAGGCCGGCAGAATGACGGTGGAACAGGCTGGGCCCGCCAAAGGCTCGGCCACCTCTCCCTCCAACTCTGTCCATGTTCCTTTCTCTGGGCTGTAGCAGATGGTTGAAGACTTGTAGGCACCCTGAGAAAAAAAAAAAACCAACAAACTAGTTATTTTTTCTACTCATCTTTTTTCTCTCACTATGTTCTTTTGAGGTATTAAATTTACAAAAAATAACTACAAAAAATTGGTTGAGATAGATTAAGTTAGTCATGGACAGACAAGTAAAAAAAATTGTGACATGTTAAATAAGGAGCTGTTAAAATTCTCAATAATTTAAGAGAATTCTGTCCTTTAATAATGTCACAGTGAAGAGATTTAACAATATATTAATGCTTTTTGTTGGACATAATGACAAAGGATGAAGCATATTCCACATTCTGTACCATGCTCCAGCTGTATCCACCCACTAGGAAGATGCTGTCATCCAAAACTGCACAGCCCGGACCACTGCGGCCCTCCAGTATGGGTGTCTGCAGGATGTTCCACTGGTCAGCTTTCGGGTCGTAACACTCAACTAACATTACGTCTAGATGGGAAAATCCTATGTGACAAAACAGGAAGGAAAATCCAGTTACAGTAACAAGATAAGAATTGGTGAACTCAAAACATATTTCTGAATATCAGAATATCTGAATATCCGAGCAGATGATTCTGTTTTTCCACCACTTTTATGTAGGCAGATTGGAAAGAATTGTGTTAAGTGTTTTGTTTTTGGAGGGGGGGTGAAAATTGAATGCATTACACCGCACTTGCGCTGCCTAAAAAATCGAGATAAGATCTACTTTCAGCAAAAACTCACACCCACTCCACAGATGATCATCAGCCAGGGGAAATGGAAGTGACAAATATCAGGGTCCTTTATTGAAGTTGTCATGTGTTGTATCTGAAGCTGTCGAATTAAAAAGAATTGCACCTTTCGAGGTTTTCTACACCAAAAAAACCCTCTGTGGACTGAATTCGAAAGAAAAAATACTCAAAAGCGGATTCATATTTTATCCGTTTTACCTTTATCCCATAAACCTTTGAGAGGGAAAGAGAGGTTAGGCTATGTGCGCAGGGTGATCAAGGCCATTTTCATAAGGGCAACATGATTTTTACAATTTAGATTTTTTTTTTTTAAACGAACCCAACAATTTTGACCTCTTCCATTGCCTGAAGAGCACGAGTGCTTACCTTTCAAATGGTTTCCCCCAATTGCGTACAGCCGATCGTTCATCCCTGCCAGGGCATGAATGGCTCGCTTTGTGTTCATGTCCTGTTTTCTAGCCCACACATCCATTACGGGGTCATAGCAGTAGAGCCAGGACACATACTCTCCATTGTGCACTCCTCCTGCAACATGTAAACACAACACTATGCTTATAACACTCTTCCAGCACGCAGCAGGGTGCACAGAATGCTTACACACTATCATGCCTCTATGTATCAATGAGTCTCAGCGCAAAGAAACTCAAGCAATCGATTCACAGTACAGGAACTTTTTAATAATGCCATCTTTAGCTTTTAAGATGCATTTGGAGAAAATACATTCTATATATTATATTTGATATTGCAATGGTAAAGAATAAAGGTAATTCTGTACCGGTCAGCTTTGAGAGGGTTACAGTGGGGCGAATGCTCAGATCTGATAGTGAGTCTAACTTATTTAACGCAGCTAAAACCAAATAAAAAAAACATTTTACAGTATTACTCTATATTCTGACAAAGAAGAAATATTTTTAAAATTTTTAAAAAGCATTCCAATTTTCATACATTGATTAGATCATTTTTAAATTCTGGATTTTATCCTTCTTCTATGGTTCATTTATTGATCTGCTTATTTATTTGATATATTCCAAATGATACAACAGATGCAAGCTTCTTATGTCTGTTCTGTTGCTATTAGTTGGCTCACCATATGTCAGTTCTGTAATGTTTTCAGTCCTGAATTTTGTTGTATATTTATTTTAAAATCTTATTTCTAAATACTGAATTAAGGATTTTCTATATTTAATTAGCAATAGAATGTACAGAATTTAAAAAAAAAATACTAAGTAAATATTTTGAAAAATGTGGAAAGTGAAATGTAACTAGTGTAACTGTTTAAAATCCACTCCAAAGAGCTTCTTTTCCACTACAGTTGAGTGACAGTGTTTTTCTTCACCTGATATGTAGATCTTGCCATTGTGCACTGCTCCGGCATGGGCGGCCAGAGGCTGAGGCAGAGATGACACATAGTTCCACTCATTCGTCTCCAGGTTGTAGGACTCCACGCTGGAGAGGTAACCCGCCTCATTCCTACCACCAATCACGTACAGGTGCTTATCCAGGCGGCAGGCGAAGAAACTGGCTCTCCTGAGGAAGACGTGTCAACCAGAGAATGTCACTGACCTAAAGCATGACAGCAATCAATGGCTTTTCACAAAACTCTAAGGCGGAGACTTGGATGATCATAAGACAAAAAAAGAAAAAAAATAGTCAGCTAGCAGCTAGTCCTATCTGAGATTTAAGCGGCAACATTTATGGCAGGGAAATGAAGAAACCTACCTCCTGTACTACTGTAACCTACTGTAAAAGAAATAGTTACAAAATGCACACATAAAAGATGTGAATTTTTAAAAAAAAGTTTGTTTCTTTTATTTCCATTTCATATGAAGAAACAAGGGTGGGCTTTTTTCGTTATTATTCATTCCTGAATAAGAGCTGGACTGTTTTACTGGAGATACTCAAGGAGACGCCATGAAAACGGTTTTGTTGCCGTTCCCTAAACATCCTGAACAATGTTCTGTTCGTTGAAAAACAGAAATACACTCACCTTTCCTGCATGGGGGGCAGCTGAATCCAGCTGTTGAATCTGGGATCATAGCGGCTGACGAAGTTAGTGCTGTGCTTTCCTGTAAAACACAAATCTACATAAATAACACGACTCCCTTGACTGTTTCAGCATTCGTCTGCATTTGATTTGACTCACGGTGCATGCTGGGTAGAAACTGCCTGACATTGCATATAGCTGGGATGTGTCAGAGTGTCTCTGTGTCACTATATGACTTTACCCTGATTGGCTTAAGGCTTTCCTGACATGCATGAGTTGCAATATCATTTCATTAATGTTTTTTTTTCCTTATTATTTTCTGTTGTTATTTCTCTCAGAGATGGTGCAATAGTTTAAACTAATCTTTTCTCATTTATTCAGCTCTTTTTTTTTTTACAAATACATGCTACACATGCTAATGGTTGCCCTTAAAGATATTCCACTGATGTGAACTCACTCATACTACTTTTTATGTTCTACCTCTCCAGTTCACGTTGACCATCAGGTGCTGGCTGCAGCTGGCCAGCCGAAGGCTAAACTGTGCATCTTTTGTATCAGTGTGATCAATTAGATTCTTCCCTGTATGTCTTTGTCATTAACCACCCACACATAATGATTTCATGAGTTATTATGTGTTTCCTCTCATTGTTATTTCAGGTATAAAGGGTTCGTTTTTTTGTTTCTACAATCATAGTGAAATTTGCTCTTGGGGGTTAATGTTCTTTGTAAATGGTCTTTAACAACGCTTCATCATTACTATATGAGCTTAAAAAAAATGTTTAGTATTACAATGTGCTTCGTATTTCTCCTGCTCTATATTATTATTGTGAAGAAAGAGGAAGAACAAACAGTGTCAGCTTTGTGGATCTTTCACAGAATTTGTGTTTTACTATGCTGCTGTGTTGCCAGCGATTTACACTTTGACACCACAAATAGTTCACTGTTAACAACAGTGATTTGTCTCTGCCAATTATTGACAAGTGTTGATTGGAGTGTTATTTGTCCACTTAGAGCTGATCTGGCTGTAGGATGAGTGTTTGAAACTATTTGAAAGTGTTATATTAACTCTAATGGCTTTAAACCTGAGTGTAAACTGACAGAAACCATTCTCTGCATTAGATTAACAATGAGATTTTTGCTGTTTCAAATAAACTGATGGACAAACAGGGCTATGTTGTTTAGGAAGACGGTTCCCGTTTCGAGCCCCCGGGGGCACCGGGACCTTTCTGTGTGGAGTTTGCATGTTCTCCCTGTGTCTGCGTGGGTTTTTTGAGGGTACTCCGGTTTCCTCCCACCATCCAAAACCCTGCATGTTAAGTAAATTGGACACTCCAAACTGCCCCTCAGAGTGAGTGTGTGTGTGTGGCTGTTTGTGCCTGTGTGGCCTTGCGATGGACTGGCGATCTGTGTAGAAAAATGGATGGATGGATGAAGGACAGACTGAAGAGTGGTTTGTGACAGCAACGTACCGTTGGGGTTCCACTGGTCCTCTCCGCCCAGCAGCAGCAGAAAGTTCTCCACTTCCACCACACAGTGATGAGCGCTGTTGTAAGGCATTACTAGATGACACACAGAAAGTCAAGTAAAATAAATATTCAACACTCATAATTGATTTTGTTAAGAACCTGTTTACATTGGTTTAAAAAAGAAGGCTGAAGCCCAGTCTCCTTTCCTCTGCTATTTATTTACAGGATATATTAAGCAAGTAAGTTCATATTTTGGGGACTTGACTCAGATGAAAATAACTTCTGCAACAGTTGAATCCAACAGTGTAAGACTTTTCTATTAAAATGGGACCTAACAGCTCATCTGGTGGCATGCTGTGAATTTATTTACACCTCTTTTTGTGTTAACAACACTCAGCATTTTCCTTCCATGTATGTTTTTGTGGTCTCCCGCTCCATTTTCTTCTGCTGAAGTGACCCCATTGAGATGTAGAGAAATGGTCTAAGGTGACAGTCATAATGAACATGATCGTGTTCACTCAATAAATCTCGGGCCCGGTGCTTTTTGAGCACAAATCAGTGAAATGTTAAAGCCCACCTGTCTGTCTCCATCAGTCATTTCCACTGTCACCTCTCCACCGCCTGATGGATCACAGTTGCTGCAAAATTAGACAGCCTTGAATCTCATTTCTTTCCAATTGGCCTCTCTGCAATCTCACTCAAGCTGCCTGACATGCCGGTCCTCTATGGGAGGGAAGTCTCCGATAGGAACTAATGCTACATACACTTAACACAGCTTTATCTACAAACGAGGGGATTAGGTTGCTTGCCTCCAGTGCATCTCAAAGACGAGTGCTATGCGACTGCCAAATTCTCTTACATGCTATTTACATTATCATTCAGTCAGCGGTATATAGGACATGGATGGGCGGCTTTTTATTTGATGTCTAGTGACTTGTACTTATAACTATCATCTCCCACCCATGTGAAAAGAAGATTCCTCGCTTACAGTATGTCACAGACTACAGTATCTCGGGTTACCTGGGAGGTTTTGAGACATACTGTGAAATATTCTGGTGAACATTTGGATAACATGAGGCTATATTTCTTTCATTAATTTAACTTAATAGTTCTTTTGCATGGGGAAAAACATCAATAACCTTGCCTTTTAGGACCTTGAATCATCACTTATGGAAGTCTATTAATTTCATCTGGTCATCCATCCCCACTCACGTAATCCCCCCCCCAAAAAAAACCTGGGGGGAATTTAGGTAAGGATGTACTCATCCTACAAAGGAGGTTAGAATGAGTACATCCTTTGTGAGATGGATGCCATCACTCCAGTCTACAGTGAGCTCTAGGGCTCACTAGAGGGAGTCAGAAACCTCTGCATAGAAAGCACAGTAGCTGGTTGAATGATTCCACAGCTAATGCACCACTGCTGCTTGAGCTCTGACGTCCCTTTAACGGTGTTAACTGAGCTGGATTCCTTTGTTCTAGACCAGGGCACGAGGCTACACTTGTCCATATCCAAGTCTGAGTTTTTAATAATCGGTTGATTTCGAGAGGAAGAAAAAAAAACGACTGGCTTTGTGGCTGAGTCTCTGCCAGCCTTTGTCTTCTGTTTTCCACGCTGCTGTGGGTACACTAGATGGCAAACTTTACACTAGAATCAACAAGCAGAGGATATCTCTGACACAACGAGAGGGATCAAATTCTGCCCAAATTGTGTTGATGAATGTCTTAATCAAAGGCTGTCCCTCTCAGGTTTCGCCTCATTGAAAAGTTATGATTGAATGTTAATAATCTTCTATTTCACATCCATTGTGAGGAGCTACATCAGATGGTCACTGATGTGTTAAGGGGATGATTTTGCAGTTTTGTCCTTCCACTTGGCCACGGACCATTTGACTGTTAACTTTTTAGTTTTGAGCGATGGAAATCCCTATTGACCTTTTGCTTGTTGCAGTTTATACCCATGAATGTGAGTTTAATGAGAAAATGACGATATTAACACCACTGAGCTTCAGGCTGTTGTGTGTGCATGCTTCTTCTGGTAAAAATGAACCCCTGTCGTTTGGAAAAACTAAATCATAAACTCTAGACTGCTGCCATGGACTGTTATGATATGAGAAAAGGGGAAAAACATGTCCAAAACTGCTGGTTTGATTAAAAACACAACAAAAATATTGAGGCAGTTTTAATGCAAATTTAAGAAATAAAGTCAGGCTGTATACTGCGGAATGCTGACAGAACAAAAAATCATGGCTAATATTTACGAATGAAGAGAACCCACTGAGATACTATAAAAATCAACAAACAAAAACTCAATATGTCCAGGTATGATGATCCTGAATGATATATGTGGTTTCCCCAATATCTCTTTTCTGACCTTTGCAATATGGCAACAGTATTGGTGAGCCTTAAAAGGTCAGGGAAGACAGAGAGTCACGAGAGCACAGCACACTTCACACAGGTGAGAGCAGTATAAATGTGTTAGTACATTTACAAAGGTCTAAATGTCTATTTTGTTATTGAAAAAAACGTTTCCTCAATAACACAAATTTCCTGGGAAATTAAGACAACTTGCTTTCAACCTTGTACCATGAATTTCAGTGCAACACACCGTGGTTTGAAAGCAGCATTTTCAGATACAAGTTAGAGTTTATTTTTTATTGTTTCTTTTTTAGCTATGTAATAAAATAAAATTAGAAAAAACTTTTTTACTAACTGACTCCTAGCTCCTTTTTCATAGTCATGACAGCAGATCAACAGGTTAGCACTAACACCATGTATTGTCATGTATGGGGTAATTCAATTTAAGCATTGATCAGCATGTCTGGATAATCAGGTTACGTTTAATATCTATTGAGGGAGGATGTCATTCCTTATTGTACTATCTTTGCCACAATAGATCATTAGTTTCAAGTAAATCTCATCATGCATCCTGTCAGCGTATTTGAGGAAAAAACAAGTGAAACTGGGCATGAAGCTCCATACTGCTGTGAAGTCACGCTCTGATTAAAAACTTATATTAAAAGTGATAGTGATACATTATTACCTGCAGGATTTAGGCAACTCTATCCACTCATTTTCTGTGGAAATTAACCTGCGTTAAAGTCATCCATAGAAACAGCCATTTCTCATCATAATAGCCACTAACAAAAGATCCCTCCGGTGCAACCAAAGAAGAGCCTTTGTAACTCACTTGTGAGAATCTTCCATGTCTTTTTCTCGTCGTCATAGTACTGGACCAAATTGCTGGGGAGGCGATCGGGTCCAGGAGGCAAACCACCCACCAGTAACAGCATTCTCTTATTTGAACGGATTCTGTAATGTAAGAAGTGTGAGGGTGTTCACAGGTATTAGAAAACATGGAACAAGGCAGATAACAAGCCTCAAACTAAAAACACACAGTGTGTCAAAATAAGAGCAGCCCAACCATCAACAGCTCCGCCCTGTAACTACTTCCATTTTTTAATTGGTTGTGTAATATTCTTTAAAAAATCCATGGTTTTGCAAATAGCTGTTTCTTGTTTTAGCTCAAGACTTGGGGATGCACATGGAGCATTTGCATGGCCAGATTTATCACAGAAATCACCAAAAATTGTTTATGCATCCATATTAAGTGTTGCTGAATGGCTATCGCACTCGAAGGATCTCTCCGTAATTAGCCATGAAGTAAGGACAGTCCTGCAGGGTGCCATGCTGGAGGCTAAAGCACAACTGAGTACATAAACTGTGCAATACAAAGTCAACATTTCATTGGCTGCACTGACTCATGTGACATCTCTTCGCTAATTGTGAGATGTTTCCTTCTTTTTGTACATGACATATTGCCTCAAAGCTACAGAGTTTACAGTATATTAATGACCAGTATCAGACTCTAAATGAACTAAAATCCATCAGTTTTTTTTATTATATTCAGTAATGACATTGAGGTTGAATAGTGATCAATTAAAGACACATTCACCTATTTTACACTCATATTTTATTTTGTCATGCTTGGCAAAATATTCAGCATTGTTGTCACAGATTTTGGTTCACTGGGAAATGTTTTAGAGAGTTTTCATATGTAGATGAGATCCTGGACATAGGTAATAGTGATAAATTGAGAGGAGAGAAACAATGACATGTGAAATAATTAGGAAGATTCCTGATTCCTTGCTCCTCCAGGTGTGTATGTGGGAATGGATGTCTTATTGGGACAATCTAGAGATTGATTCGCACTGCCTTAGTCTCTTTTCAAATTGTTGCAGCGAAATCTTCCTTACAAATTCCAATTCTCTGTTGGCTCACCTCTGCTCACAAATTTACACAGTAATTAAATTGTCAGCAATGAAATTGTTGCAATTATCATAGCAACAACTTAATTGCAGCATTTCAGTTTGAATGGATTTCTCCCTTGGTGCAAATTAAATTCTTAACATTTATTTAAATTATTCTATGTCGTCCACATTCATGATAGAGTCACCACATTGCTGTATATTGAGTGAAGTCATATTCTTTAAAGGTAAAGCAATTTTGTATAATACAAAGTGTTATATATAGCACATTAACACTTTGGCTACTGGCACCATGTAACAGGAACCCCCGCACAATCATAAACTGGGCCTCGAACACTACACTGACTGACTCCCTACATCTCAAAACCCACAGGAACACAACACCGGAGCCTCATTTGTAAAAGAATATAATAAGTATGACGCTAATAAATTCTTTCTTTCCACTCTGTAAGATCATTGTAGTGTGATGTATCTTTATGTTCATATGAATGTTCCTTACCTGCTAGCCATGGTCTGCCTACAGTGTTGCCTGAAGGGCATCAGGTGGTAGTTCATGGCGTCCAGTAGCAGTTTCTGGCACACAGGGTCACTCCTCATAAAGTCAACAGACTGTACCCTCTCCACCAGCTCTGGGGCAGGTATGAGGGCAAAGCGCAGCCTCTTCATGAGGTCCGGAGCATAGTGCATGCGAGTCTCCCGGTCATGCTCCAACCAGAGGACTGACATCTGGAAGAGAGCCAGCTCTGACTCTACCGGGGGAGGCAGAGCGTCTAACATGGCACACATCTCCTCAAAGTTCAGCAGCAGCACGTCCTCCACCAGGTACTTGTTGGCCAGCTTCTTCGTTTCGTCCAGTCCGTGCAGTGCAGCGATCTTGCAGATCTGCTTGTAGTTCTGCACAGAGATCTGGTCATTGAGGAACTGCACGCTGAGCTTGGTAATCTGGGGTATGTTGAGGATCTTGCTGACTGAAAGCACCTCTTCCACGGTGTCCAGGGAAAGAGTAACATTGGCAGTATACAGGTACTCCAGCACTAATCGTAGTCCTATGGAGGAGCAGCCCTGGAGAACCAGATTATTGATGGGCCGGGCACTGGTGGTCATTAACTTGTCGTCGGGAGAAGAGGACGGGGTCCCACTGCTGCCCTGGTCCCCCTTGCTTCCCTCATTGCTGATCACATTATGGGAAGAGAAGAGAGATCTGAAATACTGTGAGCAGGATGCCAACACCGCTCTGTGGCAGTGGAACTGCTGTCCCTGGGCAGTGAGAGTCACATCACAGAAAAGCTGTTTTCTCCACAAGAGGTTGAGCCCGTGCAGCAGGGTGTCACTGTGCGTTGGGTCAAAGGTGGATGTTCTATCCCCCGATCTGGACATGACTTCTCGACTGTGAACGCCACCTAGGCAACAAATAAACCATGCACGCCATTTACCTCAGGTCATTTATTCGCACCGCACACGTCACCTTATAAACACCACCGGTCAACTATAGAGCAGAGATTTCTCAATAAGTTATTGAACACATCGTCCGTCCGTCCAGCGGAGGAGGAGGAGGAGGAGGGAGGGGGGGTCAGCCATCGCGACACAACAGCCGGCGACAATCTACCTCCAACGCGGCTCCGGGCGCTTTCAACTTTAAGCCCTGGTCGTAAAGAAGCGAACCAAAACGCAGTAGTTCCCACGGCGTGCAGCCCTCGCTCATGTTTTTTTTGTCTTTTTTTTTTACAAAAAAAAGACGGTTTAACCGGAGGTTGTGGGTTTTTTTTTTTTAAGGGCGCTGTCAAAACAAAAAAAACGGGGCTAGGGAGACGCTGCGGTGCTTTCCCTCCCGGTTACGCGGCTGAAGTTGTCCGGCACAGTCAGAGAAAAAAGACGCTACGGTGGACGGAGAAGATGCGGCGTTCAACTCTCCTGTGTCCCCCCCCCTGCACACCTCCACGACGAGGACATTTCACATCGAACAGATTGACGGAGTCATACAAAAGCAATTAGTTTGTCTCCGAGCCGTCAGCGGCTGCGTTACGCGTTTGTAAGCCGGCGTGAGTATATCCCCCCCCCCCACAAAAAAAATAATAATATTCCCCGAAAACGCCGCTTCGGTAAAGTTGAATGCAGCATTCGTAGCTGTTGTTTGTCAGGCTGTACATCAGCTATTTCCACTACCCTGGGGTGTGTAAACTTGACACAAGCGTGCTGTAACGTAGTCGCTACATTCTCTAAAAGCGCCTGTCACAACTAAATGATGTGAGCAGCTTGCCTGAGAAGGAGCCAAACTTACCTGACTTCGGCTCTTCGCAAAAAAAAAGAAAGTGAGCTTCAGGTTCCCAATTTTCTCTTGAATATTCCTTTGTTCTCCTTTTTAAGAAATGTCCTTTAAAGTCTATGCTCGGCGGCGTCTCCAAATAACCATTGATTCCAACTCCTAAAGTGACTATTTCGGGTTATTTGTTGACGTTGATCATTTGTTCTTCAGAATTAACTAGAAGTGTGTGAGTGTGTGAGAGGGAGCTGTGCTTTCTGCAAGAGAAGAAGAAGAAGAAATATACGTGTGACAAATTATGCTACCAAGAAACAACACATCATTATCCTTGGGCCTGGGGCTCAGTGAGTCGTAACGAGAGTAATAGGAAATCCACGGTTGGGGAGAGAAACGGTCGTGCATGGCCGGTGGAGAGAGACCATGCAGGGGTATGGATGCTGGAGAGACTCGCAAAATTATGGCTCAAGGCTATTGTAAAAACTGTCGAGCGTAAATGACTGCGATTTCAAACATCTATGGAAGAAAGAAAAGAGAAAGGGGGAGAAAAACCGAGTCTTTCCCTCGCTGTTATAGAGAGAAGCGTCAAGTTTTAGTGCGCATTGCTAATTAGTCAATTTCTCTCTGCCTTCACAGCCCGACGACTTTGCTGCTGAGCTGAAACTGCTAATTTCTGGGACCAGCCTTTTTTTGGCTGTGAACTGGATGGATGAATGGCTTGTCTCGCACAAATGACAAAAAGCCCCTGCCTTAATCTCCATCGCCAAAATAACCCTTCATCTCTTCTCTGCTCCTACTAGTCCTTCAAAAGAAGGTGCTTTACATAAACGGAAGTTTTGCATCTGTATAATAAATAGCCACCATAATGTACACTGAGTGTTTATAATGTTGAATGAAAGTAAAATACCCCCGCCCCCCCACTCACACACACACACACACACACACACACACACACACACATTCCTTTTAATGTGTCAAAAGCATCAGATCACACCCCAAAACATGTCTTCAAAGTCTTCTAAAGTTGATGAAATGACAAGACAACATGCAGCATTTGCATGAAGCCTTTTGTCTGAGTGGTTCATTGTCAAATAACAAGAGGCTCTCTTGTGGGCCTGAAAAAACACACACACACACGGTTTGAAACTTGATGCAGCATCCCTCAGTGCACAGCAGTGCGATGTGTGTTAAAGTTGTGGTTGTACATTTACTTGCACACTTTCACCTGCAGGCATTCACTCGGCCTACATTATCAGACGTAACACATTTAACAAAGTTTATTAATGAATCACTCGGACTGCATCCCGAAAAACCACCGTGTCTACTCTGTGCGGCAGCCGCTGTGTTACATCTATATCTGACTTCACACAGCCACATTGTATCGCAGGAAGTGTTTGTGTGAAAGCATCCAGCCAGCTCCCTTCCCCGGCTTTAGGGTCTTCCCGCCTAACACTTAAAACAAAGACATATAGTCTTCAGACGTGAAGCCCGATGCATTCCCATTACCTATATAAGTGAAAAATCAGGAATCACTTAATAGGGCTGTAAACTGTCAATTAAACAACGAGCTCAATTAGAGTAAATAAACTTACATCCAGGACTCCCATGGGACCGGAAGTGACAGTTGCCTCACAAGTTATGAAACTGACAGATAGGGATAAATGGGATTGTTCAAGTAGAATGAAATAGAGGAACACTGTGGTACTGTCAACCAATAACAGGCCACATGTATAGGTGGCATTCATAATAGCTGGAATAATAACATTGCTTGATGTTTAAGTGCTTGACAAGCCACACAGCCGGCAAATCGCCATGTTCCTCAGCTTGTGGTTATAGTGGAAAAATTCATTCTATGTGAACTCTGTGAGATGAGTGATTTGATTGTGCGTTGCATCTCAAATAGTCATCACAGATGAAGGAAAACTGGAACATTGAGATATTAATTAGTGGTTTCAAAGTACTATGAAAGCAGTTTCCACTGTCGTTCACTATCATTGCTGTTGCCTCATTTCCAGAGGTCTTGTCACCACAGAGCATTACACTAATTCACTGTGCTTCACTTTGGAGCCACATACTGTTATCTTTACCAGCTCTCAGTTAGTACTACATTACCCAAGTCTCGAGCGAGCCATTCTAATGCAATAAAATGACCATTTCCAACTCTTTCGGCTCTTTGTAGCAACTCAGTCTCTTGAGGCCACTGGTCTTCAGATTGCAGGGCATTTATGGTTGTAAGTTGTTGCAGTGTGCAGGAGGAGGGGGGGGTCATCAGATAAGAGAAGAATTTCTAGACTAATTAAACCCTTTGAGAATCACACTACAGTGATTTACAACTCTCTGTACCAGTTAACCCAACTCATTTTTATCTGTCATATTACTCGGATACCGTATCTAACTCTGTGAGTTAAAAGTCTTTTTTGTCTGTTTTTCTGTCTTATGTAAACAAGAGGGGAGAAACAGATCCATTTAAATGCTGTAGTTCCCTCTGAATCTGCGTGTTAAGAGTACACAGTGATCTAAGCTACTGACCTTATAGAGAGAATGCTAATATTCTCTTCAGTCAACCCTAAATTACAACACAACTTGGTGTGTTATAATTAGAATAAAATCTGTTTTCTCTTTAATGATAATAGAATAATATTATGCCCTACCAATCCATAAAAATTGAAACAATAAAATCTGTCTCTTTAAGTAACTGATTAAAGTGTAAGCATTTCATCTAATCAGTGCAATGAAACAAAAGAAGAAGCTCTAAAGTTGTGAATAGTGAAGTCTCCCCGGCATAATTCCTTTTGCAGGCTGTTGCAGAGGGGTATGCTAAGATAGAAAGTATTATTTTCCTAAATGGAAGGTGTCAGATGGTCACGGAAATGTGATCGGCTGTTCAAGATCACTGCTTCCCATCTGCAATTTGTGACGTGTGAAAGATTCAGCCCAAATGTGCTCACCAAGCGTAAATCCTCAGCACTTTCTCTTATCGTGGAAAAGCAAGATAACCAGCTGTTTACAGATCAGAGAACATATCATATTAATATCATGGAGGGAGTGATATCATCTTGTTTGTAAAATATTTTGTTAACTAAGTGTGGTGTGGTATGGCAATCTATAAAGTGAAAGTTGTAATTTGTGTTTTAGTGGAAGTGTTATAGTTTAAAAGGATTTTATTTGTGATAAGGGAAAAATATTAAAGAAGGAAACAGAAAATGTCGGGAATCAGGAGAAAGACTTGAGTGAGACAAAAATAAGGAAAACTGCATATGACAGTAAATACTCATTAGAAAGATTTCAGTAGTCATATTTCATTAACAAGCTAACATTGAATGAAACACCGTTCTGCCTTTATTTATTCCTGTTCCACTTAGGCATCAGTCATATTATGCTGAGATACCACTCGTTTGGATGCAGAAACATGTTAGGGAGCAACGACAGGGGCTTAGAATAATAGCCTCAATCTCTAAGTACCTAAGTAATACCAATACAAACAGATGTACCAGCTTAGAAGTAGCTGACGTGAAAAGAACAAATTCTTTTTTTTCAAAGAATTCATTAAAAGGGTCAAGTAGGGTCTCTCTCTCTACACACACACACACACACACACACACATATATATATATATATATATATATATATGTATACATATAGATCAGATTCAGAATGATTAACATGTGCTTGTCATTTAAGATAAAAGTTGGACAGAAATGATTTATAAAACCTCCGTTGTGTAATAAACTGGAAGCACTTATATTCGCCATTCAGGGAGTATGGGAGGCCTGCTGTTTTAAACCCCTAGATCCCCCACACATGGCGTAGCCACCACAGACACGGCTCACAGAGTCAGCCGGCAGCCGGGAGGTGAGCAGAAAGGAACAGGCGGTGTCCCCTCCAGAGTGAGCACAGGAGTACGTGTGTGTGTGTGTGTGTGTGTGCGGTGTGTATGTGCGTGAGTGGCATTCTCAAATGACAAAAGGATAAGAGTTGTGCAGTTCAGGTGGGAGGACACATGGAGGTGGTGTGGAGACTCACCTGAGGGAGAGTCTGGACTGTGGGGACCGGGGCTGTGGCGAAGACCCGGAGTGGTGCAGGGGCCGCAGGAGGCCACCGTGCCGTGGAGAAGGTTTGGGGGCTGGAGGGAAAAGTGGGGCTGTTGTTGCGCAGTATCCCCAGCGTGATACATCTACCTTCAGGGTGGCAGCAGGCGTGGAGTGGGGTGCGATGGAGCGAGCACGGGCTCAGTGGCGCGGTCACCAAGGGACGCTGAAGCTGCTGTAGCAGGACTGATAGTTATTCCTTGGGAGAATTGCAAGATGAGCCCCATTGTATTAGCAGCCCCCTCTTCTAAAGAAGTATCAATGTTCTCAAGCCTTAAAAGAATCAAGTCAGAGTGCAAAATATCTGACACTTATCAGTATGTTCCTAAATAAATCTTCTGCTGACAGATGTTATTAATAGAGAATATTTTTCTGTGATTTACAATATTGCTCATAGCTGTATGTTTTATTGTGAATCAGAATTACTCTCAGTTGAACTTCAGCAAACGTTTTGGCAGCAAGAAGCAAGTAGAAAATTATTCCACAGTGATCTGAATTTCTCAGACTTTAAGCTTTTTCATTTCCAAGCCATTCTTTTGTTTTGTAACTGTTTGAGTCATATCTTTTAGAAATTCTCTGTGTCTAATATGGTCAGCACTCCCAATTATTCACTCCACTGACAAGTGAAACAAATGGGACCAACCAGTGCATTCTGTATTATCTACACCCCTTGGATTCCCTGACAATAATTAATACAATAGCAGGCTGCTGTTACCAGCTTTGACGACATGAGCTCAACAACATAAGCTCTCCCTTTCCAAGAGCTCCTCAGGGGATATTACATCCAATGGTGAGGTCGCACATGTTGTGATTATCAGCGTCCAGGTCATGTCATAAGACCACTATTCACATCATTACACCATGGATGCAAGGTGTATGGAATATGTCGAGAAAATTCAAATGTAGCCTTGACCATTGAGATAGACACAAAACTTTTAACAGCAAAGACTGCCTCATATATCAGGGCAAGTTCATTAACATGCCACATGATCTTAACTGATGCAGCAATGCTGACCACCTCACCGCTACTGTATGGTCACACGTCATTATGCAGTGTAACTTCATTTGCTCATAATGTAGCAAAACAGGGAAAATGTTACTGATATGTCATGCAAATAGTGCAGTGTGCACTTATAAAATTTTTTAAAAGATCTTTGTTGTAATGATCAGGTGACCATTGTGTATTTCGAAAGAGCTGCCAAGCAAACATATCGGCCTATAGGGATATTAAAAGGTTTGTGTGTGTGTGTGTGTGTGTGTGTGTTTTACTCTAGATGAGCAAATTCCCTCAACATCCATTAAAGGAATGCCTTGCTAAATTCAAATCCTCTCAGCAGGCATTGGCTTCAACAGAAGAAAAGTGGATGAGTTTCTCTTTAACAGCTGTAATTTGTGTTTTCCAATCACCATGCTGATTTCTGCTCATTATACTCCGGTTTCACACCGGTAAGTGAGCAAAGTTTGGATTGATTGACTCTAATTAACTAAAAAATGTTCCAAGCCATGGATTTATTATCATGCTAGCTAGCCACAAATGTCAGGGACTTTCACAAATTATTATCCTCTTAAGATAAATATCTTTGAAATCAAATGAGTGTGGAAACACAAGGAACACGTATTGTTATACTGATGAATTTGTTTGTCATGTTTTATGCTGAGCTCCACATGAGAGACTCACCTGGGCAAACTCTACAGTTCCACTGTATTGTTTAGGTGTGCAGAGTGACTGACAAATACAACAACTACTCTAAATTTAGAGAAATATACTCTATTAAAGATTAAATAAATACAGGAGATTAGCTGGAATTTAGTTTAATATTTTACTGTCTGGGACATCCTCATGTTAAAAGAAATATATTTCCTTTTGTGCTCTAGACACAGTAGCACTTCTCTCAAGTAACATTCTTTGCTTGATTCCATCGGCTGCATGGCTCAACTCTCTACCTTCTCATGAACAAAGACAGGATGGTTTAAGAGGACACCTCCGTTTTTCCTGGTTTTGGAAAGATTTCACAGCAGAATTTTGTTTAGTTTGAGAAGACGGAACGTTGCCCTGATTCGCTCAGCTTCACTTCAGTGATCAAAAGTGATTACTGAGGTGAATCCGAATGAAACGGACCCTTCGTCTGTGTTGTGCTGCCAGGCTGAAATTCAGAATTATGCTGCCAAGTAAATCTGATCTCCCCAACATGTCTCTTACCAAATGTGCCTTTACACAAAAGTACCAAAAAAAAATCTCACATCACAGCTTTGATGTATCACACAGAACAACAGCACGGCAATGACTTTGCTGTTTATTTTATCCTCATCATACAGAAACAAGCATCAAATATGGAGGGGAATATGTTTCAACTGTCAAGCAATCCCCATTAGTACATCTACAGTCTTCCCTGTTTAGAAAAAGAGCGTTTAGGTGTGTGCAGTTTCAGGCACGCCTGCAGATAAATGTGATGACATCCAGTTGTGGCTCTCTTTCATTTATTTAGGGGATTGATTAGATGCATGGAGAGCAGATAAATGTGTTGGCGAGGCACTTTCATTTGAGATATCGCCATATAGTCAGTAAAGAATATGAGATGGAATGAACATTTTTCTCTTGAAGGTGCTTTTGGAAGCTAGTGGTATCTGTGAGCAGTCAATTACATTAGTATCATTATAATAGATACTTTTGCATGGTTGTGAGGGCTTAATAGCTGTGTTTAAGTCCAAAAACATTAAAAGGAAATTTGGTTGAAAACTCTAAAAAGGACTTTTTTAAATACAAAAGTGACAAAAAAGACATATATTTTTCAAAGAATTTGATTCTTAAAACCCTTCATGACTGAATAATATTAATCTTTGAAATGTAAGTAAGTGTTATGGTCAATTTTATGTTAAGAGTCTTGACTTGACCACATTGCTGTAACTCTACAAGGCAGTCGTGTTGACACTGCCCCCTTCTGTCCCCACAACAAAGACAGCTATATGGCAAACGTCAAAAAAATCTCCATCTCTGTCAACATAAACAGCAGTAAAGGGTGGTATTTAGTATTTCTAACCACTCTACAAGCCTGAGAATGACACAAATAAAGCTACAAAGAATGTTAACATTTGTGCTTTTCCTACTATTATATTACCTCCTTCCTTTGTTTACTTGCTACTGTTTCTATGAGCTAAATGATGCCCTACTATTTAGAATATTTTGTTTAAAACATATCTGCATAACTTTTTTAAGTCTATATGGAGCAAATACTGTGTTGTGTACCATTAGTGTGAAACCGTTTAAACACTATGAAACAAAAATCAATTTTCTACGAAAACTAAATGTGATTCAGTTAAGATTCTAAATTGAAAACAGCGTTTCCCCAGGGTTCTTTAGAAAGCCAGTGGATAGTGTGCACACAACATCCTTTTGTGCACACTATTTACCCCTGGATTGCTCCAGGCTAATGTCTCAATAATTTTCACTCCTTTCTCAGGTCCTTCCCACAAAGGACTTAACTAATGATCCATGGACAAAATGAAGCATTTAAATTTATTCATTAATCATTCATCTCCAGCTCATTGAAAATGCTAAACTTCCACAAAATTAAGATTGAATATTGAAAAGTGATTGAGGGAGACAGCTCTCAGTGAGTGAAGAGAATGGAGACGTGTGGGGAGCTGCAACAAAAACAGGGTCTTATCAGAGACAGTGGTCTCCACATGGGCATGGTCAAGGTGGCCAAGGTGTACTAAGTGCTAGTTAAGGTCAAGGGGTTCCACTAGTTGTAATTAGATCTTGAAATCTGGAGGAGCGTAGAATTTCTGTCAACACTGCCTGTAATTATTCTCTTTTCCAATTAATGGTGACATAGATTAATTATCTGATGAGGCAAAGCCAATTGCAATCATTCACCCAGCTAAAATTAGATCAGTCCTGACAGCAGCATGAAAGTCACCTGTTTCATTGTTATGGATTTGCTGCAAGTAAAGAGGGGGGGAATAGTGAAGCGTGCTGGTCTAAGTAAGTTGTCTGGTACAGGTGAATGTCCAATTACACTGCTATTTGAACCGATGGCATCTAGTCATTCGATCCAGCGGCATGTGGACTGTCTTGTTTGTTCACCTCAGCATCATCAACAGTAGTGGAGTCATCTTGCAGGGATTTTAGGAATCCAGAGATCAGCTGAAGTTCTTCTGACAACCGCTCCTGTTTGTGAAAGAGGAAGAAAAATGAATTAAACTCATTTTGTATAAAAAACACTAATTTCCAATCCTTTATCAGTGCATCCCACCCACAGTTGACAAGTCTGCCAGAGTAAGAGTAAAGTTACCATCTTGTTCTTATTTTTGTGTGGTAGCAGAACAACACTCCTGGTGAACCACGTCCAGGTTCAGTGCTCCTCTGTTTTAAAAACCTCAGCATCCAGTTTTTCTATTAAACTGCCTGGCAGTGTCAACCAGCTTGGGAATCTGAACCAGCCTGCCCATGCAGAAATTCTCTGACTAACAATTATATCAGAAACAGGATCTTGGATTACTGTCCCATGGGACTGGGGCAGTGGGCGTCTGCTCCAATCATTACTGGCCATTCAACAAGGCTCTACACTGCTCTCTGCTGTTAGCCATTGTCAATTATGCCATCCCTAGTGTAAACTCGCAGAACACAAAGCTGAACTGCCAGCTTTGGCAAGAGTGTAAAAGGATGACAGCCCGCCAGCCCCCCATTCCTACCCACAGCACACCCACCCGCCCACCCAAGGGTTCCCCTGCCTTCCTTCCCTTAAGCTACTTTCGAGAAAACTGCCATTTGGCGTCTGAATCGAGGGAAAATGCAAACCTGACCTTTCTTATGTTCTGCTTGTGGGGTTAAGTGGACATGATGGATTAGTGCAGGCCTCATCAGGACTCATTCTGGTTTTATTCCAGTTACAACCAGTATCAGTTATATTGACTTAAGAATTTCTTTCTTATTAAGATAAGTGATGTCAGTAATCTGTGTGCCATGCAATTGTTCCTAAAGTTAAGATTTTGAGCTTTTCCACAGTGAAATTAATCCTCAGATTTACTTTGCTTGCTCACACACTATGTTCAATCTGCGCATCCCTGTGTGAATCTTAGAACTGTCACCGTCTTTACATTTGGTGATCACACAGACTCCTTATGTATGTCTGCTCATAAACTCCATCTTTATGACAATTATTTTTCCTTGTGCATGTTTTGGGGGGATAAGACTCTATGTTAGACTCTTCTTCAGGAGCCTGTTTAAAATTGAGTGCTGCCTGCTCTGATGGACCCTGTGCAGAGCTGTGACGGGGGACGGTGTGGTGCGCTTGAATACACCAGCTCTTTTGTCCTTCACACTCTGCAGCTCTCTGATAGCTCCTCCCCCTGTGCCCCACTCCTCCCTGGCTTGAGCTGTGATCTGCTGGGGCCTTTTGAGGCTGGGCTGCTGAGACATAGCTGCTCCCTGTAATGTCTGGACTGTACCCATCAAAAAAACATGTCAGAGAAGAGAAGAATGAGAGAAACTTAACATTCTTTTTACTGAGCCATTCAAAGTAAGAATTTCACTAAAATAAAATGATTGTCTTGGACAAATGTGGCCACTCACATGTTGGGTATGTCCCACGATTAGGAAAAAGTAGAATTAAAAAATGGAAGTAGTTAACTGTGATTGCATGCCACCTGGCTCAGTAGTCATGCTGGACAGAAATTTTCATAAAGATTCATCACTGTCCTTCTGTCCGCTTTGACCTCATCGCACATCACAGCACAGATTAGACACCGTTTATCCTCTAATTGGGATCCTTACTTTTCAACCTTGCAGAATATGCTTCTCCTCTTGTGTAAGACAGATAGAAGGTCATTTTATTCACAAAAAGAGGAAGATGTTCTGCACATGGATATCCTCCAGAGGGAAACATGTTTTCTAAATTAACTGAAAAGTCAAGAACTACCCTAATTAACACACACCAGGCTGGAATGTGCTTCAGTATCATGTCTGGCTACAATACATTGTTGTTCTGTTTAGAGAGTCAGACCCAGCCTCAGACACAGGTCACTCAGTAGACAGTCTGGCACAGATATCATCCATCACATTAGTTTGGGATCTGATGAGTGAATGTACAGACTGTAATGTGGCTTATGTAACCACTTCACCACAGCAGTAAAGCACAAAACCTGGATTGATGTTTGCCTGGCTGCTCTTGCTTGGCAAAGAAGACACAAGGCAACAGAATAGTTGGATGAGGCTCAAAAATGCCAAGTATAACAGGTAGTTACTGTTGTATGCAGATGAAAATGCTGTCACCCAGTAGAGCACCTTCACTGGGATGAAAGAGAATAAAGGGATTTGCTATTTAGAAGAATGGTGGCGGTTGGTGCAGTTTTCCAGCCCGTCTTTTATGTATATGTGCAAATACCTGAGCTGTTTTTATTTTCTGGTCAGTCTCTTGAGAAAGAGCCTGGCACCGGCCCAGTTCAGCCTGGTTGTAGAGGTTGCGTTGTTTGAAGTATTTTTCCAAAGCTTTGTGCATCCTCTTCTCCAACAAAGAGAGCTAGGGGGAGAGAAGGCAGAGAAAAGGAATTGGTAAGGCAGGAGAGGAAATTAATGGCAGTGTTCAAGAAGAATGATGGAGGGGAATAGAGAAAGCAGTCAATAGCCCATTCTGCAGTACACGGGCCTGACAGGAATTTCACAGTCTCTTGGTTTCTCTGCCCACTCGTGTGCACTCATCAGAATCCAGTCACATCTGGCTGCCAGGATGGGGGGTTAATTTTCTCTAAATGCTTCAGCAGTTTTGTTCTAGCTGAGGCAAACTCTGTGACTGCAAAGCTGATGAGTAAAATATTTCTACTTCACCCAGTTTAACTTTATACCAATCCCCTCAAGACATATTTTACACATACACACAGAGTCATGAACCCCCCACTGAAACCAGAAATTATTCCTAGTCTCTTGGAAAGACATGCTGCTTGCTTTATTATTTGAACACAGTTTCAAGCAAAGAGGTTTAAATTCTGAAAGATGCCATTGCTTTTCTCTCCCTCCATCTCTCTACTCTTCCTACAAAGCTTATCATGGCTCGGCAACGTGTCCCCCAGTGCATTGAAAACTAAAGCGAATTAGCTCAGTCATCAGCTCCTGAAGGAAAGACAATAACAAGAATGCTCTTTATGGTGTACCCTGTTAAAACCTAAAAGCTGAGAGCGCCACATAAAAAGAGCAATGCTTACACATACAGTAGACTAAAGATTTTGATGCAAGATACATACAAGCGAATGACATTTAATGCTATTGAATATGTCATATTTTAATCTACAAAATTAGATTAAGCAAACACTTGCTAAATGTTGATTAATTTAAAATATGTGAGGTACATGAAGCACATGCAACTCAAAATAATGAACAACTGACTCATTTTAGAAAAACACTTGACTTTTTTTCTTGTTATTCCTTTTAATCACAACAAGTGACATCTTACACTAATTAGTATTGGAGAGGCAAATGCAGACTGCATGTTTTTTTTTATTTTCATTCTTTTTATTTTAGGTTCAGATAACTGCAAACACTGATTATGCGAAGAAACTATGGTACATAAACAGTAAGAACTGAATAAATTAGTAATTAATTCAATTTAATATAATTGCTCTCTTAAGATTATGGGTTGTTTTAAACTAAGCATTTGAACTACACATGTTTGGTATTCCTGATATGTTACTCTGTGGTCTTAAAATGAATGGAACACTAAAGATTACAGTCCCTCCAAAATGATCCTGAAAATGTTAAATGCATTTATTTTGTTGCAACCAAATCTAAACAAATAAATCAAGGAAAATTGTGGTGTTTAATATTTGAACTGGGACATATTATGCAAAGATAAGGAACATCATGTAATTTTCAGAACAAGAAACACATGTACACAAATATTTACATATTTATTAGACTAAATGTAAGAGGCCAACATCTACATAGCTAATGTACCTTTGATCTTAAGTTTTCTTTAAAGCAAAAATTAGGAATAACACACAAATCAAGAGGCTGCTGTTTGGAAGTGTAGACTTGAAACAAATAAAAATGGTGAGGGCTGAATCCAGAGTAAAAGAAAATCAGGCTTTGATCATGAGCGTGGAAAATCCTGTCCACAGGATTTTATTTTTGCATGCATTTTTCACTTGATAACATTCAAGCAGTTAGATGAGGAATTGCTCAAGTAAAGGTATTAGTCATTTTTGGAACAAATAATATGTACTTTTCATTGCAGAAGCAGTGTGGCTTCGTCCTGGTGTTATGGTTGTCATGTGTAATTCTATTCCACTTAAGAAGTGTCAAAAACTATAAAGATTAAAACCTAAAATGCTGCTGAGTTGTCTCCCTCAACTAGTCAAGATCTCTAGTGCTGCTTTAAAGCATTGAGTGAACTTCTGTTTGCAGTTGATCTCTTACTAATTGTTGTGATGAGAAGGGAAAGGTTTGCAACACACAATATTGAAACTGTGTCCCTTCTAATCACCTCACAAAGACAAAATCAGGAAAATGTATTAGATACAATACTTAACATATACAACTGCTTGCTTTACTCCCCTTGGTGGCTAATTACATTGCTATCACTACTTTATCTCACATCCATCATCCTCTTCCTCTCAAGTTTTCTAATCATTATTAAACTGAGGTAGTAAATTCTAAACTGAATGCGAAACTAAAACCTTCTTAAAATCATCGTCCATGCTAAGACAAATAAGAGAGCATAAGACAACAGAAAAGATCATAAGTCATGAAACGCATTTAAAACAAGAGTATATTTAATCAAAAGTAATAGAAACTGTACCTGAGTGTTAGAGTGAAAAGATTCATGAGCACGATTCCTCTCACTCAGTGCAGACGCTGCCTCTTGCTTGGACTCAATAAGGATGTTTTGAAGATCCTCATACTTTCTTGCCAGCTGTTTGTTCTCCTCCAGGGCAGTTTTTAAAGCTTCCTAAAACGTTGAAAAGAGGTTACTGTTAAACCTTAACAACAGGTTACTAGAGTGGCTAGGAAAAG